CTTTCTCAGTTTTCTTTTCTGGGTCATTTTCAGGATCCTCTGGACTCTGCTGATCCTCCGTCAGATTAAAGACATCCTTTCGTTTGACTGTCAGCAGGTCCAAGTCTCGTAGATCATCATCATCATCGTCATCAGCGTCACCTGCACTCGGGGTTAATGTCTTGGACGTATCCAAACCTCCTTCATCACCACCGTCCTCATCCTCACTGGACTCGTCTGACTCCGAGTTTTGCCGCTCCTCACGAGAAACCTCTCCTTTCAGCTGGGCCTTAAATCTCCTCAGCTCTTCTTCTTCCTCAGACTCCTCCTCCTGCACTTCTTTCTCTACTTTCTGTGCCTGAGCTTTACTTAGGAACCGAACCCTTGGGGCCACAGCGAGGCCGAGGGACAAAGCGTACTCGTGAAGCTTGATCTTAAAGGCATCAAACACCTCTTTGTTCTTCATGAGGTACACCGAGCGCAGGTAGGAAACAAAACACCTCTGGGCTCGCTCCTTCTGCTCCTTCTCCTGAGCGAGGAAGGCCTCCAGCTTCTGCTGCACGTTCTGCAGTTTGTCTGGGTTCACCTGGAAGTAGCCAAACAATTAAGTTAATCAGATCTTATGTAATGTTTTGTGACTACACTTAAATCTGCCTGTTTGAAACCACATATAAATGTATATTAAATAAATGAACTATAATAAATATATTCTGAGGAGGTTTCTAAGACTAGTACAGCTCTGGGTGACGAGATGTGCGGACATAAAAGGTTTTTTATTTTGCAATATTTGAAATATAAGTACCACATTAAGCTGTATCAGCAGTATTGGGTTTAGCATAATCATATTATATCTGCCTGTACTTGTTCCTAAATTTGAGTTGCTGTCACCACTGTGAGTCTTTTCACCAACTTTTCTGTCAGATTTGTAGTGATACTTAAAAAGTTATTTGACGTGTGCACACCTCGTTAGGACGGCAGTTTGTGCAGATATTAACAGTGTTATACTAACGTGTAGTGCCTACACTACTAAGCTGTAGTGCCTCTTCACCTCACTGTACAATACCTTGTGCAATACTTTTTGTAAATAGTCAACAGTGCAATAGACTCAATACTTGAAATGTGCAATTCACTTGTATTTTTATTTTTTATTCCTATTTATTCTATTTATCCCCTTTGTATATTTTATTTATATTTGTCTCTGTATTTATATATGTGTGTGTGTGTGTGTGTGTGTGTGTGTGTGAGTGTGAGTGTGTGTGTGTATATGTATATATATATATAACAATTCTGTAACTGTAACTTCGGTCGTTGCTGTGCTTTTTTTTGGAAGTCGAATTTCCCAGAGGGATTAATAAAGTTCTATCTTATCTTATCTTAATTCCTGGGGAGTAATGCAAAGTACTGTACCGAGGGTTTGAAATATCTCCTTCTAAATGGAGTAAAAACATCAAACAGTTATTTTACTGTTTTACATAAACCTACTGAACAGTGTGTGTGTGTGTGTGTGTGTGTAATGGGTAGATGATGTCTCACTTGTATCTTGTTGATGGGAACTTTCTTCTCCTCCAGCTGCTTCACCATGCCTTTCTCCTCCGAGGGCAGCAGCAGCAGCAGGGCCTCTCCACCCTCCTTGTACCTGGCCGTCCGGCCCACCCTGTGGATGTATGTGTCGGCGTCCTCTGGACAGTCAAACTGCAGCACCCAGTGGACGGCAGGGAAGTCCAGGCCTCTGGCAGCTATGTCGGTGGCAAAAAGCACAGCGTTTTGCTTCTTGAGGAAGTCGTTGTACACCTCCACCCTCTTCATTTGCTGCTGTTTTCCATGCAGCGCCAGGATGGGCATGCCTGGCCGGAGACGGCAGAAAGCTCGGAACAGGTACTGCACCTCCTTGCAGCAGGCGAAGAAGACTATGATCTTCTTCTTTAGGTGGCTCCTAATGAATGAGTAGAGCATGTTGACCTTCTGGTGGAGCTCACACACGATGTAGTTCTGCTCCAGCGTGGCTGGCGTGCTGAACTTGGCTTTTTCGTGCACCCACACATACTCCGGATCTTTGAGACTGAGCCGGCCCAGGTCTTTGACTGATTTGGTTTGCGTGGCAGAAAACAGCAGAGTCTGCCGGGACTTGGGGAGATTCTCCACGATGGCATTGAGCGTATCTGCAAAGCCCATGTCCAGAATGCGGTCTGCCTCATCCAGGACCAGCATGTGGAGGTCGGACGCGTGGAAGGTGGCCGTTTCATCCATGTGCTGGAGGAGTCGGCCCGGGGTGCAGATGACAATGTTGGTACGGTGAATCCTCTCACACTCGCTTTTCAGGTCTTTTCCGCCGATGATGAGCCCTGCAGAAAACTCGTGGTTCCTGCCCACCTTGCGCAGGACTTCAAAGGTCTGGTAGGCGAGCTCTCGGGTGGGAGAGATGATGAGAGCACCGAGGCCGTCCATGGAGCTCCATTGCTGGCGGTAGAGACACTCCAGGACCGGTATGAGAAAGGCTAAAGTCTTACCGGAGCCAGTTTTAGCCGCACCGAGAACATCTTTCCCCTGCAGAGCGAAGCCGATGGTCTGCCGCTGGATCTCCGTAGGCTGCCGATACTGAGCCTCCTGCAGGCCCAGCAAGGTCTTCTTAGAAATGGGGAAGTCGGAGAACTTGACAACCTCCTTGAGGTTGATTTCTCCATACCTGCTCACCAGCTTATCGATGTACTCTCGTTCTACCTGCCACTCGGGCTTCTTCTTCTGCGCCCTCTCTTGCTTCACTCGTGCTTTGGTCCGGTTGTACTTTTTCTTCCATTTCTCGAAGTTTCTGACGGGGTCGACGCTCGCTTTCATCTTTTGGGGTTTCGGTTTTTTCCCAACAGGATTTGGGCCTTTTTTCTCCATGACTAAAGACGAGAATCGCAGCAAGATCGAGTCAAAAACACACACGCTGGACTCTAGATAAACAGCATGGAGAAGCCTGCTCGCCGTCGCGTGTTGAATGACGTAGTCATCCCGCGACTCAAATCTTTAACATGGGGAAGCTTTGCCCTGAACTTCATTTGACAGGCAGAACTGCAAAATATTTATTTATGTATTTAAATGTATTCACAGCGCTGTGTAAAGACAACGGGCGAATAATAAAGACAGAAGTGGGTGCAAAGGTCAGCATAATTCCGCAGTGTTGAATATTTTTACCGTCAAAGGTGGCAGCTGCCTTGGCCAGCTTCAGCCATCCTTCAGAAAACGTGTAAAAACAACAGTTGTGGTTGTCATTCTCACAGAGGACTCACGTATTCACATCCAAATTAAACCACGATGTTGAGTTGTGTAAATCTCATTTCGCTGCTTCTTTTGAATCTTCTTTCACTTTAGGGGTTTAGGAGGTGGAAACATACTTTCTCCTTATTATTTAACATCCTCGACACCAAATTCCTTCAGAGTATAATTCAACTTTTTGGGTTAACATATATTTCAGTGATTTGACTGCTGCAAATCAGAATTCCCACTATATGTCTAAAAAAATCCCCTAACCTTCGCATTTGACCAGGTCCTCACCTTTCGCTATAGAAATATTGTTTGTAGCACAACACATGGAGTTTGCGTGTTTTCCACATATTTTCCTAGGTCCTCCCACAGATATGCGTGATTGACTCTATAGTCTTGAATGGTAGTATATCTCTATGTTTAAGACCCATGACAGTTGGCAGCCTTTCCAGGGTTTACCTTCTCTCTCACTCTATGATATCTTGTTACCCTTCAGCCCACCAGCTACCCTGAACTGGACAAGTGGAAGAAAGTGGATGGACAGAAAGATAGCCCAATTTAAAATCAAAATGTTTAATAAAGCAGGGTATGGTGTAGGGTAGGTCTGCCTTGGGACCGTAGTTGCTGTTGTATGGGTGTGCAGTGGTTCTTGGTGTCACAATTACATGAACTTATTATGTCAGTGTTTGTGTCACTGAAGTAGCATCAAAACTCTGAGTCTTCACAGCAGGACCTCACCTGAGTGCATCACAGTGACTCTGTGGTTTAGCCCTGTGGCAGACTGGCAACCTGTACAGGGTGTATTCTGCCACTTGCCCTGTGGGATCTGGGATAATGTTCAATGTTCACAGCTAGAGTGGAAAAAACAACTCAAAGAGTGCGAGAAGCAGAAAATATTGTCTTCAATCCATCATTTGTTTTCAACAGACATGATATACAACAGACCTAACGAGCACTAACAGTCTGCTTCTCTATTCACATTTCAAAAACTCCTTCAAAAAACATATCAAAAACATATAAGTATCAACTGCTTTTTATTCAGCTTTCACAGCCATCTTATCTACCTCCAATTATTCATAAAGAGCATGCCACAGGCAAAATATGGCAGCAGTAACAGTTCCGCTATAATTTCTTTATTAAAATCATGAAAATCAATTCTGTGTCAGAGAAAATCTAAGAATGATGTTATTGCTGGAGATAGTCCTCGTTTATAAAGTTTGTAAAATGCCCCATTAGTGCTGTGCCATACTGCAGATTTTATTTGGCATCACTCTGATACCAAGCAGGGCCAGTATTGCTGATACCAGTACAGATAGTGGTACTTTGAACTTATAAAGGCAGCTCGTGTTGTGGAGAACAGTTTGTGAGCTTTTTATGTATTTTCAAACTTCTATGAAGACCTGCAATGTAAATGTGCCTGTCTTTAAAGGACTTTGTGTTTGTAGCCTGTAGCACCTTTATAAGACAGAAGTCTTATAAAGGTGCTACAGGCTACAAACAGCATAGACCTGAGAGTCAAAAAAACATCATATGTCACAGTGCATGTTTGATGTTTATTTTTTTAATTTCTAAAAAATAATTCATTTAACACATGTAAATATTTATATGTATAAATCTTATCACTCTTTCTAGTATTGATCCGATACCAACACCAGCATCGACACTATCGTTTCGACCCGGTCACCTGTAGGTCCCGCTACAGCCCAGCAGGTGGCGGTAAGACCGCAGAGTTTGGACGTCAACTGCGCGAAAACAAGAAGACGAAGAAGAACATGTCGACGCTGGTACCGCTCTACAAGCACCTGATCAGAAGAGAAGACAGATGATAAACAAGTACTAATACAGACCACTTTGCACAACACAGAGTGGATATCCGTCGGCCGAGCCTCGCCGACACCCTGCAGCTCTTATGCTAAACACGGCATGGCAGAGAGACCGGACAATGAGGTAACAGTCAGGGTAGCACTGGTTAGTAAAACATGCCACATTTTAACTTCGTGCTCTTAACACCCAGAAGTCGTTAAAGTCCCTTTTAAAGTGAAGCATGAATTTAAATAATCCACAACAGAGAGGCAGAGCTGTTACGTGACGTCTGCAGACGGGGAGAAACTTGTGATAGCTGCACAGCTACACGACTACAGGAAGCTAGCAGCAACTGACAAACTGGAAGTAAACACGAGTCACATTAGTCAGAAGGTTTAAGTTAATTTTGCTGAGTTTCTGGCCTGTTAGCAACTCGGCGATACGTGCCTGCAGATTACAGAGCCAAATAAAACTTTCCTTCAGCATTAAAATAGGCAAAAGGGTTAACGCTCCGCGTGTGTTCGTTAGGAAACAGCTAAAAACATTTAGCCCACATTATGTATTTACAATAAATACAAATGCAGTTTTATGAAGTGAAATTTTAACATGAAAGTCCAGTATCTCAAAATACCAGCTAGCTAAAAGATTGACTATTATATGTTATTTAAAGGCAAGCTGTACATTTGTACTGTTGGACTCTGCAGGAGGAAAGGTGGAGAAGAGCCTGCAGGCAGAGTGCAGCGGGTGGGGACGAGTGTCACGGGTGATTTTTGACAGATGGATAGCAGCAAGAGATAAAGGGAAGATTCCTAAGATGTTAGTTAGACCTGCTATTATGCACTGACAGAAAGACGTGAGGCCGACCTGGAGGTGGCAGAGCTGAAGATGCTACTGAAGATTTTTGTTGGGAGCGACCAGAATGATCACAGGGACAGCTCATGAGTGGTTTGGAGTAAAGTTAATGAGGCAGAGCTGAGATGGTGCAGAGGAGGGAGAGTGCATGTGGAAGGATGTTGAAGATGCAGCTGCCAGGCAGGAGGAAAACCAGAGATGATTCATTGACGTAGTGAAGGAGGATATGCAGAGGACTGGTGTGACTGAAGACGATGCTGTTGAATTATAATTACTTCTTATTTTATTTGTATATAAGTAATGTGGAAGCTACAGCTAATGTTGATCAATATACTGCTGAGTGTTGTAATCTATAACTATGTGTAATGATGCACAAATATGTAGGCTAACATTGTTATTCTTAGATATGGACCCTGCTGACTGCCAGTCAGCAAAAAAGCTCACACTTACTCTGGCCTATGTTTAGCTGTTACATCAGTTTAGCATTGGCAAAATGTTGAATTGTGGTGTAATAAAAACCTGAAGCAGAACAAAAGAACATCAGCACAAAACGTGGTATCAGCCAGATGGTGTTTTAAACAAAGGTAATGATTTCAAACTTGGTGAAGCTTTTATTTGGATTATTTAAATGATAATACTAAAGATTTTACGGTACATTGAAGCACAACAAAACTGATGAAAATGATGCACAACAGCCAGCAAAGCAAATAGGAAAAATGACATATCAAATTAAATGCAAAATTAAAATCTAGTTAAAAATGAGAGTCGGTGCTGTTCACAGAATCACACCTGTTAACAATTAAAGCTAAAACTGAAAAGGTGAGTTTTTAGTTTCGATTTGAAATCTGTTGCTCTGGAGTTTCTGCGCTGGGACCTCTGAAACATGGAGTGAAAGTTGTGACCCTACTGCTCTCCTGAACTGTGATATTGGTAAATACTTTCATATTACCTTTATAGCCACTCTTGCTAGTTTAAATAGAATAGATCACATAGATCTGTTCTACATGGACATGCTTATATTAGAAAATATGGTCTTTATTATTCCTGAATAATGCTGCCATCCAGTGGGGTTGGGCATCCTCAAACCCTCTCTCGCTCATACAGATGTGTGAACATCCCACATTTATGATTGTGCATGTTGTTGTTAAGGTGGAGGAGGCTGACCACATCTACCTGCTCATGAAAGAGGACTACCGGATCTCTAGGAATGTGCGACTGGCGTGGTTTCTTAGTAAACTTAACCAAATCATCTGTCCGGCTTCAAAGCCTGAAGTGGTGAGTTTCCTCTCCTGTCCTCATGATGGCCCAGCAGCACCAAGATCAAGATTGGCACCCTTCTATTATTATCCTTGTATATGCCACCGATGATTAGATGGTGGCTGCACTGTGACAAATTAAAGGAAAAATGGAGAGCTATTTTAACATTGTAACTGCTGTTCTGATTGGTCTCTAAAAGCTACTGCAAATCATATTTCCTCCCACTTCCTGTTGTAGCTGCACTCTGAAAATGAACTGGACCTGCTTAGCATCTTACCTAAAGGATGGCAGCCAGATATCTCCCCAACTTCACACCCATGCATACTGATGCCTTCCACCCGGGCCACCTTCCTGGCCCGGAGGTACCGCTTCATCATCGAGCTGGACCTGAGTCCCTCCACAGGGATTGTGGTAAGTCTTAAATGCACTGTCTCCTGAATGAGTTCAAACAATATTAAAAAGTGCTTAGTGCAAGAATAGATGTAATATTTAAGTTTGTTATGATTATTTGCTGTGTAAATTATTCATAGTGGACAATCCATTTGTCTGCTTGTCTTATATCAAGTACATCACGTCTCTTTCTGGCTCCTGAGTGTCTCAGTGTGTTTCCATTTGTAGTCAAGAAGGCTTTTAATTTATTCAGACGCTGTTAGAAGAGCAAAAAAATTTAAATTTTGTGAATGAATTTTGCAAATGGTAAATATTTGATCACTTAAAGTGCTTTTTCTTACTCCAGCTGCCTCTTTATTTAACATTGGGGACAACCTGGGGTTCAGTATGTTGCTCAAGGATACTGCAGATGACCCGCTCTGCCTTCTGAGCTCACAATCATTTGCTGCTCTGACTCGCAGACGAAGCACCTCATTAAGATTTAGATTGTTCACTTTTAGTTGGTTGAATGTGAATCGTGCTCGAGCTGTTGCTCAGTGGGATGTTGCTACTCCGTACTGAAACCTCTCACAGAAAACTGGATGCATGGCCATCCATGCATGTGAAGCAGCACTGCATGGTGATCCAATGAACTCTTACCAAGTGCAATCACAAGGATAGAATTAAAGTCTGAAAGCACAGAACTGAGACTGTTGTTGTGCTGCTGAATGTGTTCCTCAGTCTTCACATTTGACCCTTTTTATATGAGACAGCACAGAGTATTCTGTAAATGCACACGCTGCACTGTTGAACCATATCGTTGCATAAGAGAAGGAGCTCATGCAGTTCAGAGGTTTCAGGTCCGCTTCTCTCAGCATGTCTGGTAACATATGGACAACGGATGGACTTATTTGCTTCTTTGTTAGCATGAAGCCCATATCTGGAAAACTGTTAAGCAGTTACCTACAGATAAGAGATATCCTTATATGGTGTAAAATAAGAACTTATTTTTAAGTGCCTTAAACCTGCACGACTTCAAATTGGAACCTCGGGTTGCAAAAAGTATTAATTCCTTTAAATTACAACCTCAGTAAGAGATTTTTCATAAATTTATGTAGTTTATAAATTCACCTAATGTTAAAGGTCCCTATTCCCATGTTGACGTCCAACATAACAGTTTGTCAAATCAAAGTTGCAGACCTGTCTGCTGTGGTGAACCCTGCTGATTAAGAGCAGCTAGAAGAAGCTTTAGGGGCCGTGTGTGTTCTCTTTGGGGATTGTGGCTTCATCCAACAGTCCAAAGACATGCGTAGGGTTAAATTAAATGGGTTGAATGTAAGTGTGACTGGTGGTCTGTCTCTATATGTTAGTCCTGTGACAGACTGGCAACCTGTGCAGGGTCATGACAGCTAGGATAGCCTCCAACATCCACTACTCTCAGCTGGATAAGCAAGTGAGTAAGTAAGTAGATGGATGGATCTTCTAGAGTCAGAAAGCTGAATAAAGGAGGGTTTGCTTTAGTGTGGGCGTGGCTTGTGACTGAAGTTGTATGAGTGCCATGTTTCTTTGTTTCACAGTTACATCAGTGCTGTTTGTTACGTCAGCAGTTTGCTAAAGTAGTGCCAACACAGATGTTCCAGTCTTCACAGCACAATGTCATCTAACATGTGAGTGACATCACAGTGAAGTCATCACAGTGAAGTCATCACAGTGAAGTCATCACAGTGATGTCATCACAGTGATGTCACTCACATGTTGCCTTTAAAAAACAGTTAAGATAAGGCCTTCCTGCAAAGCCTCATCCTGAACTTCCACATCAGCCTGATGTTAATGTTAAAACTGTTATTCTCAGTGTGGTGAAAATCCATCAGACCGGCTCTTCAGTCTGCACAGCAGAGCTTCTGTGCACAGAGCACCACTGGTTGAGTCAGCTCCACTAGTAACAGACTTTAATTCAAGTTTAACGTTTTTTTGACGTAGACCTGGGCTCTCACAGTGGCTTCATTGATGCATGTAAAGAACATGTGTTCAGTTCAATATAAAACCTCTGCCTAAACTGGGCAGGTATGAATGTCATAGACTGAGGGAAACAGCTCACACTGAGTCCTGCCTCTGGTGTACAATATGCCAGATCATTTGGTGTCTCTGTGTTACACGTTGGTTTTGTGTCCTGCAGGATGACAGCACAGGCGAGATGATCTTTGATGAGGTCTTCCACGCCTTGTCCAGGTGTCTGGCTGGTCTGGTTCAACCATTCAGAGTCCCTGGAACAGATCGATTTTTCAAGCCTAAGATCTTCATCACCATCCTTGCATATTCCTCCATCATTGGCCTCCCTTCACATCAGGTAATGACTGTAATTTACTTTAGTCATAAAAATGAATGAAACAAATGTCTTCGAGAGTAACTTAACGCCAAGAAAAGCAGAGTTTCTCTCTCCAGCACGTGTTTATTGCCCAGCCCACATTGGTGTGGAGTGCTTCACGCTTACTTTAATCTCTGTCTTTACTATGTTTGACTACATTTCAGCCACCAAAGCACACGTTGGGTTAGTTTCTGTGGGAGATGTTAGGCTGCTGTAGATGTTTGTGCAGTTCTCTGACGGTCTTTAATCTTTTGTTCCCTGCAGGTTTTGGTCCAAGGATGCCAGCTTGATAAAACAGACCTGGATGAGTTCTTGCATCACATCTACCAGCAGCTCAGAGCGTTGGAGAGTAGCATCGCAGAAGTCCTGCATCAGCAGCACGAACAGGCAAGTGCACACTAGCAGAAATGACACTGTGCTAGCAAGAATGCTGTAACTATTAGAGAAACACTGCAAGTGTAAAAGCTCTCACCAGCACCCTGTAAAGCTCCACAGTGCCTTACAAGCAAAAATAAAACAACATCCTACTTTATCAGACTAGATTAGCATCGCTCTTCAGTTTGACCCCGAACATCCTCTCCACGATTGGCTTCCAACCACAAGCACCTGTTGTATCCATGGTTACCAAAAACAGCATGGGTGTGATACTTTAGCCAACTGCGGCAGGTTTGTTACGCCCATGGGATTCACTTGTGACTAGGGATGGGTATCGTTTAGGTTTTATCCGATACCGGTGCCAAACCGGTACTTTTGAAACGGTGCCGGTGCTTAAACGGTGCTTAAAGAATGGAGAACACAAAATTGGTCCAAAAACCTCTCATGTTCAGCTGGTTTTTTGTAAAAAGATAACAATGTTAGCCTTTTCTGCAGCTATGGGGCATATATGGTATCACTCTTGGCTGGAAGCAGTGCTTAAACAATGGAAAAAACACAAACTTTGTCCAAAAACCTCTCATGTTCAGCTGTTTTCCTCTTTTTCTTTGGTCATTTTAGCCTTTTTGTCCAGGGTGAAGGGAGCATCTGCCATCAAACAAGAAGACAGCCGCATGTAGCTATGATGATGTTTGCTAGTTCACCTTACGTGCATTAATGTAATAACGTGGTTAGCCTACTCAACGTAAATTACACACGAACAACATTAAGCTACTCACGCAGAGAAGAACGGCTGCTGCTGCATCATCATCCTCATCATTTCTGCTACACTGGCAGGGCTAGGGGCCAGGACGCTCCTCTTCGGGTTTTTGGGGGATGTTGCTCCGGGTCCGATAACAGGCACCACACCCGCAGTAGATGTGCTCGGTGTGAGGTCTCGCAGCAAGCTATCAAATACGGCGCATTTCTCGGCTTTTAAAAAAACGCTATGCGTCGCCAGGTGTTTCATCAGATTCGAGGTCTTACCTCTTTTGACAGTATCACAGTATCAGCTTAAAGCACTTGTTGCTGCTGAGTTTGCATATTTTGCTGTGAAGTACAGCCAGACTTTGACCGCTTCGCCTTGGGCATTTTTAATCTGTAGCTCTGCTCTAACAGAACATATGTACCTGGGCCCGCCTACTGTCCTCGGAAACGTAAAATGATTGGCTAGAAGTGAAAAAAAAGCACCGAAATAAAGCACCGAAATGTGCGCTGCTTTTCGGTCTGGTTACTACTGTTTATGTCAGAACCGGTGCCATCATGGGACCGGACACCGGTACCCATCCCTACTTGTGACCCCTGTTTGTAGCAGGTCATTGTTTTTAAGAAAAAGATCTTCTGTCAAAGATCTTTATTGAATGGTTCATTTTGGGAAGAAGGGCCAGACTTTAAACAGCTATGTCTGAGTCTTTTTGTGGGTCGACTGATTATGCAGGTCAGTAAAATATCGTCTCTCATCACACGGCTGATGATCCCAGGGGAGCGAGTAGCTGATATCCTGATATGTTAACAAACACAATTCCCTGCTGACATTATTCACTGTTATTTGCTAGAAAACAAACAGGGGCAGACTTTGCACTGCATTCAGTGCGTCACCTTGTCCACCTATGAAAGCACATGTTGTAACTGCCCTCAGCAAAGTGAACTAAAAGCTCCTCCACCTGGGGGCAGCTTGTGAGTCTACATCAAAGCGTGTCACAGTTTAATGCTGCTTTATAAAGAATGAGTGTGGCATTAAATCCTGCCTTCTATGTTGTGCATTAAATGTGTCCTAACACATTTATATTTCCTTTGCTTCTTAGTGCGTGGAGCCGTCACAGAACTCAAGTGACCAGAGCAGCGGCTTGGACGAGCACCCCCACCGGACGCAAAGTGTTTCCATGGTGTCAGCTGAAATGGGGCTGGTCAGCATGGTACGCCAGGGCATCCTGGCCCTTCAGCTGCTGCCTCCCAACTCCAGTGCAGGTTGGTGAAGTTACACTTCAAGTATCAGAGGTGTTATTTAGCAGTTTCTCTTTCGTTGTCGTGCCTTATTTAAAAAACGTCTCTTCTAAGAACAAATCTGTTTTTATGCAGATGATTTTGCACTTGACATCCACAGATCAAGAGAACTGTTTCCTCAGAGCCCAAAAGGTTGATTCTGTTCATCTGGACGTTTTCAGTGGGGGAGGAGTTTCGTCACTAATCTCAGCTGACTGCAGGTTTCAACCTTATAAACAGCACATTTCTGTGAAAAGGGAACGACCACCTCTGAAGCAGAGGGTGCATTTGTCTCCATCTTACATGCTGTGATTGCAGCCGTTCCCCACCTCTCTGTGAATGGGACTCATGGACATTGATCAGTGGTGATGAGGATTTGCATAATTATGATGAAGGTGACCTCCCAGCCCATTGTTCCTTCAGTGGGCTGGTTTCAGTCATTATGCAAATGTCCTGTTTATAAGATTGAAACCTGCAGTCAGCTGAGACTGAAGACGTGAAAACGCTGATGAAGAGTATCAGCCTTTTGGGATCTTCTTACCTGGATGATTGTTTCCTCAGAAATAACCGTTAACATCTGAAAGCACACAGTACTCCATCAGATATTACTGATGTTGTTTTCCTGCTGTATGGGTCAACTTATTGATCTGATGTGAACCACTGAAGTCACACATCTGGGACTTTGTCATGGCTTCCTTTATTCTGCAAGCCAAGAAACTGTTGTTTTTATTGAGTTTATGACATGATTGATGGAGGAAGAGTGCACACTCTCAGACAGGTTAAATCACTGATGCACTCAGTTTCTCTTCTGTAAAATGACAGGTGTACTTATGAGAGAAATAAAAATAGAGAGGTTGAAACTCTGCGTGCATTTGTTTTTTAACGTTAAGTTTCATTGATGAACAAGTAAATGCAGTCGCATAAAACACACATAAGCTTCCTGTAACTTTTAAAGGTTTTTAATGAATGGTTTTGTACCACATGACAGTCATTTATGTGACGATCCTGGAGCGATGGATATAAAGTTGCCAGTGCTTTACAAAGAAGAATAAACTTGGAACACCGACTCCTTTCTTTACTTGTCTTTCTGTCAAAGGCATCATTATAATCACGGACGGGGTCACGAGTGTTCCTGATGTGGCCATGTGTGAAACCCTGCTGAACCAGCTCCGGAGTGGAACCATCTCCTGCTCCTTTGTACAAGTAAAGACAAGAATCTAACTCTGTATTCTGAATATACATTTTTGTGTGCAAGAACTGTTATCTAAAGCAGTCACAACAATCGTTTTCCACAATAGAAGTGATGATGATTATTATTTAAAGATATTTAGGGGATTCTCCAGCTGCTCGTCTCTGAGTCCTGTTTTTGCATGCACAGGTTGGCGGGGCGTACTCCTACGACTGCAGCTTTGGCTATATCCCCAACGTCGAGCTGATGAAGTTCATCTCATTAGCCACTTTTGGCTCCTACCTGCCCAGCTGTCCTGAAGTGGACCTAAACAGCGAGGAGATGAATGCCTACCACAAAGCATTTCTAACATACTCCTTCCTCAAGAGCCCCGAGTCCATGAACTCAGAGTATTTCTGTGGTGAGACAACGATGTACAAGTCTGATGCTAGTTTTTTCATCAGTCCTGTGAGCACTGGTTCAGTGACAGGATGCAACACAAATGAGCTCTGACAGTTTTTAAAACGGTGCAGAATCTAAATATTTATTCTTTGTTTTGAAACACAAAAGCTGTGTTTTTTATTGTTAACGTTTTTTTGAATCCTCAGTCTCAATGACTCATTTTACATGAATATATGAGCGTTCCCCCATCAGGCCTCACAGGACAGCACTCTGGTTGACACCACTGGTACCAAACGACCGGTACCGGTGCGTGAGTCGTTTGGTACCGGGCTGCGAGACTTGAGGCTCCGGTGTGAAGTTTATGGTTTTCAGGGTTTTTATCGTTAGCTCTGGTTCCCTGGGTCTTTCCTGTGTTGTAGTTGTGTCTTATTTTGAAAGAAATATTTACGCGTTACCATAGTGACCAGAGAGCATTAAGGGGCAGAGAGGAGGATGTTACTCTCATGTTGTTGGTGCATTTCAGGAGGACGCTGCTAATAAAGTTACACAGTGAATTAATATTTATTCTTATATTTACAAAACACCACAGTTTTTGTCTCGGTCGCATCATTTTATTTTGTTGTATTTATCCGCGACACCTTAAAAATATTGTCTGACATGAAACCGTCTGTGGAGCAAAAAAGGTTGAGGAGCGCTGATTTACACCAAGCCTTTTTTACATTTTACTGTCAGTTTTTACAGAAAAGCAGCTGCTGAATTATAATATTAATCTTAAGCGTATCACAAATACAAGATATGTTGAATTCTCTTAGTTCCATAGATTGTTAACAGTTACTTACCTGGGATCTCTTTAGCTACATTATATGAAAAACCAGTTATATTTCAGGTCATATGAAGGAATACATAGAATTACAAAAATGTCCGAGGAGTTCAAACACTGCTGCATTTATCGCTAGTCCTCTTGCTCTTCATTGTCAGCTTATTAGCGTTTGTAGGCCATAATCTCTTTATTGTTAGTGATGAAGACGATAGTGATGGTTCTAATCATCATGACACATACTAACTGCTTCTGTTTTTTGTAGTTTCCCAGCACAAGCTGTTCAACGAGCACCTGGTGTCGGCCAGTGGAAACCCTGCTCTGGTCATGAGGAGGAAGAAGCACACGGAGAAGGAGGTGCATGCTCATCTAATCAGCGTGCTGTCTGTGAGACTGAGAGAGGGCTACACCATCACTGACATCAGCCTCACTAAAGGTAAACGGCTGTGTGTCTTTACTAACATCTCACACCAAGTCAGGAAAACTGAATGTTTGTGTTGAGACTGAAGCTGCTGGTGACATTAGGTGGGACTCAGCTGGAGGTGAAGCTCGTGCTCTTATGGAAACACAACATGCACATTGAGTATCTCGCGGCTGCCTCCTGGCCACTGGACCCCTCCAAGAGAACCACCAGAGTGGAGGTGACGATGGAGGGGAGCTACGACATCTTGCACGACATCAGCTGCACCCAGAGGAAACCCATCACCAGCCAGTACCGCACCTCTGTCATCCGGCGCTTCTGGAACACACTGCAGAGGTACGACATGAGGACTGGAATCTGGTTTCCAGTTAGAGACTCTGTGCGATCCCACCATCATGTAGCCATATTGATATGAAAATCCATGTGCTGTTTGTCCTTTCCAGCATCAACCAAACTGATCAGATGTTGGTGCACCTGCAGTCGTTTAACTCGATGCCTGAGAACTACATGATTCCTGAGAGCACCAAAAATGGAGTTCCCCTGTTCTACATCCCTCCTGGCTCCACCACTCCGGTCAGCCTTGTTGCTATACTTCACACTATGTTGGGAACTTACCAACTCTTATGATCTGTGTTGGTGCAAGGTTTAAAAACTCTGTGTGTCACAAAGTGTTGCTTTTGCGTAGTTGCATTTTTTCTTGGGAAACTTTCATCCCGAATGCTCCTAAATCCTGCAGATTTATGAAGCAAGACACCAGAATGGACCTAAATATTCACAAATCGTTCTTATTGTTCCCGCTGTGTGGGACCTACTAACATGTAGTGTTTGTAGAGACCAGCTCTGTTTATCTGTTTGTCTCTTAACGCTGTCGTGTCTCTCCTCCTCCTCCAGGTCTTGTCTCTGCAGCACAGTGGATCCAAAGATTCCTCTCAGTCCCAGTTTGCATCATACTGGAAGCCCATCCTCTCCATGGACGCCAACTTCTGGCAGAGATGGCTACACATGCATCGCATTGTCATCATCCTTGAGCATGATATGTAAGAATAATGAATCTCCAAAAGTTGATTCTGTTTATCTGGACGTAGCGTTTTGTGGGAGAAACGTTTCGTCATCATCAGGTGACGTCTTCAGTCTCAGCTGACTGCAGGTTTCAATCTTATAAACAGCACATTTGCACAATGACTGAAACCAGCCCACTGAGGGAACAATGGGCTGGGAGGGCAGTTCCTTCATCTTAATTATGCAAATCCTCATGACCACTGATCAACAACCACTGAGATTTCCTTACCTGGATGATTGAGCTTGCATTAAGAATAATGAAGCTCTTGTATTCTTTTTATCAGCCATATTTGTTTATATCAGCTTGTTTTTCTTTGCCAGTCTTTCATTGCTACCACAATACTTTGACCTTTGCAGGCCTGTCCCCAAACATCTGCACACACCTGGGAACAACGGGCGCTACAGCACCATCCAGTGTCGCATCTCCCACTCGGCCCTCACGTCACTGCTGAGGGACTGCAGCAGCTTCGTGCTGGTGGAGGGTTACTCGTATGTAAAACTCATATACAGGTGAGACGACAGGTGGTGTTGGCTGATGATGTTTAAGACTCACTGCTTCTGCCTCAACGCTCTTTGTTTTTTCTCAGCAGCTCTTCTGATCAGCCTCCCACCTCCTTCTACTTGGTGCGTGTCATCTCAAAGACCCCCTGCATGGTCCTGCGTCTGGGTTTCCCCATCGGCACACCGGCCCACATTAGGAACAAGGTACTCAGTCAAAAAACATGGGGCCAATACAATATCAGTGTTATGATCCATAGCTGTTAGTAGATGACAGTATTGTATTTTTCGTGCACTGTTTTTATAAAATGTGGTTCTCCGTTTCTTTTATGAGCAGTTTTGTAAAAACATGAAAGGAGGTTATAGGACACATGTATGCTCGGGGAACAAACTGCTCCACTTGTAACTCTCTGTGAGACTCGTGTTGTGCTTTGTTTTCTAAAATCAGATTGTGGATGAGCTGCGAGAGCAGATCCTCAAGCTTCGCTTCCCTCATCGTGTTCAGAACAAAGAGGCAACACCCAAAACCAAGAGGAAGGCTGTGGGCCACCCGTCTCCATCCAAGTCTCCCTCCATCCCTGCTCCCAAGCCTGCGCTCTCTGACAGACCCTGTGTGGTGGTGGTCAGTAAGCCTCTGGAAAAGCTGCTAATCAGGTCGGTCCATGTCATAGTAGGCCACCAGAGGAAGGTCATGTAATCTAATAATAAATAAATAAATGCATAACCACTTAAAAGTACTGGTTACACAGTTTGCTGTTGCTACCAACAGCAACTGAATGGAGACTAACTGCTGATCCTGTGCAGGTATGACAAGCTTCCTCTAGACTTCAGGACTCCCTTCATCTTCAACATGGAGACCTTCCCACTGCCCTCCAACACCGCTGCACCCCTCAGCGTGGCAGCAAACCGCACAGCCTCCTCGACGCTGGCCTCTCTGTCACGTTACTTCCTGCACCAGCGTTGGGTGTGGGCCGTGCAGAGCAGCCAGGGACCGGCTGTAGCCATGCAGGCTGTTGCCCATATCCTGTCCGTGCTCTCGGAGTAAGTTCAAACTATTAAATGTGATCTATTTAAAAATACCACAGCTACGAATATAAATGAGCCAGAGGAAAAAATGCACGCATTTGAGCAGCAGTTTTTCACCGTGGTTTTGATGGTATCTACTCTGTGGTTATGCAGCTCTCCCATAAATCAAACTGGAACAAACAAAGATGATTCTGATCTAAATTCAGGATTCTTTAAGTGCCGTGTCTCTCTTTACAAATTTCTTCTCTTTGAGATGCAAAACCTTAAAATTGTCCTGATGTCTGCAGGATCCGCCTGTCAGAAGGCTTCAACTTTGCTGCCAGTGGCGAGGGCATTATAAACCTGGTGATCGAGCTGCCAATGAAGGTAAAGAACAGCAGGACAAACTGCTCTCCCAAAGTGATTCTCTGTGATCCTGATTTGGTTTTATTTGTGTCTTCAGGGAACATCAGGAGACGTGGACAGAGAGAGTCACTCTTGTATTGTTCAGTATATCCTGTTTCCCCCTCACTCTACCTCAACGAAGGACAGGTAAGCCTGGCAGTACCCATAGTTTAGACCAGGACACGCTGTTAGGACGCAGCTTTTATTAAAAGCAACAGGAATGTTTGTCACTTGGTTTGAGTTCAGCGTGATCAAAGTCTACGTTTACTTCACCTGTTTATTAAAGCTACAAATAAGCAACAGAAACCAGAAACGGTGGATTTCATTTGAACCTCAGAACCTCTTAAAAAACAGTAACATGTACATAATGCAGCATTTTACATCCAGGCTCAGTTTGACTGATTTATTCATGTTTATTGCAAAGCTGCAGCTGGTCAGCGTGTGGTATCGACAGTGATGAGGAAGAAGCTGTGTGACTGACATGTTTATGTTCCGCCAGCAGCGTGTCGTTGTCATTTAATCTGAGATACCCTGATGCTGTGTCGATGTCTGCAAAGTGTTAATCTAACACGAAGCCCTTTAACACAGTTCAAAATGTTTGTGCAGCTCAGCTGAACTCTTCAATTTTCAGCATTTTGTTTTGTCTTTCGTGGAGTTCTAGCTTCTCCACCGACGACGACAATGACACCGAGGTGGAGGCAGTCGACCTGGACACGGAGCTGAACCTCGTGACCGAATGCTGGGTGGAACCGCAGTGCGGCACGGTGAACTGCACGGATCAGCACCGCTCCTTTCAGGGCCTTAAGTACCAGGAGCTCCCTCGAGCAGTACGAAAAGCTGGCTTATACAAGCTGCTCTCAAACTAGAGCTCAGTTTGCTCCGTTTGTGTACGTGAAGCTTTGCTCGTCAAAAGCAGCAGGTTTGGTTTACGCATCCCTGTTGTGTTGCAGATCTTCCCGAGGGACTTGGCCTGCATGTCCACCATGATGACCTTTGAATATCTGAGCCAGCTGTGTCAGAATAAGGATCAGGTCTGCTCTCTGCCAGCTGGACTCAAGGATGCACAAGGTAACAAACGTAGCTTTTAATCAGCGTTAGCAAAACGTCTCACATCACAGAAACGCCTGCAAGAGTCGTGCCTCGCTGAAGTGTTAGCACTCAGTCTGCCGTTGTTAGACGTTTGTTGAGCTCATTCTAGTCAAACATTAAACTAAAGCTGAATACATTAAAGCCTTGATGGCTCAGCGGATGCGATTCTCCGGTTTTTGCTTGTTTGAAAATGTGATGATTTTCCATTATGTGTGCGTGCAGGAGAACATCTGGTCTCTGAGGAGAGCATCCACATGGTCCCTTTCCAGTTTGACCTCATTAAGCTGCTCCCAAAATGCCAGCAGGTTGAGCTGTTTTTCGTCACATTCAGCACAGGTATGTACAGCACGTTTTACGTCAACCTGCTTTAGACAGAGTAGCGTACTGTATATGAGGGCTCGCTGATCTTAATGCATCTCACTTCCATCTGTGTCCTACAACATGCATCTATACGCTTAGAAATGATAATAAATAAATATAATAAATCGATTTGAGCGCGTTTCCCTTTTTGTGCTCAGCGACGGGGAGTGAGGAGCAGATGAACAGCTCCCACTGCCTGCCCAATGAGCTCCTGCTCAGCCTCTTCCACACCAGCCTGGAGAACGAGCTGAGTGACAGAGAGATCCCGTTAGCTGACGGGGACCACGTCGCCTTCATGCATCACATCTTGGAGCGGGAACGAGACGGCCACGTCGCTCCTTTCTCCCTGCCGGTTATTAAAGGTCTGTACGAGTCTGTGTCCAAGTGGACGTGAATCTAGCCAGAGTATCTCCTGGAGGTAGATGATCCCATTATAATTGGAAAAGAATGATAGGAGAGTAACAAAATATGAGTGTTTTGTTCTCTGTTTTATCAGTTTCTCTGTCGTCTCGGTTTCTTTAGAGGAGTGCGTCAAGCCTCCAGAGAAACAGGACACGGTGACGTCATTCTACACGGCCGGCAGCAGCAGAGAGGTGATGGGGTCAACCAGCACTTTACAGGTGATCTCCAACATTGGCACAAAACCAAACCTGTGTCACTTTTAAGTGTTTTTTATTTATGTTGTTATAATGCAGCTAGTGATGATCTGTTGAAGCCTTTGAAAATGTTTGAATCCTTACAGCCGTTGGTGCCTTTAGGCTTGATTGCCACACACGTCTGTGATACTTGTAGTGTTTTCTTTCAGTCTGCTGTTTCTAGTTAAACGTACTAAAGTAAATCATGGGATAGGAATGCAAACATTTCTCTAATAAATTGAAATAGTCCTTTTGAGCTCTCTGACTGTTTCTGTGGGTAATGAGGCCACAACCACACTGGAAATCTGCAGTGGGAGCTGCTTCAGGTCCCTCGTTGGTCTTTCCTGTATTCGTGACAAATGTCTGTTGTGTTTGGCAGAGTTTCAGCAATGCAGACCTTGTGGATGAAGAGCCCCTGTTGTTGGAGAGCAGCTGCTCTGCGCCACAGTGGAGATGTTATGCCAAGTGCATCAGCTCCCAGCATCTAATCCTCACCTTCCTTCCTGCTACCTTCACAGGTGAGTCTGGAGTTTGTTGGCTGTGGTGCTTCTAGCGCGCTCTCATGATGTTTGTTATGTTGCAGATGTTCTGATGTTGATGGCTTCAGGAGAGACCGAGCCTCGGAGTAATGTGAGCACACAGGAGGACGACGCTTTGACCCCCAGCAACAAATCTCAGGCTGACTCTTTGTCTGGATCCACTGGTGGCTTTGAAGGGTCCGAGTCTGGACTCAGCCTGCGCTCTAGTCGGCGACTGAGCTCCAGCACCGCCAGGTCCCCTGTGCTCTCATCTCCATCTGATGGCCAGACTGGAGCTGCTGACTCCCAGACCCTGGAGCAGAACAGCTGGGACAGCAGAGGCTCAGAGATGGAGAGTTGGATGCCGGGCTCAGGTGAGCCTAAAACCGCACGTCTGCAGGGTTTGAATTGTTCAAACATTTTGCACAAAGATTTACGTTTTTCTGATGTTTCCAGATGCTGCAGAAAAAGAAGGAGTCCACTTCTCTGAGCCACACAAGTCAGACTTCCATATCAGCCTCAGCAGACAGCTTTCCCAGCAGAGCACTGGTGACAGCAGCCAGCTGAAGTGTCCAGTTTACGTCTACAACTGTTCACTGGAGAATCTGAAAGAGCAGCTGGTTCACCCAAACTCCAGCCGCCAACCCAGGGACGTCTTCTTCAGGTACTGAGGGAAAAACAAGCAAGCATTGAAATCCTGAAAGACAAGGAAGGTTTTACAGTTGTGTTGCCAGTTACAATTATAAAATGATAAGAAGGTCTTATAGAATTATTGTATATATTTGGGTCTCTTTGTAACCTTGGCTATCTCATAATAATGACACTGTTATTGCCTGGAACACAAAAACCGTCACCAAATACTGAATATGGATCATCTAACCCAGTCTTAGAAGTACTAGACGAAGAGGAGCCGTGTTGTAATTAGGCTTTGTCATGATTGTGTGACTCACTGCGAGCCTTGGATTGTTGCAGTGGAGATGTTAACATGTGTGTCTCTGGTTGTCTTCACGGGGGAGAATAGAGCCCGAGATGCAGAGTCCTGGGAGATGTGTCAGCAGATGAAGTTCAGGTAGCACACTGTCTGTCTGTCTGCTCTCCTTCTGTCTGCTGAGGGGCTGCTCAGCTTTCTCTGGACACTTCTGGCAACTTGGGGATGCGCTTGTAGAGCGGGACAGTGTGGCTTTCCTAAAACTAGGCTGGTAAAAGCATCTACTCCCCGGGCCTGTCTGTGCTTCCTCCTGTTGCTGCAAACATCAGAGAAAACCACAGACACTCATCAAAGGGTCACATTTCTTCTTCTGTTGCTTATTTGGAGCTCTGACATTGTTGAAGTCTCTTAAAACTGTGGCCTTGCCTTCATGCCTGCTGTCCTGTCCTACTGAATAAGACATAAAAATGATGTTTGGTATCATAAATACCAAGACGTGTTTTTTTTTTTTTTTTTTTAGGTTGTAAATCAAAATTGCCTCAGACACTTCCTGTGGGATGGGGGAAGGACTGCAGGTTTAAGACACTTCCAGTTTAGACTGATATTTAAACCTGGGATCTACATCCATGTTTTATATACAAGGTTTTTATCCACGAACATGAATTATGAAAGTCTCAGCGGGATGCTGGCCTCGCTGTATTTATATGTATTAACACTGATACTATCACAGGCTGCAGTTTTATCTGCTGCTCTTCAGCTTTGTAATTTGTTTTAGTGGAGAACCAGCCTCACTGCTGATGAGCCAAGGATTACACATGAACTATAGTTTTAATTCAAAGAGATGATGTGGACAGATCAAACTTTCTGTTTACATTATTTGTGCTGGTGCGACTGAGTAATGCAATAATTCAGTTTTCTGTGTGAAACAGCACTCACTGCATGCTTGAAGCTGACAGCAATAGTTTAAAATAGTTGGCAGTATTTACTGGTACACCTCAGAAACACTGAATGTGGATTGTAGTGATATTTGAAGCCAAACTCTGTTGGGTCGGCAGGATATTTGTCAGGGATGATTATTGATACCTGTTATTCTATATAAGAGTGTCACACAGACACTGCACTCTGAACAGTGCAGATCAGCCTATTTAACACCACATGCAGTTTACACGAGACAGTTTTATTTCTTATATGAATGTTATTTATTTTAACTGTCATGAACAGGATGTGACACGTCATAATAATAACAACTGTGCTGCATTAAAACAGCAGGTGGGATAGCCAATCGTTAAGTGATGACGTCTGAACAAACTGCTCCGTGTTTATTAAGGCTGCTGTGTTTTTAACATGTTTTAATACTTTGTACCTTGTTCTAATCTCAACAAGCCCATAAAAACAGTCAGTGATCACTGTCGGCCTCTCTCGGTTTTAATCATCACTGTTCATTTGACAGCTCAGTGTTTAAACCCTTACGATGTAGCTGCAGCCCAGCAGCAGTATATTAATGACTAACCTCGTACTGTGGATGGATTATCTCAGTTGTTCTCCTGCTGAAGTTTGGTCCGTTTACAGCATCCTGCCATGCCATTACATTTGTCTCTAACCATCAGGAACCCTCACGTTAACTTTTATCCAGTGGAAGAAAGTTAGCTTCATCCTCCAGCTTCACTGTGTTTATGCTAACATAGCTGTGTTGCTAGCAATCACGTAGCACATCATTATATAGCAGCTAGCCCAACTTCAGTAACCCTACAAACGTCACTGCTGTTTAGTTTTCTGTCTTCATTTATGTTGGAAGTGACAGCAGAGCTGTACGTTTGAACCAGAACGTGCCAGATATCATTTAATCTGGAGACTTCCCACGTACCACTAGATGGAGCCAAAGTACCACCAGTGGTACGCGTACCACAGTTTGCCAACCACTGATGTAGCGGGAATGCAGAGACTGGTGATGCTTAAACTGACAGCATGGGGCCATGACATATTTGTAAACATGTAAAGTTATGCTGATGTTTATAAACAGAAGCATACTGGAGTCTATCCTAATACTTAGAATGGGTTAACTGGGAAACAATAAAAGACTTCCTGTGCTTAACTAACAGTTAACTCTGGGTGTCAATACTGAATTAAGACTGTTGTTTTAGATTTTTGTGTCTTATTTTAAGTTTAAACTACAAACCTATAAACACACACAAATAATTTCTACACTTAGGTTAAAAATAGAAATATTGTTAAATGACTCGTCTCTCCCTGACTTTGACCTGATAAATCATGTTTGCTCCTCCCCTAATTCAGCGCTTCAGATGCTTGCTGTGGAGGTTCAGCTGTCCCTCACAGGCTTATTGGCTCCTTCGATGATGCTTAATCCCCAGTCCCAGTCACATAAGCATAGAGACCAGTCAACAACCACTGGTTAACATGGAAACATTCAAATTTATTTGCTTTGGGAAATGCATGTCGGTCATTTAGCAGTCGGTCAGAAGGATTTTGGCTTGTGAGGGTTTCATCGACTGGTCTCTCGGCCTTGTGACTGGGCTTGTACTGTGGTGCAGATATGGGTTCATGTAAGTGCTTATGCAAAACTAGGTGCAGTGGAACTGTCTGTATTTTAACCAGCACTGTTTTCTACATGTGTGAAATTGAGGTTTTATGTACTAACGTAATCTATCCTTGTGGGTTCAACTGATCCTTCATCATCCTGTCAGACCCGGGTTCCTCTTCTCAGTGTCTTTTCTGTGCTGTTGTTCCCCAGCAGGTCTCTATCTCAGGATCGCAGCAGTCAGTCTCCTTGGACCGACCTCCTGTCTCAGCCTCACAAACACAAGGAGCTGGCCAACTACTGCAGCATGCTGCAGGAGCATTACCACCAGAGCTACGTCAAAGGTGATCTGTGTCCACCAACACGAATGCTTCAAGCTTAACTGAGTAGTCAAAAAGAAAAATCCTTACTCCACCAAAACACACACACAACTGAGGATCTAAGGTCCATCACAGCAGTGCAACATGTCACAGTCGTCCATGATTTCACAGGTGTTAAAATACAGTGACTGAAACTCGTCCGAGCGTCGTTTGGTCACGCGTCCATGTTCTTGTCAGGTGTATACCGCAGCCTGCAGCAGTCCTACAACATCAGCTCCCAGGACGTCCTGATGGCGATGGACTACTGTGAAGAATCGCTGCAGGAGATCGACATCACCTCCTTCCTGCAGACGCTATGTGGACACATCAGGGTCTTCAGGGAACACGGCAAGACTCCAGGATGGGGAGGAGGGCCTCTGAAAGCTTCAAGGAGCCCTGCCACGTTTATCCTTGGTGAAGCTGAGGGGGAGCAACTCGATGATAAAGTGGCCTCTTCATGCAGGTGAAGCCAATCATCAGAATCAGACACATGCCAGTCTTTGAGAAACGAGTTGCTTCTATTTAACAAAGTTAAGTTACAGCTTATCACCTTCTTATATTTTGCTTTACATAAAACATCTCAGCATAGGGGGTAACCCACGTTTCTGCCCATCTGTCTGTGGATCTGTTTATCTGGGGCTAGTGGCATGCAAACCATCAGCATACAGTTTAGTCATTTGGTAATGATTTAAACTGTCCAGCAGGTGGTGCTGTCTGAGCTGGTGAATTCACATCCACAGAGGCCTACGTCAGGGTTTTCTTCACATGTGCTGATGTTGGTGTGACTCAAACATACTTTGATTCGTTTGTTATATTAATGAACTTTATTTATTCTCCACTTTTCTGTAAAAAGAGGGTTTCGTTCTATTATAAACAAATCTTTGTTTCTTGTAGTCACACTTCTAAGCACTCGTCTTCTCACTGTGCTTTACATGGTCAGGGAAAGACTTAGTAAACTGCAGTAAAAACTATAACATTAGACCTCCAGACCAGCCCCTGCAAGCAAGCGAGCGTGCGGAAGAAGAGCTCCAGTTTACCAGGATGAGATCTCTGACAGGAGCCGAAAGAACGAACACAGCACAAAACTATGATACAACTAAGCAGAGTTTTAGTGTCATTTAGCTTCATGAAAATGTTTGTAATGTAAGAAGTATAGATGGTGTCTGTTTCCTAAATGCAGTCTGCCACCGGTGGGCCTGTGCTCCCACAGTGGGCTGCTCTGTTGGAATAATGTGGCGCTCTGAGACCTCCAGGATGCCAGAGCTGTTTGAGACGTGATAAATGCATGTTTCCCTTTCACCAGTCATCATTCAAATAAAGCAACAAACCACCACACCATGTTGCTAATTGTCCTTTGATGAATCACATCTGTTAACACGTTCCAGTTCATAAGTTTGCTGTCAGTGTGTTGGCTTTTCCCTTCCAAAGCACTTTTATAACGACTGTTTTAAGGTCAGTCTGCAATAAGATTCATGTTAACTGACACAGTTATTAATTGTGTGGTATTTCTGGCTGCAGTACTGAAGTGGAGGACACCAGTGAGGCTGAATCCAGAGGAGTTCCTGATTCCTCTGCTCCTACATCTCCACCGATCAAGGAAGAGCCCAAGAAAGGAGCGATAGCAGAATTCCCTCTGACGCTGCTGCAGACACAACCCGCGTGTGACGTGTATCCAGATCTGCACAAAATAATACAGGTAGTGTCTGAAGGGGGATCCCGTACTCTTCAGTTCCTTAAAGCTGATTCTTGGACCAGAAAGCTAACGGCTTTAAATAATTATCATTTCAATTTTTAACTGTTGTCAGGATAAATTCATGGAGATCCTTTCTCAGTATTTCAAAAGTGTTCCCTCCAACCCACACTACTTCTACTACTCTCCACCTTCATCCAAGAAAGAGGTGAGTTTGCTGTAAGTTTGCTACAATATCGTGCGTCACATAGCAGGTTAGATGTTATAAAGAGGGATGGATGTCATCAAGGATTTGGACAAATCAGATGTTGGGGGGAAACTAAAAACTGTTTATTTCAGAGAAGCAAACCGAAGAGAGGTGAGTCTGTATCTCTATATCTGAGCATGAACCTTGCTGCTCTGATTTTCCTTCACAGGAGTCGGAGGACGGCGAGATGAAAAGACGGGCGAGTGAAGAGCTGCTGTCAGAAGCTGAGCCCGCCACTGAAGACGGTAAAGGCCGTTCTGAAACGTTTGCCTTTAGTTTGGGTTTGTTGTTAGTCTCCCGTCAGCACTGTGGTCACACATTCAGTTGTTCAGTGTTCAGCAGTAACAAATGTTAAAGGTGGAGGACCTTTCATGTTTCGTCCTTCATTAAGCACAAGTTGTTATACTGCTAAGCTTCCCTGAAGCTTCTGTGCAGGAGTATCGTAGCTTTTTTGTGTTTGTTGTTTCTTTTCTTCCTCCTGTAGCTGTTGATAACCTGTAGCCAAAAGGCTGATAGTGGAATCATCGAAATTACTGTGAAAACGTGACTCAACAAAAGGGCTGTTGTTGTTGGAGGAGGCTACAAAAGATAAAATGTGAGACTGATAGAAAGGGAAAATAAAACGAGTGAATTTTCAGCAGTCGTCCATCCTGTGCTCTGAGCACTAAATTTCAGATATTTCTCTCCAGTCAATAACAGCACCTGCCTGCTCGTGAGCGTTACACAAGTGGCTTTTTATAATGGAAAGCAATCGTTATGGTGACTTCAGCGTCTGGGAGAAAGGTGTAGAAGAACTCAAAGCAGGGTGAAGATGAGGAAGACTCTGAGGCCGAGCCCAGTTAAACTGATCATTTTAGTACGGCTCATTTCACATTTAATATCCAGTTAGTGCTTCATCAGTTAGTTTTTAATCAGCCGTCGTTATTTCAGCGACTTCTGTTTCATGCTTTAGAAACGCGAGACACATCGCCTCCTTTTGAGGTGTCCCGACTTCAATAAATGTGGAGCAATGAAACAAACAGCAGAGGTCCAACGCACACAGGAGAAGAAGTCTGCAGCATCACATCAGCACACGTCTCCTGCTAAGAACACACTTGAAAATGCTTTTATAACATCAGGGTTAACGCCCCTTCTCACGTCGATTGCAGATCAAATACATCGATTGCAGTAAATGGTACATGTTAGATGGCTAAAAACAGACACAGAAGTTCCTCTTTCTATAACAGCTTCCATACATGGCAGTAAATTTCCAGCCTAGACAGTCCCTGAGGGCTTGTCCTTTTCTTGACTTGTCTTCTGTCATCTGTTACCAAGCAAACTGAAATGCAGTTAGAAGCTAAATGAATTTCGGGCTTTTGGCCTGGCAGGATTATGTGTTTGTAAGCGTGTGCGCTGTTTATCCTTCTGTGCTCCAAGTCACCTACACTATAGATTGTGAGGACACAGCGCTTCACAAAGCTTAAAACCTTCTTTAAGAGACTGAGCATCAACTCTGAATGAGCACAAACATGCAATGTGTATAAAATAATTATAGCTGCACCTGTAAAAAAAGGTTAACATGGTGGCAATAACTTTAATAAGCATCTCTAATGCAACATCAGTGCTGTGGGATATATTACTAATACAATGTTAATAATGCAGGTTATATTGTAGCAGTAAATGATCTCTGTACAGGTGTCTGGTACTCGTCTGTGTATTCATATACAGTTATATGCCTTTACTGTTAGACACTGACACAAACACATAAGTTATAACTCAGTGAGTAACCTTCAGGGATTCCAGACGTTCATGTGGAGTCCTTTATTTCCTGGAACGCCCAATGCAGTCCTGCGTTATCGAGAGAACAACGTCAAGACAGGGGTCGCTTTTCCCGTAGTCGGCATGTAGCCCACATATGCACAACAATGCATAACAGGCAGGATCCACGTGGTCCCTGCGGGTCAATAAAAAGCCTGAAAGTAAAATAAAGTCTTTCTTAAAACCTTATTTAACCAAAGACGTGAAACAACAAAAAGAGTTTGCAGAGTTTATGATTCTTAGGACTACTTTAAAGTTGTCTTGCTACACTTGCAGAAAATGTGCCGTCTTCCTGCATAATGACGGAGAGCGACACAGATCTGGTGGTGGAGTATGAGGAGCACCCAGGCAGCAGCTCCCAGGGAGAGGGTGAGGACCAGTCCCTGTCTGACTCCAACACTGTGAACCAGGACCAGGACTCGTTCAGCATCCTGGAGGGAGAGTCCCTGCTGGAGAACGAGGCCCCACAGCTGGACATGCCACCACTGTTTGTTCACATCACCTGCTCTGTCAACATGAAGAGCTGCCATGGCTCCGTGCCCATGCAGACGCTGCCCACGTGCCTGGGTGAGTACAGCTGACTGCTTTCCACCTAAGTGGCTTCTTTCTGTGCAAGGAAGCATATCTGAAGCTGTGTTACTCTTTTGCTTCTATAAATCACCACTTTGGACAAAGAGCTTCTTCTTCACACTGTTAATTTTGTTCCCGAGCTTACTTCACAGTTGTGTTTGCAGGTGAGGTCATTTCCTGCCTGGAGAATGCTGAGGCGGTGCAGTCTGTAGATCTGAACGAACTCTCGGTCACGCTGGATATTTTTGTTCTGACGCTGCCTCTGGAGATCGAAGCCATGGCGGACTTCCATCATAACAGGTCGTGTGCAAAATCCAAATTTTTTTTTTATCTCAATTTTACATCCTGATCGATTGCAGTAAAGATCCTTTGTAGGAGCGTTGGTAGGATTTTAATGAAATCACACTTTTTAAAAGCGGTGACACAGAGCAGAAATAAAGACAGAAACTGGTGACGTTGCTTATTCTGCAGTGAATTTCTCAAATGGCCTTTAAAGAGTTATTGATGCCTCTTTGGGCAGGACGTTACTCACTTTCCTGGATTTGACCACAAAAAGCAAACAGAATGAAAGGAAAGCTGAACATGAACCAAAAACAGACCCTTTCAGAGAACAAAGGATCTTTCTGCACTGCTCTCTGAATTAAAGTGGCTCCAGCACAGATGAACCAGGAACACCTTTGAAAGAGAAACACGACAAACTGGACCACAGTTTGTCAGCGTTTATGTTACCCAGTCCTAGTGCTCGTTAGCTCTGCTGGTGACCTGTCCAAGGTGTACACCGCCTCTCAACCTGTGATAGTCGCAGCCAGATGAAGAGATGAATAAATGTCAGGCAGATGAAACTCAATGAGAGCATTTTAGCAAATCACAAGCTTTGAAAGTAAAAAACAGCTCTGTGAGATGGAGGCGGAGCTTCATTTTAGACACACCCCACTCAGGACCCTGGACCTCTATCTGCCTGTATATAATCATCCATAATGCACATCTAAGAAAACACTGCAGCATCAGTCTGGATCTCACAGACAGTTATAGAAAAGGCTGAACTGACAGTTGGTAGATGGACTCAAACAAGCCTTAGAAAAGCAAAGCAACAGTTGTGGCTGTGTCGGTATTTCACTGATGACTACACCAGCACATCTGGAATATCACTCCATTCATTTTACTACAATTAAACACGTGCTGTTTCCTTTTATTTATTTCATTTTTTTAAGTTGAATTAATTGATTATTTTATCCACAGAAAATATCTTATTTCAGTCATTTTTCATTCAAAGACTGCTAATTTCCTGCTACCAAGTTATTATTGTTTCTATCATCGTGTAAACCTAAAAACCGAGGTGACAAAAATAATCAATTGTAATTTTTGTCTTCATGTTCAGTAGTTATTGCTTATTTTAGATTAAATTGACGGGATTGGAAGTGATGATTAGCAGCAGCACCAGAGTGAAGCTGTTGGCAGGAGACCCATGCACCCACTGCGTCTTTGAGTCAGTCTGAGTGTGGACTCCATGATGTTCACGTCAGCTGTCTCCGTGTGTAGGTACACCTCAGAGAGCAGCATGAATCGTTCACCAGGGCAGCCCTCCTCCTATCGCTCTGACGAGGAGCTGATGGCCGTGCTGGACAGTCTGAGGGGAGGAGGTGTCAACGGCATCTCTGGTGACCCCTTATCCAAACTCCCACTTCCCCACAAGTTGGCAATCCTGGCCACAATGGACGAGGTGAGTCCTCCCACACGTGACAGGTGGGCAGCTTTTCCACATTACTGAAGCGTGCAGCGTTCGTACACTTCACAAGAGCATTTCTAATAGTCTTTGTGAAAGATTCACTGAACAGATATCTGTGCTTCCTGCTGTTCCTGCACACACACACACACACACACACACACACTAGCAGTGCTGCTCTTATCCTGGTTTCTCTCGGTGTGATTCAGATCCGCTGGCTGCTGGAGGATGAGATCGTCTCTGCTCTGCGTCACTCTCGGGTCATCGGCCCGGCCACGCTGCAGAAAGTGGCGGAGCACGTTTTACGCTCCAGCGGTCGACCGCACTGTCACTGTGAGGAAGTCCCGCTTCAGTTTGTCTTTGGGCCTGAACAGTCGCTGGAAAAATTCAAAGAGGCAAGAAGAACAAACAGGATTTAAACTTGAGACACAAAGTTTCTCCAGGAATGTTCTACAAAAACATGTCTGCACATATTTGTATGAGAACATGATAGGAGTTCATTAATGAATCTTTAATTTTGTTCTTGCATACGTGCCTACAGGCTGATTCACAGGCATGCACAGAGGTTTGTTACTTCTGTATAGATGGACGTATGAATATAAAGTACAACGTTTGTTTATCTTGCAGGAGTTTCGTAGGATGTCTTTCTCTGGCTATGTGTTAAATGGAGAACAGGCCGGCTTCTACTATATGTCTCTGAGCAGACTGCACCCTCAGAGGATCCGAGAGACCGAGAGGCTGTCTGAGAGCACTGCATCCCCCCCACAACAGCCTGCTGCCGCCACCATATCCTGCAGTGCTGCAGCTCAGGCGGAGACCACGACGCTCGAGAGCGAAGCAGAAGCTCAGGCCGACAGTGAGGTTAGATACATCAGTGACTGTGATGTGCAGAGGAGGGAAAATACATCAGATCAGCCTTCATCTGTCCAGCTGTGCATTCAGTTTGTTTTTATGTTATTATTGACATCAGCATAAATCCATGATCGGAAATAAATCAGGTTAAATTTTAAGACGTATAGTTGGTAGAGTTTATCTGCAGGAGTTTATCAGACAGAATGACTCTAACTTTTACTTGAACTCTGTGCAGAGTGAGGACAGGAAGCCAGTCAGTGTTGCTGCTGATGCTCTCAGTGACACGACTCCGGACGCTGGTGAATCAGTTGCAGCCTTGAAGCCTGAAGCAGATGACTCTGTTAGCATGGTTGGGGACAGAGGTCAGCCCAGTACCCCCCAGCTGCAGGCAGAGAGCTGCACAGAGGCCAGCTCACCCCCAAAGACACCCTCGAGTGTCAGCCTGGCTGAGTCCGTGCAGTCGGCCTCTCACAGTGAGTTTCACATTCATACCTGTTTAGGTTTGCTTGTTTCACTGTTTTGTTGCACGTGTGTCATCATCATGTCCAGTGATGATGACACACCTTACATTTGTACTTTATTCATTCCAGAAGTTGGTCAGTAAAAAAATAAACTTCATATAAAAAGATAAATATAATGCATAATAAATCTTAATAAATACAAGTATTAAAAAAATAAAGTCCATGTAAAAGTAAAATGTGAAGATATTGTAACAGTAACCGATTCTTTCAGCGTGGTGCACCGTTCGGGTTTCAGCTCTGTAGTTTAACCTGCGTAGAACAGAGACGCGCTCCTCTATCACTTCTTGTTTTCTCTCCTCAGGTGGCGGCAAACTCAGGCCGAGTCGAGTCCAGAGTGTCGTCTCCAGCCAAGGCAGCCTGGACTCAGACATGCAGGGTAAGTGCTGCACAAAGCTGAGTGAGAGGCTCCCTGTGGGGGAGAGTCATAGAAACACCTGAAAGGTTCAAAGTGTCTGCTTTACAGAGTCTTAATTCTTATGTTATAGACGGTTCATGTCAATGCGTCTTCAGAAGAATGGTGGAAACATGTTAAATACAGACGTAATGCTGTGTTGACAGGTTATGATGGTGGCAGCAGCGACTCTGAGTGTGAGAGCTCCACCCTGGATGAACAGGAGTGCCAGGCCCGGCTTATGCCAGACTTCTGGCTCATTGTTAAGATCCACCAGGACAGAGTGACGGTGTACTCCCACTCCAGGTCAGAGTCATTTAGTGATTCCCATTTTTCATTCATTTAGTAACAAGTGACCTAAAAACAACTATACAGGTTTTAATTGAAGCAACTGTAACAAGTTTTCAAAGAAGCCCCTGTTTAAGGACCCGTTTTTATTTTTATAGACATGAAAAATCAGAACCGTTTAAAGCAGGGTGTCGGACTCCAGGCCTCGAGGGCCGGTGTCCTGCAGGTTTTATATCTCACCCCGGGTCAGCACACCTGAATCACATGATGAGTTCATTACCAGGCCTCTGGGGAACGTCACAACCAGGGCTCTAGAGTGCCACCAATTTGGTTGCAAATGCGAGCAAATTTTTCAGTGGTGCGACTAAAAAAAAATATTTGGTTGCACCTGTGCGACCAACTGTTCAGGTAGCAAAAAAAAAAATCTGCAACCTTCCCTGTGGTCAACAACAGACACACATTTTGTCCCTATCGTGGACTGAACCAATCAGAGATAGTCAGGGGCGGGACCTCTCTGATTGGCCGTGGTCCAGTTGAAAGTGCAGGTGGAAGTGGGAGGTTAGTAGCTTGAATAAAGCGATATTATTCATTAAATCCTGACTTTTAAATATAACTATGTTTTGTCAGAAACGCCAGATTCTCAGGAGGTCGCCAGATGTTATCTTTATGAGGGAAAGTCTATCAAATACAAATGTTGTTTTCCTTTGACTCTTTCTTATTTTTCATTTTTCTTTTAGTCAAACGTTTTTCCTTTCTGACACTAGAGGCACTAAAAACAAGTCTGAGCTTACTTTCATAACTTTGATCACGGCTGTTCATCCTTTGGGTGTGTTGTGTCGTTACAGATGCTTCAGTGAGGGAAAAGAGGTCGGCACCGAGGAGCTGGAGAAGAAGGAGGAAGAGCAGGAGTTGCCTGAATGCTTACAGCTGCATCAAATGGTGGTCAGGAAGATCGGAGAAATGTGCAGAGTTGTGAATCAGGTAGTTACCTCAGCACCCCAAGCTGCGTCTCTTTCATTGTTTGTAGCAGCATAATGTCCTCGTAAGTGGACATCAGGCCCTTGTAGAGCAAAATTGAGTATTTTAGTCTAAATAACCCAAAATGTGACGTCCACATATGTGGACGCAGGTCCTAGGAGGTTAATTGCTGGATCATTTTCAGACATTTAAGAGGATTGAAACTTGCATTTTCAGTCTACTGCTCGGTGTTTGCACACTCTGTGCTTTTGTAGCGTATGCTGCTCCAGGACCTGCACGACAGCCATCTGTGTAACAAGCTGCTGGTGGCTGAGAGTGAGGAAGACATCTGGAAGAGTGAGCCTCACTGCAGGCAGAGGCTCAACACCGCTGATGGTGAGTGAGAACAAGCTGCAGGTAGTTTTACAGTGTTTTATATTAACGCTGGGATTCCTCACAAAGGGTTTCAGAGCCTATAAGACATTTGCAGTCTTCTGTCATGTTGCACTCTGCAGTTAGTCCTCTGCAAATAAAGTTGTAAATATTGGTATTTCTCTAACCACAGACTACAGCACAGAGGAGAGCTACCAGGCCAGAGATTATCTGGCTGCTACCATGCAGTTTATCCCAGGGCACTTTGCCTGCGATGTGGTTTGGCGCACAATCATCCACATTCACCCCCGCCTCAAGATGGGACCCAACATGGGAGTGGCCAGAGGTGAGAGGAACGTCCGGGTGCTCGGCTTTAAACGCGTGCAGTCATTTCAGTTCAGTGTATGATAAATCTCTTCTTACTCCGAGGAGTTGCTGTGTAGGATTTAAATGGCTCCAAAGCAAAAACAGGATTTGTAATTCTGTTATTAAATGTGCACCCGTAGCTATAAATCCATGCGTTTTAATTAGCTTTAACTGGGAACATGTGGACTCTTTTTCATGGCTCACTGCCATATTTTCGCTCAGGTTATGATCCAACTTTTTCAATTCCAGTATGATACTGAGGGCTGGACTAATCTTTGATACAGAGAGCTGAAGAAATAAGTGCTTGTGACTGAGCAGTGACTCGAGTCACAGCAGCGACTGCTGTAACGTCCTGTTGGACGCTGGTTGTTGCAGTGGGCTGCAGTTGGGACTGTGGTTGTACTGAGTGTGTACTTGATGTGCAGTTCTCATATTTACATCAATTATGTGCTTATTAGAATCTTTCTCTGTTTCAATCCAGCGAAGATGATGTTCCTAAATCAGTGGATTTGTTCTGTAAACGTGGATGTTTCTGTCTTCCTGTCGCAGCGATCCAGGCCCTGCGCTCTGTGTTGAATGCCTTCTGCGTGGTCAACAGGAAGAACATGTTTGTCTACCAGGAGCGTTCCACTAAATCAGTCTTCTACCTCAGGTTTGACTCTCTGTTACTTCTTTTCTTCTCCAGTGGGTCCAGTTTTGTCCCCAAAGTATTTTTCAGCATTTCGCCCCCGATGCTTAAAGAAAGCTCCCAGTATAAACTTCCCAGTATAAGTTCCCAGTATAAACTTTCCTCTATATTGCGAGAGCTTTGTGAAGATTGTTGTGACACGGCTCTCCTTGACTTTTTTCCATCTCGTTTGCTGGAAGCAAAAATCCACCCACAGATGTTCTTACAACAGCAGTGTGGTGGAGGAGAAATCCGACTTCCTGGTAATTGAACTGCTGTCAAACAGGACATCGCAAGGAAACAATTTTGTGATGTTTGTGCCAGATGGAGGAGCTTCCAAATCGCAGTGTTCACTCTGAGGCTGGAGCCAGCGTTTCCTCTCATGCTTGCTGACGCAGTTCCCGTTCACTTCACAGTGAAACACAGTCAGTTAACTTACTGTGTTGTGTTTAACTAAAGGTTTGCTGGAGTTGAACACAACACTTTGTGTGCGTGTTTGTTTGATTCATAAGGTGGAGTCCACGGCATTGAAATGTGGGTTTTTGATGTATTTGGAAAAGAAAATATTTTATTTGCATAAGAACCGTCGTCAAATGTTATAAATCGGCCTGACAGGCATGCAGTCATTATTCTTTACAAACCAGCAGTGTGTCATCCCAACATTAGCATCGAATCTTTTCTATTTAGTTTCTTTGTTTATTTAAGTCGCACATCCTCAGCAATCGCTCTCCTTAGAACGCACCTGCAGCAGACGGTCTTTGGTTTGAAGGGTTTGTCACTGGAGAAATAGCTGAGACGGTCACGATGGTTCCATTTCAGTTGTTATTCAGGACGTCTCTGGATGTGGTGCAGAGGGAAAGCACGAAGCATGTGCTGCTGCTGCACACAGGTGATCAGCTGATGATCGTATCAGCTGTTTCATTGTGTGTTGTTCTGCAGGAAAAGCGCTAAAATCCCTTGTTTGAGAATAAAACAGGAAACAAACAACAGAATACGGAGTTTCATGTAAATCAGTCTGTGTGAATGTGTGTATTTATATAGATTATTGAGGTGATGTAGTGACGATAAAAACAGCGGCGAGACGTATGTAATGTTACACCTCAGCAGCATCTTTGCTCCGACATGAATTTGTGATGAGGATTCAAGCGTACGTATTGATTGGAGCGTGAGTGATTAGAGCAGTCTATCTACACTCAAAGTGGCAGCACATCGACGTTTCTCTGCACAGGCAAAGCAGAAAGTAAGTATTGTAATTTACCTCTAATGTGTTTCAGATATGCAGCATTTCTTTAACATCACTGAGAGTGAGTTTCAGATAGAATAGCCTGAGAAGCAGCAACAAATTGTGTGACATTTGTCGTAATGGTGCGGGCAGAGATGGTTCTCTCTTCTTAAATACATGATTATTACCAGCTCATCCAGAAAAACATCAACTTACCTCCTCGTGCTCTTTCCAGACTCTGTGAAACGTCACTAACAGGGAAGTACTCCGACATGGACGGGAACCTCCACGTGCCTCGCTGCATCGGGCTCGCCAGGAGTCAAGAGCCTTCGATGTCCGAGGACTCTGTAGTAAGTGACCAAGTCTGTTCACCACTGACTGCAACCAGTAACAGACCATTTCACTGTGAGATGTGGGGACTGTGTGATGATGTAAGCCAGGATAGGCAAAGTTAGATGCAGGTTCCACACAAACGTCTACATTCTGAAACATTTAGAGTTTTTGTGTATATAAAACTCAAAGATGACGATAAGGTTTTTGTTCAGAGTCTTAGTCGGTTTGAGAGGTGCAGGCATGGGTGGAGAGTGGGCAGACAGGTAAGTATCAAGAGAGGCAAGGATCCAGAAATGAGGCTGACAGTTTGCTGGCGGCCACACGGGGGGAAATTTACTGAACAAGGAAAATCTCCGATAATTGACTGGGAGCATAATTTGAGCCTAAATTGCTTTGACGACTGTAACGTTCTGGCAGAGTCGGTGTATGAGCTGGTCCTTAAATACTGCAGGGTGATGAGGTGGTAAAGCACAGGTGTGCCAAACCTGCCCACAGGCATGAACCTGAGCTGCAGAAGGAGAGAGGCAGAGTATGTGCCAGGCTGGGACGGATCAAACGTATGAGACTGTTCAGCTTGATTTGAATCCCATTTTTCACAGTTTGTCTGCAGCACTATTCCTTTAATCTTATCAACGTGTCATTTTATCATGTGTTTCTGTTGGTTGGTGGACTTATGTTAAAACAGCAATTATGCCATTAAGATGATCTCGCTGGAATTTGTTCTCTCTGAGGGCCACAGGCTTAGTTTCCCAGACATGGATTAAGTCTACTCTCGGACTAAGATCTGCTCTTAGAGTAAAAGTTTCACTTGTCAGACCACTAAAGCTGGACCATAGGTGCATCTACTGAAAATCTCGGATGAGTTTGAATCTCAGTGGTCAGGGTTCGAGCTTCATCAAAATGCAGTTGAGAAGAAGGTGAGATAGGCTTTTGAAATTGATACCATAGTTGTATCTACTGGGAGGCTGAAGGGTAGCACTGGTGGAGACCAGTATCTTCCTTTAATTTCCCACTCTTCTGTGAAATGCTTCAAGGACTTCCTCCCGATAATAAACCACAGTGTGCACATGAAGGTTTGTTGCTTAATTGGATTAATAAAACAGGGATTTTAAGTCTTCTGGAAGTTTCCTGTAGTCAAAGGTCAGAGAATTCAGGCAAGTTTTAGTTCAGTGACTGTAATTCCAGGTCCGGTGGTTCTGTGCACCTTATCTGATGTTCTGAAAGGGAGATTATACCCGAGCCTGTCAGTCACTGGGTGCAGTCGATAAGGCAGGAAAGCAAGACGCTTTCAGCTGCGTTCCCTCAGATTCACTCACGGAACGGCTGATGGACAGTTTTGGAAAGCACTTACATTAAGCAGCAGAAGTAAATCTCATCTTCCTCTCAGCATATTTCCAGAGGATCCTGTGCCCATGGAACGGGCAGAAAGGACAACGTGAAGCGAAGTATGAAGGACTGAATATTTGTCAGCACAAGCAGAGAGAGCAAACAGATGTCTATCATAATATGAACATGCACACTGTTTACCAGATTAAGCACGGGGGAGGGTTTTGGTACATTGGCAGGAGGCATGAGCACATTTGATGCCAAGTCCATGTACATATACCTCCCACAGAGATGCTCTGTCACACACAAATTAAAGGATACCGGTGTAATCTGCATTGAGGTTTGAAATCAGAGTACTGTTGCCAAATCTTTGATGTGTCTTTCAGGGCTCCAGGTCTTCTTTGGAGGGCTCTCGGCCAGTTGGACAAGTAGATAAGCACATCCTGCTGCTGGTGCATGGAGTGGGAAGTGCAGGTGAGAACTGGGAAACATCAGGGCTTGAGAATCATTTCCAAGTTGTAATAGTGCGTTCCAAATGAAGTCAGAATTATTTTCCCAGGCGGAAACGCCCTCTCAGCTCAGAAAGTTGGAGCAGCTCCACCAACACGAGTTAATAAAGTAAAAAGGCGGCAATGAACGTAAACATCAGTAAAACTGTGAAACTTTTAATCTGTACAGTTCTTCACATCACAGGCTCTATCCACTAATGTGCTGTTTTATAGTAAGGAAAAGTATTGTGCTGTATTGATCGTAATGTACAAATTGCTCTACCTCGCTAGCAAGCCAAACAAATTCTGTTTTTCTTTGATTTTCTGATTTGGCCACGATAATGAAGCCAATTTGGGAGTGATGTCACTATGAGTAGCTGAGATTTTCATATTTTCCAGGTGAGAAATAAAAGCGCTCATGTGCTAGATTGGACTAAAATGATCAGATGTCCACCGGACAGAGAATATGCTCGATGCAAATCTAAAGTAGTTTTCACCGAAGGTTTTTAATGCATAAAAAAAGCAGAAATCATCCATGTGATGGAGAATGCATATGGTTCAAAGGCTGCCTGCAGTAGTAATAGTGTCCTTTGCTGCAGCCTTTGTGGTTCATTGTCAAACATTTCATTTTAATATTTGTGAAGAAGCAAGCCCAGCACAATATCACCTCCTGTAGAATAATGTCATTAAAAGGCAGCAGCTTAATCTGCTCATCTTCATGTTTGTCTTAAAGACCAAAGCACTGAAACACAATCACCTCCTGATGGTGAACACAACTCCTGCACTGGTTTTAGTGGGACAATATTTAAATAACCATTACTTGAAAAGTATGAGGGGAAAAGCAAACCACAGAATCAAAGCAGCTGATGTCAAAGCCAATTCAGCTTTTACACCAATTAAATTACAAATTGGTGACTTAAAGCCTGACCTGCAGATCGCTGCTTCTCACACTATAGACACAGATGCTGCATCCAGACTCGTGAAATGGTAAACGGACGGTATTTCTATTTTCTCTTTTCTATACTTTTCGTCTTTGCTGAGAACTGAAAGCACTTCCTTACAACAAGACACACACACACAAACACTCGGTGCTTTATTTTGTCCACTTTAGGTGCTTTTTACCTGATGCGTGCACACACCCATCACACTCTGATGGTTGCATCAGGAGCAATTTGGGGTTTAGTATCTTGCCAAAAGGCCCAAAGGACTCTTTGTCATGTGGGTTCAGCTCGAACCTCCTCATCTTTAAGCAGAACGTAAGGATGCATTTGTAATGGTATTTCTAAATATATATATTTTATGCAACTATGTTGTAAACATAAGATAACATAAGGGTACACCACATACCCTGTGTCATAAACAATGTTCCCTCTAATGTTTCACGTGTCTGAGCGAACACACAAACTCCCTGAGCCGACACTTGGACCACTGTGAGCAGCAGCAGACGTGAGCACTGTGGTCACGCCAGCATCCAAGTTACATGTTTATTAAAATAATCAAATTACAGCGTTTATGTTAGACTACTTTTAATTAACTGCTTCAGCCCACTTACAATGAAATTTAAAGAAGATCTTGTTGATGACCTGTGCAGCATGTTAACACTATTGGAAGGAAAAATAACTTTAACTTTTTATATATTTATAAAGCTCTGACTTGTATTGTGAGTCTGTGGTCTGTTAGAGAGTCTGTAACTCTGTCTGTAAAATACAGTAAATAATGACCAATGTTGGGCAATTAATTATATAGTTACTTCTTCAAAAAAGTAACTGAGTTATGCAAACAAGTGTTTTTGCAGCTGTTTACCTAAAAATGCAGCCAAGGCTTTTTTAAACAAACATTTCAAACTATTCACAGAACAATCAGCTGTTCTGCATCAAATCTGATGCCACACAAATTATTTGTGCCGCTCCAAAAATAATTTGTGTCCACTATGAGATGAAGGAGAACAACAGCCTGATACCTGCAGGCCTGACAGCAGCAGATGTGTCACTGCTGTAACACCTGTAACACTCAGCAGGCGCCTCATTGTTCTGACACACAACAACACTACTGACTACACTACACACTGACTACACACTCACTACACACTGACTACACACTAACTACACTCTCACTACACACTGACTACACACTGACTACACACTGACTACACACTGACTACACTCTCACTACACACTGACTACACTCTGACTACACACTGACTACACTCTCACTACACTCTGACTACACACTGACTACACTCTCACTACACTCTCACTACACACTGACTACACTCTCACTACACACTGACTACACACTAACTACACTCTCACTACACACTGACTACACACTGACTACACACTGACTACACTCTCACTACACACTGACTACACACTGACTACACACTGACTACACTCTCACTACACACTGACTACACTCTCACTACACACTGACTACACACTGACTACACACTGACTACACTCTCACTACACACTGACTACACTCTGACTACACTCTCACTACACACTGACTACACTCTCACTACACTCTGACTACACTCTGACTACACTCTCACTACACACTGACTACACTCTCACTACACTCTGACTACACTCTCACTACACTCTGACTACACTCTCACTACACTCTGACTACACTCTGACTACACACTGACTACACTCTCACTACACACTGACTACACTCTCACTACACACTGACTACACACTGACTACACACTGACTACACTCTCACTACACACTGACTACACTCTCACTACACACTGACTACACACTGACTACACTCTCACTACACACTGACTACACACTGACTACACTCTCACTACACACTGACTACACACTGACTACACACTGACTACACTCTCACTACACACTGACTACACACTGACTACACTCTCACTACACACTGACTACACTCTCACTACACTCTCACTACACACTGACTACACTCTCACTACACTCTGACTACACTCTGACTACACACTGACTACACTCTCACTACACTCTGACTACACTCTGACTACACACTGACTACACTCTCACTACACACTGACTACACTCTCACTACACACTGACTACACACTGACTACACTCTCACTACACTCTGACTACACACTGACTACACTCTCACTACACTCTCACTACACACTGACTACACACTGACTACACTCTCACTACACTCTGACTACACTCTTACTACACACTGACTACACTCTCACTACACTCTGACTACACTCTTACTACACACTGACTACACTCTCACTACACTCTGACTACACTCTGACTACACACTGACTACACACTGACTACACTCTGACTACACTCTGACTACACTCTCACTACACACTGACTACACTCTCACTACACACTGACTACACACTGACTACACTCTCACTACACTCTGACTACACTCTGACTACACACTGACTACACTCTGACTACACACTGACTACACTCTCACTACACACTGACTACACTCTCACTACACACTGACTACACACTGACTACACTCTCACTACACACTGACTACACTCTCACTACACACTGACTACACTCTCACTACACTCTGACTACACTCTCACTACACACTGACTACACACTGACTACACTCTCACTACACTCTGACTACACTCTGACTACACACTGACTACACTCTCACTACACACTGACTACACACTGACTACACACTGACTACACACTGACTACACTCTCACTACACACTGACTACACTCTGACTACACACTGACTACACTCTCACTACACTCTGACTACACACTGACTACACTCTCACTACACTCTCACTACACACTGACTACACTCTCACTACACACTGACTACACACTAACTACACTCTCACTACACACTGACTACACACTGACTACACACTGACTACACTCTCACTACACACTGACTACACACTGACTACACACTGACTACACTCTCACTACACACTGACTACACTCTCACTACACACTGACTACACACTGACTACACACTGACTACACTCTCACTACACACTGACTACACTCTGACTACACTCTCACTACACACTGACTACACTCTCACTACACTCTGACTACACTCTGACTACACTCTCACTACACACTGACTACACTCTCACTACACTCTGACTACACTCTCACTACACTCTGACTACACTCTCACTACACTCTGACTACACTCTGACTACACACTGACTACACTCTCACTACACACTGACTACACTCTCACTACACACTGACTACACACTGACTACACACTGACTACACTCTCACTACACACTGACTACACTCTCACTACACACTGACTACACACTGACTACACTCTCACTACACACTGACTACACACTGACTACACTCTCACTACACACTGACTACACACTGACTACACACTGACTACACTCTCACTACACACTGACTACACACTGACTACACTCTCACTACACACTGACTACACTCTCACTACACTCTCACTACACACTGACTACACTCTCACTACACTCTGACTACACTCTGACTACACACTGACTACACTCTCACTACACTCTGACTACACTCTGACTACACACTGACTACACTCTCACTACACACTGACTACACTCTCACTACACACTGACTACACACTGACTACACTCTCACTACACTCTGACTACACACTGACTACACTCTCACTACACTCTCACTACACACTGACTACACACTGACTACACTCTCACTACACTCTGACTACACTCTTACTACACACTGACTACACTCTCACTACACTCTGACTACACTCTTACTACACACTGACTACACTCTCACTACACTCTGACTACACTCTGACTACACACTGACTACACACTGACTACACTCTGACTACACTCTGACTACACTCTCACTACACACTGACTACACTCTCACTACACACTGACTACACACTGACTACACTCTCACTACACTCTGACTACACTCTGACTACACACTGACTACACTCTGACTACACACTGACTACACTCTCACTACACACTGACTACACTCTCACTACACACTGACTACACACTGACTACACTCTCACTACACACTGACTACACTCTCACTACACACTGACTACACTCTCACTACACTCTGACTACACTCTCACTACACACTGACTACACACTGACTACACTCTCACTACACTCTGACTACACTCTGACTACACACTGACTACACTCTCACTACACTCTCACTACACACTGACTACACACTGACTACACACTCACTACACACTGACTACACACTCACTACACACTGACTACACACTCACTACACACTAACTACACAAGATTTGTGCTAAACGTCACAAATCTCTCACATCTCAAACACGCCGTCACTCCTAAAACTTCCCCCTCCCTAAACAACTAAATGCCATGTTGCCATATCGTTTTTTGATTGGTCCACATGGTAATTTTTCCACCGATAGGAAAGGCTGGGGGTGTTTTTGTCTTTGCTCACAGGCTTTCGAGCGTTTTCCTTATAAAACGCCGTTTTTACCGTTTCTTCCTGCAGTAAATATAAACAACGACAGTATTCAGGAAGAAAAACAAACATTGCAGATATTTTATCATAACTCTGGTTTTACGCGGCCGATCAACACAATTTAAAAACTGGTATAAAGTCCACACTTTGTCCGTCAGTTGTTCGTCTGTCCTGCTCACATCTCCAATGGTTGTACACGTTGTCATTAACGTGGCTTCACTCCACATCAGCCGCTTTGCTAAAACACCGGCACATAAGGACGCTGTCACAGCCTGTCAGCCACGTTGATTAGCTGCGTATATACGAATGTGAATCGCATCATTGGCTGGACTTTGGGATAAGGTGGCATCGTTCTGATCCCATACGGGAGCAGCCAGTCACTGACTCACACTGCAAAACTGAATCGTTAAAGTTTTCATTTTAATTTCAATTCAGGTTAGATTTGTTTTTTTTGTTTGTTTTTTTTGTGCGCAATGCAGATTTTCTGTGCGCAGAGACCGAGCCAGCAGTGCACAATTGCGCATGTGCGCAGCTTAGTGGGAACATTGGTCATAAATATAACTTGAAAATTCATATTTTTACCCCTCAGTACGGAAGAGGATTAGGGCCACTGGAAAAAAAAAGTGGGCACGTCTTTTTTTTTTTCTCCTTTTCCTGAAGTCAGAATTCTGACTTTAATCTCAGATTATTATTGTTTCCAGTGGCCCTAATCCTCTTCCGTACCTCAGCCATAAAAGGCTGATGGGATATTGTTGTCACCCCACTGTGGGGGTGGGGTGGGGGGTGGGGGGGGTCAGCAGCATGAACATCTAAGTTTGTGAATAACTGGGAACGAGGCAACGTAGGAGCTTCAAATTGATGCCATTGGTGTTCAGATCTTAGTGACTTTGAGGGTTCTGCCAATCTTGTGAATGGCATGTCTGCTGGAGGGCAGCTTCTAGTGTTTTGAGTGGTGTAGAGCCCTCAAACTCCGTAGATGTCCATGCATTAGTAAGCTACTGAAAAACATGGTGACTGCATTGATGCATTGTTTCAATTAATGGCAGCAATGCAGCAACAACTTAACCTGCAGCAGTTAGTTAGGTTATCCTGGTGTTAATAATGGGCTGTGACATACATGTGGCAACATTTCCACATATGAACTTTGATTTCTTAAGGATAGTTGGGTCAAATGTTTTTTATAGATGTTCATGTTTCCTGCAGCCTAAGATGTAATGCGCTGTTATCTGTGACCATTGTCAGGCGCAGATTTTGCACAAAGCAGTTCTCAGTTTCTGAGGAGGCTTTTTAGTGCTGCGTAGCATTATGAAGGGCTTTGAGTGCTCAGCTCCATTTACCAGGAAACATAAATGAAGGCTTGTTGCACTGTGTGGCGCCCCTCAGTGCAACAAGCCGGTGGCTGATGCTGCTCCGCTGCACACACAGTGGTGAGGGGTGGAAACCTGCAGACAGTTTTGCTAACACCCTTCACTGCTCCTCTTCTCTCACTGAGTGTGACTTGGGGCGCTGACAGAGAAGGCAGTTGTCACCTACCTTGTTTACACATCTTTTGGGGAACAAGGGTTCTGTAGTCGAGGGGTGTGACTCCCAAATTGGACTCAATTTAGAGAGAAATGTTTTTCAGCCCTGCACACAACACAAACCCAACTACTGTGTGCACCTTAGTTTCATCACACTGAATAATCCCACTGTGTGTGTGTGTGTGCTTTAAACACGTCTTCCTTCAGCTAACTCATGTTAAAAATAGAAAGTCGAGACGTTTGGGTGTGAAGAGTTTCTGCTGCCCGGTGCTGTTCCTCCTGCGGACATGTTGATGGGGCTGTTGCACTGGGAATCTGTCTCAGGCAGACACGCTGGCCTCACTTCATGGTTTCTCAAAGCATAACTCATTAAAATCCTCCTCTGCTTCTGCCACTCATCATAGTCTGAAATGATCTTTATTCTGCAGTATCACTGGATGGCTGTATTAAAGTCTCCTCCATGTGTTTGTGTGATTAGTTTTCTTTTGTCAGCAGAAGAGCTGCTTTATTAAAGCAGACCCAACATTACTCCTTTACATGTTTTTTCTTATATAGAGTGCCACAGTAGTATCATGGTAATAGTTTCCAATATTGAGGTTAACGTATGTTTAAGCTGTGCACCAGAGATGACCATATTAGGAATGTCCCCTCTCTGTGACATCATACAGAGCCGGAAGTAGAAAAAATGCCTCTGTGTTTAGAGCAACCACAGGGATTGATTGTGGATAACCTGACCTTGCTATTTGAAACCAAGGCCATGTTCAATATCAACATTCACCTTGGAAAGTATAAATATGTCTTTGAGAAACAAAGACGAGGTTCCCTTGAAATGCTCAGCAGAAGCAAACAAGAATAAAAATGTTTCCGTCTGGATTTGAAAATTCGTTTTCGAGACGTTCCTGAAACTATCATGTTTTTTATGCTGCATTATATGTGAAAGCTGCTTCCCCATACTTTGGTTTTGCCCTTGGCACCACAGGCAGTCCACTCCCCATCGATCCAAGGCGTCTCACTCACATCAGCAACGGGCCCATCTTAGCATCTTTAAGCAAAGACTGATATTTTTTCCCCTTGTTTTCAATTTCTTCTTTCTTTTCTCATTTGTTTCTATACAGCCAGATCCAAGCAAGGTGCTGTATCCTTACTTTATACTGGGTTTCTAGGTTCATACAATATTAGTGAGACAACCATCCTGTGGCAGAACCAGTGTCTGCAGGGTGGTGCAGTCATGTGCTTCCATCACAGGATGGTGAACACAAAAACATCGGGCTATAGACGTGACGTTGGCATGTTATTAGAGATCAATATCACATAGCTGGAGACTTTCTAAACATCTCGCACAGCTTGAAAGTTTCTGAACTTCACAAACAAGGACAGTCTTAAACCACTTGGACGGTCCCTTTGTAGGCAGAACCTTTGGATTATTTGACTTTGTCACAGGGGAGCAGTTTGCCTCATGCACTCGATCCTCTGAAGACTTTAATCGCTAACTTTCTGTCCCGTTTCTAATGCACTGGCAGAAGAGGTGAGGGTGACACAGGGCTCTTTTATCACCGTTTGTTCAGGTCCAGAGATCACAGACGAGCTGGTGAAGGTGCTGCGTAAGCGCCTGGATGAAACCACCTTGGACATCATCACTGTCATGCTTGTCAGGAACTGCAAGCTGACGCCAGCTGATGTGGAGGTACATTATGATTTTCACTTTTTAGGGGAACGTTGCTTTTGTGTTTCTGTGTGTGTGGTGTTCTTCTGTAGTTCTGTGTGCAGCGACTTGTACAGTGAAATGAGTAAACTGTGTCCTGCGTCTGGGTTGTATCCACCCTGGGGAATGCAGAAAGCACTTGTTTGCACTCAGACTACTGAAAATTGCTTCAGATAAAAGCCTTCACCAAATGTTGTCTGGTCAGTTCATCCAGCCGTCAGGATCTCCAGCCACTGAGGTGATGACCTTCAGCCTCCCCCAGTACTGTCTGCCCTGGCTGTCCGCTGTGGCTCACTACCTCAAACAGAACCTCCTCATCTTCCTGCACGTGCCCAAGTACACGGACATGAACACAGCACATCACTTCAAGGTACAACCTAACATTTCCCCTCATGCGTTCACTTTAATATTAGTCTTTAAATCTTTAATAATACCTGGAATCAGCATGGTGTTAGTCAGGTGAGCAGAAAGAAATCTCGTTTGTTTCCAAAGGTTTTCAACCACAGTGACACTCTGTGATAAAACGCCAGCCTGTGGTGGAGAGTAATTACAAAAGACCTTTAATGATGGCTGCCTGTCATTACATTTCTATGTGAGCTGTGACGGTGCACCAGTATGCACAAAAACAGAACACCCTTTAAGTGGAGTTGAGCCTTCATTAAAACGCGAGTCCTCTGACACGTCAAAGTGTCGGCTGTGCAAGTGATCGTCTTTGTAGTTCTGGCTCTTGGCAGTTCTGTCACTTTCAATAACTGTTTACACCCCAAATGAAAGGCTGAGTTCAGGCAACACTGTGACATTGTTACAATAAAGTCTGATGGCGTGAAAAAAGCAGTCGGATCAGAAAGCTTGTTGTTACTTTATCGTTCACTCGGTCTGCTTGTTTGTATCTCTGTTTATTGGTTCTTTAGGCTTATTGAACATTGGGACTTATTACAGTGTTTTCTTTACTAATAATTATAGACTGTGTGTAAAATAGATTATTATGTTAATATTTGGTATCAAGTTACAGATGAATAAACTACTTGAATGCTCTTGTATGGGCCATTAGTCCAGTTACCTCCCACAGCAAACAGTGTTAGTTCTCAGATAATTAAAAGGGACCCCAACACATTGCTGTGGATGTGCAGGTTAAAGACAGTTCACAGGAATTTGGAGGCAACACAGAAAACTTGAAGAAACTGTCAGGAACTAAAGTCAGGTTTGAAATTCTGGAAGTTGCCTGAAAAGCTCTGCAGTTTATCCCTGTGGGCCTCGAGGAGGCTGTGACGTGAACCACAGACATGAAGAATAGAAAGGGACCACCAGACATTCTAGTGAAAGAAACCCGCTTTGATAAAATAAATAAAAGGGTAATGTAAATATGTCCTAGCATGTCTACTAAGATCGTTCTGTTTGAATAGATTAGCCTTTATTTTACTGGTAAATCCCACTGAGATCAAAAATGTATTTCATAAGAGACACGTGTCCAAGGAAGCAGCTAAACAGGCTCACAACACATAAAGATACACGAGCGATAAACAAGTGTCCACTGGTCCACTGCAGGACACCAGCTGCCTCCCAGTAAGAATAAGAAGCAGGCACTGTTACTGGTTACCTGAGCATCTGATCGGTGTAACCCAGCTTCCTGTAGTGTGTACCTGTTCAGGTCTTATCTCCACACTGTGTGTTTAATTTACAGGATTTGTTTTGTTCTTAAGAAAAGAGAAAAGTCAGCAGATTGTGTGGTTACTCATTCAGCAGCTCTCTAATCACTCACCATGAGATCGTTTCTGACAGTTTAACATAATCCAAGAAACTACTGCTGCTTGATTAAACACCTGAGTAAACAGACTTTTTTGTGTCCTCCGAATACTTTGAAAGATTTGTTGACTTGTAAAAAATAGGTCCGTGCTCCCTGCAAACTGAGGAAGGCCTGCCTGCATTGATAGATGACAGGCCGACATGCGAGTGCACTACAAACAGCACTGTTTAAAGTGATCGGGATTAAAAATGAATAAATCCTAGATATGGGAGGCTCTGCACAACTGAGGCAGACACTAAAATCATTTTGACAAGTCTCATTGTGGTGTATGAAATAAATGCTGACTTGTGTGGTTTGAGCTTCCAGGGACTGATTTGCTCTCCTGTTCTGTCTGCAGCACTACTTTCATTTGAGCAGTGACACGGCTGACGGTGATATCTACCTCTACAATAAGCCCGGAGGCCAGGGGACGGGAGGCAAAGGTAATCACATTCTCCCAGCCCAGCACGTCAGTGCCACCAGGCCTCAGTTACTCTGTGTTTGAGGGGAAGGTAATCCTACAAAGACAGTCAACAGCACAGTAACCTCAAACCTGTCACCTGTGAATACCGATAGCCTAACCTTATCCAGGTGGGCTGCACTACTGTGTTCAGGAAAATCCAGCTTTGACACATGACCAGAGCCGGCGGTGTCTCTTATTGAGGCTGTTTGCCACAGCCTGTCTCTCTGATAGTGATGCAGGAGTCTACATGTAGGTTATTGCTGCTGTGGTGCTGGTTGCACCTGCTGGAAACCTGTAAGTACCTGGAGTCTGTATACTTACTGAGCACTGCTGATGTTCATTCCTGGTAGCCAGGACTAAGTCTCAGCACCTGGCAGCCATCTCGGCAACACCAAAAGGATGTCAGGTGATGTGAGACTGAGCGCCTGAACAAAAAAGAGGAGAAGCATAGACTCAGTTTCATTTGTCACAGAGACAAGAAATGTTGCAGCTTTGCCTCAAAATAAGGTTTAAAAACCTTTATTCTCTGATCAGACAACATTATGGCCCCATTAGTGTTCAGACACGTAGCTTCTCCCAGCTGAAAGCTGAACCCAGCTGTGGGCTGATACGTTTCTCAGTTTTTAAGCAGATCTTCAGTGCAGTGCGTCACCTTTGGCATTACGTGACACGTCTCTGTCCTCGTACGGGGTTTGGTGGAACCTGTGACACTGAGGTTAGAGTTGGTTTCGTCCACTGAAGTAAAAACGGTTTTGTGTCTAACTGAAGGTGCAGGCCACCTTTTCTTCTGATTGGCTGTCCCTCAAAACAAGAAGCTTTTAACTGCAGGTGGGCGTGTACACAGCTTCCTACCTCAGATGCCTGCACGTTGCATGTTTGCACTTGTGGACGCTCAGAGTAGAAAAAGCAGTATGAAACTAAAAAGTGTTGAAAACAATGTGAAGCCTGAGCTTCGGCTCACAGGGTGACCTTTCAGTCCTCTGTCCTCATTATTCAAAACCTTAGGCCTTAAGTGGGCATCCACTGCCGTGACCATATATATGTGAGAGGAAGCAGAAAATGGCCTGTTTAAACACGGATCCATTTTCATAAACTGCTTTACAGCACTGACAAGTTCTCCTTGTTTACTGTGAACAAATAATGACTTGGAAACTTTGCTGTAACCTCAGCTCTTGGCTCCGTTTCCTTTGTTAAGCTGCAGATGTGGAGTCAGTGTGATATCGTCAAATTCGCTGACATTCTCTGTTTTTTGTCCTATTTATAACTCCCACATTAAATTCAGGAGACATTTCCCTGTCTGGCATAACAGAGACCATCACACTCGTCCTCCCTTTGCTGCACACTCTTAATTTCTGTGATGAGAATCAGCACATTTGTTTTCCTGAGGCGGCTCTCTTTTCCCCCTCCTTAACATGCACCTGAAACTTGTGTTTGTGTGTGTCTGTGTGTGTGTGTGTGCGTGCACGTGCATTAAGCTGGGAGCCTAACTTGCTCTTTAACCAGCGGTGACCTGCCTGTTGCAGGAAAGCTTCTCAGCTGTCCTGCTCGTTATGTGGATTGTTGTGAGCTGCACAAACCTTGAGCTAGCAGCTTGTACAGTGTGCTTTATGCACTCATGAATGTAATTTCACACTTGTGTAGAAATTGGTTTGCTTCATGTCAACGGTGCCTCATTTAGCTGTGCTCCTTCATTCAAATCGAGCTGAAGTTCTGCAAAGTTTTTCCACTTTGCTGTCATGCTTTCTCCTGCAGAACTGATCAGTTCCATTTCACATTGCAATACTTTCTTGTTTATCAATATGCTAATGTCATCTACTGGCATTTGAAGCCAGTTAAAGGGGAGTGCTGCTGCTTTGTAACTGAAAGGTTAGCTAGTTCACTGCGAGAAAGCGAATGTATAACTCTCCAACCAAAGGGCAGCTAATTATCAATGTAAATGATGAGTTTACTGAATTGAAGCGCTTATGTATAATTACTGTTTCTGTGACACGTTCCCTGCCATTGTCAATACAACTCAACGTTTGGCTGTTAATTACACTGCTTCATTTTCATTTGTAGAATCATTGTGCCGCCCAAAGTACACTTCCTGTATTAACCAATAACAAAGATATTGTATATAATCAGACCTTTGGTTGCAAGTATTAAAAAGCAAAAGCACATCAAATGAAGAGGTGGCCAAGGAGACGGCCTGGAAGGGGAAAGTGGCCAAATTTACATCAGGTGTGGTTTTTGGTTTTGTAGAGTTTTGCACCAAATATTGGATCAGTATCAAACCAAGATCAGCAACAACTTCTCCTGGCATATCAGCTTCTTTAAAAATAAAAAAGCCAAGATTTATTTGTTTTGTTTTGGTACCAAGTAACTTTCCAGTGAACAGACACAGCGCTGCTTCCAGCTGCAGAGCAGCGGAGCTCTGGAGATGGCCTCCTCGAGTCTCTTTCAAACTGACCTCTGCGCGCCTGTCGAATCTAAACATCAAGGCTGATGTGAAGAGTTTGTCCCTCGCTCCTACATTCGCTCCACTTGCCGTCTAACTACTTTTTAATTGCTATGCAGGAAAGCTCTGACTGAATCTCATTAGTCTTAGCAGCTATGGAACGAGGTCCTCAAGTTATATGATGATATCCAAGCCCCCACTCACTGTGTGAAATAACTCCCGAGTGTCAGACAGCTCGAAAAGTTGCAAAGTGAGAGATACCCTGACTCTCACCTGTGTTGCCTGACTGCTAATTAATGAAATGTTCTCTGATGACTCTTTGCTGCTCAGTCGTTTATCGTCTGAATCCCAGCTGACTAAATTAGGATCGGCTTCCAAACTAGCTGTGAGGTAACAGCTTCTGTTGTAGCTTCAGATTTTATTTGCACTTAAATGTCACGGGCCTTATCAACACTTGTTAATAGATAACATCCTTATAAAGCGCTTATTAACACACACTAGCTGTTAATAATATGCAAATGTGGCATCAGATATCACACAAGGGTTTATTACATGTTATAGACCCATTAAGACTCTAAATAGATTCTTATGCTTAATAGTGATGATACTTTATTATTTATTTATTGTGTTTAACAACTAACTCTGCCTTCATATTCTAAATCAACAATAATACCTTATTAAGAAGTCCTGTTAACATGTAAATTATGTCAGCAAGCATCTTATAAAGACCTTTTTCTAACTTCCAGTCAGGTCATTTTGGTTTGCATCGACCGATTTGTGGTTACATTTCTCAGGAAGTGCACGTCAGGTTACGTGGGAGGTTGCAGCGTAGGGTTAAGTAGGGTTTTGGTTGGGGTGTAATTTACGGCGTAGATTTGACGCAGCAGTAAAACTCGCGTGCTGAGTCCTGTTCTTGGAAACAAGCTGCCTGCTAACCTGCTCAGTTACAAACAAACTGAAAACCTTTTTCTTCACACAGGCTTAGACTTCACAGGTGCTGTTGCTTTGTTTTATTTCACCTCTCAGTGCAGTGAAAGCCTGCACAGCTTCTTCTTTTTTCAATATATTTTTATTGATTTTATAATCGAGCCGTATACAACAATCACCTTCCAAAGAACACAATAGAAGGTGGACGGCAAGTCAACGAGGTGGTAATGCAGCACACATAAATGTTAAGACAGAGCACATTTCACTTAAATTTATCCATCAGGCTAATGACTGGTTGCCAAATCTTATAAAACACTCTCTCTCGGTTAGACAAGGTAAACCTGATTTTCTCCAGGTGGAGTACATTTCCAAATTCTCTCAACCACATTTCGAAGGTAGGAGGTTTATCAGACTTCCAGCTTTCTTGCCACAAGTGTGGTCATTGACACAACCTGCGTCTCTGTCTTGTCCCTTGCCCATCCCGGGTCAGACACCCCGAACAATGCTGCAAAGGGGAACATGGGACCTCCCTGCCAAAGGCTTTGGTCAGAAAATCAAACAGATGATTCCAAAAAAGTTAGTTTTTGGCATTGAAAGAAACGGTGAGGCAAAGTTCCTCGACCACTTGAACACTTAAGACAGAGGGCTGAAACGTTCTTGTATATTTTTTCCACTTTAGTGGGAGAAAAAAATACCTTAAATTGGCTCAGACTATGTCTAGCATTTATAGAACTACAATATGTATTCTTAATGCACTCTTGCCAAACATCATCAGTAACATCCAACCTGCCACTGCTCCCTAAAAGTATCAGATGAAGCACTGTATGTATCTAGTAAGGCGTGTAGGGCTCAGCTGACACGGAGCTGTCAACTGCACAGCTTTTTATGCTTTTTCATATGTGTTCAACACACTGAGTTTACCTGTAATGAAATGTAAATGAAGTTAAAGTTCAAATGTCTGTGAGAGGTCACACTCAGCAGGGCTTTAAACATACATTAGATAAAACTTATATATATATATTTAAACTGCAGTTTAAACAGGTGCTTGTGTCAATACTTTAAAAACTAAACTATACCCACAAATGACTCTGTTGGTTGCCTCCGAGAGAAGCTCTTGGATTTTCTCAAATCCACACAATTCCCACTCCCGAGTGTCTTGCCTGAGTGCCTCTCCTTTGCTCGTGTCTTTGTCGGTTCTCAGTACTCTTAAATGCTTAAATAGACGGCAGCTGGACTTCAGTAGGTTTGTGAAAAGCTTCTGCCTCTCATCCAAGAGGCTTATTCAGTTCAACTGTCAGCTATGATAAGATAAGATAGAACTTTATTAATCCCTCGGGTGGGTTCCTCTGGGAAATTCGACAAATTCGACATGAGGCACCTACAATGCAGCCTCCAGATCCTCTTTAAACCCCACGCTCACTCCTGGCCTGAGTTGACCTCGACAGCTCACATGAGGGTGGAAATGGGGCGATGTCTTCACACTTTGGCCCCAGTGATGCTCACCTTCTATCACACCGTGGCTCATGTGTATATTATTAACAGTAGGTGTACGAACATCCGGCCCCCGTACAAGGGGTCAGCCCCACCAGGGGATCTATACCTGTGGCTTGGTAACAGTTTGAGAACTGCAGAAGCCTCTTGGATGAGAAGCATATCCACGAACCTAAAAACATGTAGCTCCCCTCTTTTTAAGCACCCAGGAGACTGTTTTGCTCCCAGCATCAGGACTAAGCAACGATAGTTAATGGTAGCTTAGAAATGCAGTAACCAGCACAAACTCCAACACACAAACACAACAAAGCAACGAGTTTTATTGGTAATGACATAAGCAAGCTATGGTTAGACAGCTGGCTGCTGGGTTGGGCATTAAACAACACGGCAGGCTGTTTTGGTTTGGTGGATCAAATCTGACTCACAACCCTCTTTCTTTAAGCTAATGTTGGCTAATGCTAGTGTGCCTACAAACACAGAAAACTGTCTCATGAAGCCAGATACTGAGAATAAGGCTGGATGACTCCCTGGGCTGATCTGGCTATGTATAAATGAGTTTATCACCGAAACATCAGCAGACAGTGAAGTTGCAGCTAGCTGGCTAATCATGTTTTGCTTGCAAATATTACTGCAAGCAAAATCCCGCCAGTGGGTCGGCTTTACTAGTGTGGTGCCCAACAACTGCCACCCCCTCTTGGAGTTTCCTGGTGTTAAATTGGATAAAAATAAAATGTTATTGGTTTTGCATCCCTAATACTCTCTGTTCTCTGGGTCTTTTTAATGTTGACCCAGGTACCATGTTGGAGCTGGTTCAGCATCTCTTCCCACCTTCTCAGTTTAAAGGTACCTGCCCGTTTCACTCCTGCTGGTTGTGTCGACTGAAGCCTGCGCTGCTGCTGCTGCTCGTGGCCTTTTATTTATTTTCTTTGTAGTGCCCTAACACTGTTCGGCCTTTGTTAGGCTTCCATCAGCATATACATCGTTGTTGTTGTTGTTGTTATTATTATTATTGTTAGCTGCATCCATCTTTTAGTTGGCTTAAGATTTGGCATGGACTTGCAGGGTGCATGAAATGCGGTGTTCCCAGGGTCTCTTCTGCTTACGGACATTAGTAAGAGTTCAACACAACCACAATGAAATGGACCTGAAATATAAGAACATACACTTTAAGTATGACACTGTGTAAAATGTAAACAGAAATGAAACGATTTGCAAATTTCATAAACCATTTTTTTCCACAACAGAACAAAAAAACCATTTTTAAAATGTTGAGAAATGAAAAAGTTGTAACAGGGTCATGCTCATTAAGCTTCCCAACTTTTATAGAACTGTTAGTCAGTCAGGACCGCTTTAGTTAAACACATGTATAGTTCCCGTAAATGTCTGAGGACGCTGGTTGCTGGATTTTTGTGGGAGGAATGTCTGATGGAGGATTCTAGATGCTCGACAGTCCTGTGTTTCTGTCGTCCCTTTCACTTAATTTCACTGCGGGCCAGTTCAGACTTTTGTATTATGAAGCTATGCTACTATATAATAGATGCAGTGTGGGGTTTAACATTATCATGTTGAAATGTGCAAGTCCTTCCCTGAAGAAGTGTCATATGTAAGGCAGCGTACGCTGCTCTAAACACGGTCTCTAACTGTGCCCTTTAATGGCGCCTGATCCCTGGGCACTGATGCACTCCCGTCGCACCAGCAGCAGGCTTTCATCTGAGCGCTGAAAACACGCCCAGTGGTCTTTCTCCTCTGCAGGCCAGAGGATCCAGTGTGCATGTTGCGCATAAAGAATTTCAAATTTGGATTTGTTTGACCTCACAGCATTTTTCCACTTGGCCTCAGTCTGTCTTTTGGATCATTTTTCTGCCTCGTGTTCACATTGAGCTTCATTATTGCATGATACGGCCCATTTTTATTCTTTTGAAAAACATTATTCTAAATTTGTTGCACAGTGTTTTGCAGTTTTTTTGCACACTGGTGAACTTCTGCTGTTAAATCAGAAGAAAACAAATTCAGTGTAAATATGTAAATGTTTTCTGTGTTCTGCTGTGAAGGAAATATGGGTTTATGGGATTTTACTTTTGTCTCGTCCTGGGGAGCATTTTATGATTTCGTTTTTATTTGTTGTGTCAAGCTCACCAACCAGTGTCAGTGTTGATAGACTGTGCAGAGGACGGCCATGTGCCCTGAGAATGGACCCTGAAGTCACTCTGTGGCTGCCCATTAGACACACAGGCCTCATTTCCCAGCTTGATCGTTCGCTCACCATCATGAAGAGCCAGTTACAGGAAGCTTATATCAGTAACTGGCTAATGCAGCATGCTCGGCTGCATGCACATTGCAATGAATAGTCAAATATGAGATGCAGATTCACTTTGATAAGCAGTAAAATTAGCAATTTAAATTGTTTAAAAAATAAGAGTCATCTCGCCTATGGGGACTTTCCTATTTCTCTGAGCAGGGTCCAGTATCTCCCAGTACAGAACAGAGCGGGCACAGGTGGCAGCAGACATGATATTAAATAAGGTGGAGGTGGAGGGTGGAGGTAGGGCTGCAGAGTAGCTTGCAGTTTAAAGGAGCTTAGTTGGAGATTCGCAGTGACGGCTCGGCTGGTACCTGTACTGCTGCGCGAGGGTTTCAGTTGTTGCCGTCTTAGTTTAGTAGCGTGAGCTTTGTTGTCGTCTTTGTTGACTTTGACCTTCGTGTTGACCCAACATAGGCCACTAACACGGAAACACGTTCACAGACAAAAACGGGCCAATACTTGAATAACCTGCTTGATCTAACAACACATGTGAGTTTGGTTTCTTCTTACTGCCTTGGAATAATTACTGCTACATGTGATTGCGTAAGTTTTCATTTACTAAACACCGTGGTAGAAAGAACGCAGCCGCGGATGCCCTCACTCATCCTTCCTTAAGCTTCACAGTATTTCTCGGGGAGTGTCAGCTTGTATGGGTTCAGCTCACTCCCAGTACTTTATTGAATTTATAAAGTGTACATACGTGGTGGTTATGTAGCTGTGTGTTAGCTCAGGAGCTTTCTTTGATAACTAGTATAACATCCTCAGACATGTGGTGGCAGCTATACTTCTGATGAAGCTTGTGCACAACTGTGATGCGTCAGGAAGTATGAGATGATCAATAATGAGGCCTGAAAACCTCAAAGTTGCTGGGAAATTTCAAATAAACATGAAATGAGGAGACTATGAATTGAAAACTAATGAGCGACCCAGACTTTGGTGATTTGAAGTTGGTCGTTTGAACACGTTCCCTGCTCTTTCAGGTATCGCCTGCATCGCCCTCTCCTTTGTCGATGCCCACGGTCGGCCCCTTCAAGTTCCAGCTCAGGGCGGTGCCGCCCTGCAGAAGTCCGAGAACTGCTCCGTCCCCCTGCACCCGGATCGCTTTAATGAGCTGACCGCTGTCGTCAAAGTGGAGTCCATCATTAGCGGCTCAGGTAATCAAAAAGAAATCGCAGTCATTTGTAAATGTTGTATCGATATTTTAGTCACAGCAGAACAAAGGAAACACGTGTTTATCAGAAGGAAAGAATTTGCCATTTTAATAAAAATATTAGCAGCAATGTTGATGACAGGTCGACAAGATTCGTGCAGCAGGAAACGGCTGTGAGTGGTGTTTGGTGCTCGGTGGGTCCATAAATAAGCTTTATTGAAGAGATGCTGGAAACAAGAATTCATCAACACAACAGTGCTGGTTTGGCCTCTGAGGAAGACGAACTGATTTACAATGAAAATGAAAAAATGCCTGCTTGTGTTCCTCAGAAATGAATTTTATTGCTCCTATAAAAGCTTAAATTGACCACCGAGTGAAATGCCCCGAGGAGAGAGGGAAAAGAAATGTATAAATATTCAGTTACTTTGCTCCTTTTTGAAACTTTCAGTGATGTAAAGTATCTGTTGAATGTAACCTGCAGCCGCACATGTACGTGACGACTCACAAGCTGCAGATTTGCAGCCTGTAAACAGCTGATGCAGCCTGTAAACACCTGTAAACAGCTGATGCAGCCTGTAAACAGCTGATGCAGCTGTCACTGTCATAGCTGCACTTTTATTTTTCATTTGCTGCAGTTCTAAAAATCTCCATATTGTGAAGCTGCCTTTCTGGTGAACCTGAACTGTGTCTTTGCAGAAGCTGTCCACACACAGTGACTCGAGATCACAGGCCTTTGTATTTCTGCAGTTCAATAAGCGTCTGTGTTATCTGAGCTTTGCTGATATTTTATTGAAAACCCAGCAGCCAATCAGAGCTGCAGACTGTAAACAAATTTGTATCTCAGGTGAAGCTTGATATTGACAGGGAGCCACTTTGATGTGCAGGATGTAGACTAGAGCCTCTTTCAGTCTGACATTATTAAAGGAGGTGATGAGAGGTTTGTAGCAATGCACAACTCTCTTAAAGGTGTGCTGAGTTTATGTTGATGCAGCTTGAGACAGAAGATGTGGCTCTGGGTGATCTTTCTCTTCATCTGCTCCAGAGCATATTTTAATATTAGGTATCACTGAGATCCAGATGTCCAAGCCCAAACTGAGGTAATGACCTGGTCTCCAGATGTTTTCATAGTGTGCGTAGATTAAGCACGACTTGAATTTAACATGTGAAAATCAGTGCAGCCCACTTTTACAATGCCAAACTAATGTTTCCAGCAGAGACTGGGCTCATTGGTTTTCACATTATTCTTCACCCTCTGGAGAATCGTTTCACTGCTGGATTTGTTTATGCAACAAGGTTACAGCACGTCCCAGGAGGCATGTAAACGCCACTCATTTTAAAATGGATTAATTGCAAACATAAACATCAAACTGTGCTGGGGTTAACAGTCCAGCCGTTAAATTTAGTGTCCAAATATGAAATGCCCCTAAATCGGAACAAGTAAATCTGCCGGTTAATGAATACGAGTCTATTACGGAGCCACTTACGGAAGCTAAATTTGTCAGTGTGACACTGCAGCACACGGCCATAAATCAAAACGAAATCTCATATTTGGGGCTTGTTGTTATATAAAGTGTTAGTCACACTCTGCTGCTGGGATTGGTGAAATATGGGGGAAATAATAACCAAGCTGTTTTAGGCATTAAAAATAGGTTTAACTGTGTAGTATAACCTTCACATTACATGGTTTCTATATAGTTTCATGACATGTTCAGTGAATTCTGCTGAAATATGAAGTGTGTGTGAAGCAGTGAACAGAGGCCACAGAGTTCATATGATGTGTCCCTAACAAGCATCTGAACATAACGGGCCATCGTCCCTCTGAGCAGGTGCTTTTTATTCTTCATCACCTTCTGCAATTAGGTTGAATAGATGTGTAGAAGTGACAGAGAGGGATGTGTTAGCTAATCGTTAATGCAATGTAATTTAAACTGTGCGCTACCATGAGCTGGTTTTAACATCGATATATCACAGACAGTTTAATCATGATCCTTGTGAGAGAAATGACACCATGGTGCAGATGATTAATGGCCCTTATCTGAGTCCGACATGGTGCCACAGCTGACCTGATATTAAGACCACATCTCTAAGAAACGTGTGCTGATTACTTCTGAAAGCTTAAGTGTTGGTACTTTTATCTCTACCTGGATTATAAGGAGCAACCCTTTCTGTTAGATTAAATAGTTAAACATTTGTCATTTTTATATTTACCATTTGTCCATTGTTTTAACTCTGTGAAAGGAATTCTTTCTTTCCTCCCATCCCCAGATTCTCGAGGTTCTGGGTGGGAGGTTGAAGTGTTTTATCACAGGAACGTCCTTTTGAAGATCTGTTTGATGTTTGGTAGAGCTTCCTACCCTTTGTATGGTTTCACTGTGTTATCTTTGGTAAACCATACATTGGGTGTGGGGGAAGACTACCCTCTTTATGACCAAGGATGTTGTTCCTGCTTTTAGGTTTTATGACCCTTTGACCAACACACACACACACACATTCTCACATAACACACACACATTCTCACACACACACACACACTCAGTGTATACTTACATACAGTGCCTTGTCTTTGTAACCAAAGGGGGTTGCAGGGGGAGGTGTTTTGTAAACTATTGTTTGAAGTTTGTCAATAAAAGGCAGCGAGAGGAGGCCATCATCGGGGTTCTTTGTCGTGCTGGGCACAGACGAGGCCTCCCTTGTGCAAGTAATGGATCGATCGACTGTCTTGTTTTCTTCATGATGAATAAGTCTCTAGAATTAGCGGGGCTTGTGGAAACACAGACCCAACACTTTCTGTGTAGGAACCCCTAAGATTTAAAATGACAGAAGCCTCGTGGAAATTACTGAGAGACGAGGGGCTTGGTGTCTACGCAAAACATCTAAACAGGCTTTACAGTTTTGTCACTCCAGTAAACACCTCATGCATGAGATGCAGGTGTTACCATTTCAAACTGAAGTCTCTCCATATAAGTAGCTTGTGCATGTAAATGAAGTATTTAGATATCTGGGCCCTATTTCAGGAAGCCGGTTTAGAAAACTCAGAGTGAAAAACGATACTCAGGGTTGAGTAACCCCAAACTGTCCAACTCGGAATATTCGGTTTCAGAAAGGCTGATAACAATTAGTTCAGTCAACGCGGAGTTGCTTTAACCCCAAGTTAAGCGCACGCACGAGGATACATAAAGCCCTGATTAGTGGAGCACAGATTAAGCGAGTCACCATGGAGACGGAGGGAAAGAAGGCGCGGTCAATGTATCTTACAGCGCTTGAGGCCGAAATTCTGATGGCAGTATAGGGCTTTGGAGCGTGATGTCACGGGGGTGGGCGATAACATGCAAATTTTGCGGAAAAAAAGTAACACAGCCTCAGCTGCAAAAGAAAGGGAGCATGCATGGCAAAACATAGCCGACAGAGTCAATGCGTGAGTGTTAATTTAAACATTGATCGAGGGATTTCCACCCATTTAACACGTTATTTTATTATATTTTATTTTTTATTTCATACATTTTATTTTGTGACGTGATGTGAGCGCAGGTGCAACCCAACAGGCCCCAAACGTTCCTGGCAGCAAGTAAAAATGAAATATAAAAATATAGTCCAAACAGGTAAGGTGTAATTGTATTATGAGCCATAGTGCTTGGTCTGTTTGTCCGATGTAAATCAATTGCAGTTAGAGGCTACATTAATTTCCCCTCTGTAAGCACTTATTGAAATTATCTGAGCACATTACAAGTACATATTTGCTTACTCTGTATGCTCAAATGTGACCCGTTATAGCCAACAGAAAAAACAGGTGGGGGTCCTCCACCACCACCACTCACAGAGGCTGAGCAGTTGGCTTCCACATTTGTGATAATGTTGGCAGCATCACATATGATCTTCACAGTGCAGAGAACACAAATTAGCATCCATTACTATAATGAAATAATTTGTTAGTTTGAAATGCTACAGGGAACTATGTACCTGCACATTAATGCTGTGGAAAGACTTCCTGTTCACATAGTCTCCTTCATTTACTGAAGGAGCAATGACTGGAATGTGAGTGCCATCTATACAGCCAATCACGCCTGGGAACCGTGAGAATAAATGTAAACTTTAAGTAGTAGTTCAAGTATCACCACATCATGAATTAAGTTTCGTTCATCCTGATACCTGCAATTTTGTGGCATCCCTCTTTGATAAATCTTGTGGGTCTGTGACCGGGGAACACCACAAACGAGTACAGGAGACGTTTCAGTGCAACTGTAACATTCCTGACTGCCCGACAGACGGTAGCCTTGGAAACGTGCTCAGCGTCACCAATATTATACAGAAAGCTCCCGTTTGCAAAAAACTGAAGTGCAATACACCTTGTTCCCATTTTCTTCCATTTTTCAGTGACAAAGTTTCTACTGCAGCTTTAAAAGTGAAGCACAAGCTCACCTCTCCTCTCACTGCCCCTTACTTAGGTGACAAAGCTCAGTCGACCGTTACAGCCACTGCCTGGGAAGCATAAGCTTACATTAAAAGAACAGCAACTGGTATTTTGTCCTACCTGCAAACTGCACCTCACTGCTGCCCTGTGAAAATAACCAGTACTGTGAGTAAATACAAATTATATGATTCATTTTCTTTTCAGTTTGGATTGGTTGAGACTACTTGTTTAGGTTAAGACACTAAAATGTATCTAGTTAGCTTTGGGCACAAACACACTATTGGTTACTTAAGACAGTAAAAACAGAAAGCTCCCGTTTGCAAAAAACCGAAGTGCAATACAAATAATATGTACAGAACTGAGAGGATGTCCGCGATGTGTCACATGAGCAATATTAGGCCTGAGGATGTTATTCAAATAAATTATAGATTGTGCTGAAAAACGGTAACGTTCACACAGGAAATCATCAGGAAATGATAAAATGTCCAAACGCGCTCTAATCACTCTCTCCCGGCGGAGAGCTCTGCGGAGAATTTGGGCTTCAACATCTACTGGCTCTTCAAGGAAGGGGCACGCCATGTCTGACACTTCCTACAGTCAGGTTTCCGACAAAGAGGCGGAGACAGTCAGGGTTAGTTGAAGTAAACCTGCTAGGGGGCAGGTTAGCTTCACGGAGTGTGTCGTCATAGTGACTCACTCAGGCTTCAGCTGAACTCGCTTTGTGAAACCGAAAAACCAGAGTTTTTGTTAACTCAGGGTTTACTTAGTCAGACTTTGCACTAAACCGGCTTCCTGAAATAGGGCCCTGGATAGTGACTAAAAAGGTTTTCTTTTGTTATTTTGGTATCATTATGAGACCCTGAAACTGTGTGCTGGAGGAAAACTCATAGTTTTGGATGTTTGTCCACATCACAGGTGATCACATATCAAAAAGCATGAACGATGGGACAGCTGGTGTCTGCAGTGCTTCCTTTTCATTGGCCGTAACATTTGATGTCACTTAACAACAAAGATGTTTGTTGTTATGACTTCTCTGCAGCAGAGCAGCTCATCCACTCATTGAAAGGTTGATGGTTCGATCCCTGGATGTAATAAATTTACAGTTTACTAACAATAATCCCAAAATGCTCTTTGATATCAGAGTATGAATGTGTGTGAATGTTAGACGGACAGTGCTTGAATAAATGAATGTGAATGGGTGAATGATGTATAGAGTACTTTGAGGGCTTCAATAGAGTAGAGAGTGCCGTATAAGAACCGGTCCATTCACCATTTACATCCTACAGCTACTGAATTTTACTGAAGCCAGTTCTGCATTGGCTTCAGCTACAGTTGAAGCCAATGCAGAACTGGGGGATAAAAAGTCCGACTGCACATGATTAGAAATGAATAGGAAAACAACCTTATTGCTGGCTAACTCGATGACCTCAGTAAATACTTTCTGATTATTTTAGGATCTATTAAAAATGTTTATATTAAATATATTGGACCTGATTAACCTTTAGAAAGAAAAGTATGCTTTATGGCGGGCCTGTCCTGTGGTTGATGATCCCTCAGTGTCACAGTCAGACCTGCCCTGTGCTTTTCATGCATGGGTGACATGAGGCCAAGCCAATGAAAGGGCTCAGTCTTAGGCTTTGCAAACCAGTGGGTGATATCACAGTGGATACAGACACCTTTGATACAGGGGTTAAGCTAAAGGACACACAGCACAGGCATTAAGAGCAGCCTCATTATCAGTTGTTTTACATACTTGTAACACAACGTCCGCTGATGACAGCATTAAATGCTGCCATGAGGCTGTGGCCCTTAAAGGGAAAATAATGATATCTCAGTTTCATTTTGCCACCCATCCATCCATCCGTCCGTCCATGCACCCGTCCGTCCATGCACCCGTCCGTCCATGCACCCGTCCGTCCATGCACCCATCCATCCACCCGTCCGTCCATGCACCCGTCCGTCCATGCACCCGTCCATCCATGCATCCACCCGTCCGTCCGTCCGTCCGTCCGTCCGTCCATGCATCCATGCACCCGTCCATCCATGCATCCACCCATCCATCCATCCATCCATCCATGCACCCACCCATCCATCCATCCATCCATGCACCCACCCACCCATCCATCCATCCGTCCGTCCGTCCATCCATCCATGCATCCACCCATCCATCCATCCATGCACCCACCCATCCATCCATCCATCCGTCCATCCATCCATCCATGCACCCGTCCATCCATGCACCCATCCACCCATCCGTCCGTCCGTCCGTCCGTCCGTCCGTCCATGCACCCGTCCATCCATGCACTCACCCACCCACCCATCCATCCATCCATCCATCCATGCACCCACCCATCCATCCATCCATCCACCCATCCATCCGTCCGTCCATCCGTCCGTCCATGCACCCGTCCATCCATGCACCCACCCACCCATCCATCCATCCATCCATGCACCCGTCCATCCATGCACCCACCCACCCATCCATCCATCCGTCCGTCCGTCCACCCATCCATGCACCCATGCACCCACCCACCCATCCACCCGTCCATCCATCCATGCACCCGTCCATCCATGCACCCACCCATCCATCCATCCATCCATCCATCCATCCATGCACCCACCCGTCCGTCCGTCCACCCATCCATGCACCCATGCACCCATGCACCCACCCATCCACCCGTCCATCCATCCATGCACCCACCCACCCATCCACCCACCCATCCATCCATCCATCCATCCATGCACCCACCCACCCATCCACCCATCCATCCGTCCGTCCATCCATCCATGAGATGTTATGCTCAACAAAATATCACAGATTGATGTCAGATATCTTTCTGGCTCTGTGGGATGTGTGTGTTGTGGTGTGAGTCAACAAAATGTTCCTTTTTATTGCTTTTTTCCCTTTTTTCACTTATTTGTCTGTTTTGCTTCTAACAGAACCACAGCTGTATGTCCGCTTCGACATCTGGGAGCAAGGCAACATTAGCCCCTTACAGCTGAGTGACAAACTGCAGGGGGCACTGCGCCACGCACTGTGTGATGTTGTCATGGAGCTGAGAGTATTGCCAAACCCTCTTTGTGTCAGGGTCCTCTGCCCAGCAACGAAAGCTCAGAAAGAAGAGGCAAAAGGTGAGCTCATTACTGCATCTGTATGCTGGGTCTGTTGTGTCTGCACCTATTTGCAATCAGATTGTACCAAGCAGTCCAATAAAAACAATGCTTTACAGTGTAATATCATTCACCACACTTCTGACACTGTGTCAACAAAAACACTGATGTCATGGCTTATGTTCGAGGAGCAGCAGAGATAATTGGCTCTGTCTACGTCCTAAAAGTTTGATAATGGGTCTGAAACGGTCGCTGTTTACCTCAAATATGCAAATGTAGCCAAAATAGCCAAAGAGGTTTATTTTTCTAAAATGATTTTGACACATTGTTGCTGTGCGGTGCACGGTGTTACATGAAAGCTGTAGTCAGCAGCAGTTTCATGTTGTTACAATGTTTTTGTCTTTAGCAAATCAAATAACAAACGTTCACTGCAAGACAAAACTACAAGCAGATGAACCAGAAGGTTGATTCTGTTCATCTGGACGTCGCCTTCTCATCCTTCAGGTTTCCACAAACTTACAGTCAGTACATTCACATAATGACTGAAAGTAGCACCACTGACTAACAGTGGGTTGTGAGGTCAGTTTCATTATCATTGAACTGTCATGATCATTGATCAGTGGCCATGAGTGGCGTTCACAGAGAGTTGGGGGCTGGCTGCAATCACAGCATTGTAAGATGGTGACAGAGAAGCAGCGGTGCTACAGCCAGGTGTAGGTGTACTCTATATTTGTGCTTTCTTGACCCGCAGACAGTCCTGTTCCTAAACGCGAGTCTCTTTCGGAGTAGTAGGCGACTATGCCATGGGGTTTTTTTTCCCCCCATCATTTGTTTTTCAGTTTTTTAGTTTAATGCTTGAATCTTGAGCTGGTACAACTCAGCGGATAATTACACAACCCAAATGGTGTTTGAGTAGGTCTCAAAAATGGATGCAGCTGTCCCTCCAGGACTGCTCTCTGGTATCAAAGGGACGTCCTGCTAACCTTTTAACTACAAAGCCACAAATTTAGCTGAGCCTACATTATCAATGCCGTCCTCAGAGCGAGGCGAAGAATTCTGTTTGCTGACAGATTTTCTGTTTGTTACCAACATGGAGTGTACTGCTGGCCTTTGTACATATTCAGTGAGATGGTTTACCTGCTGCTGCATAATGGCCCGTTTGGCCGGATTAATCCAATATTCATGCTGCTTCATCTGTTTGTGGCCTTCCACACTGATATCATGACACAGATCAGAGGTTTAATGATGGTGATGGTGAAAATTGGCAAGTTGTCCTCTGAGCTGATAATATCAGCACAAGCAGACTTAGACCGATGGGTCACAAAGGACTCCAGATTACCCCACACTTTGGAATTTGTCAGATACCCCACAAGCATGGAATCTGTTTTTGGTTAACCCAACATCAGAGGATGACATGTAGGAGACGCAGCAGCACACACTGAAGCTGCAGGGCCTTTGTGGAAAGGTAAAGTTTTAACACGTTGGTACGACAGACTGATTTCCTTTTCCTGTTTGAATGTAGTAAAGCTCCCTCCCATGTTATGTTTGACCCTCATGTAATTGGTCATGAAAGCACTCTATTATCAGGCTTATTTGCCTCACAGACTAAACGAATAATCTAGAAGCGTGTGGGATATTTGGATGCGGGCGTTCGTGACACCCGGTGGCAGAAAGCAGAACAGCATGGAGGATCTCACTGCAGCCATCCTTGGGAAACGTTTAAGACTTTAATTGAAGTTTGATTGTGAAATGTTCTTCAGGGCTGCTGATTCCTTTGGCTGAGGCGAGAGAAGTGAAGGACAGCCCCAGGCAGCGCAGTGGCTCAAGGGTTTTTAAAACCAGTCCATCTCCGATCAGCTTAATCCAAGCTGTAGGAGGCGCCCCCACGACAGGAAGTAGCACACCCGAGTCCACCACGCCTACTGGCAAAAGCACTCGCCGCAGCTTCTGGGACATACTGGTCAGTTACTGGCTTTCTACATCAGCATTTTGTGATCATTTAAAAAACAATCGTTCCTTTTTTGCACAGTTCCCAGTGCTTATTGACTGTTCGTCTAGTTTCGACAGATCAGACGTGTCGTCACAGACACGTATGAAAGTAAGCATGTTTCTTTCCCTCCATCAGAGTAAGCCAGACTCGGCCGAGCTCGGGAGCCCCAAGACGACAGACGACATTGTGCAGGAGAAAGGCGAGGAGGGCCGAGCAGCGCGCCGCAGACACAAGACGGAGAATGTAAAGCAGCAGTGGAGCCAGGACAAGACGGTGGCTGTGGAGCTAGAGCAGACCCAGAGGTGGGACTCACTGAAGCCACTTTGAGTTATTATACTGAACACTAACTGCATCAGGGAGCTAGAAATCATACAAAGTTGAACCCTTATGCAGTCCTTGGAGAGAATACGGACACAGCGTGGGCTGTGCAGTTCCTCCTTCTACTTCATGTAAGAGTGTGATATCGCAGGAAAAGACCAATTATTACTAATGAAAGCTACATGACACATCATATATGCAGCATTTTTCCTGTGTGGCCCTCAATCATATATTGGCCCCTTGGGTTAACACTTGGACATTAATGCTTTGAGAGCCGCTTGTCTAAAGCGCATTAAAACTTTATATCGAGAGGAAAGCAAGAAGAGCTGAAATCATTCTGGTATGGTTTAGAAGATGGTCACGGTCTTTGGTGCCAAATTTAACCTCCTAAGACACGAACTCCTTCATGGCGTTTTTAATTTCTCTTTGCTGTTTAGGCTGATTGGATGTAAAAGCAAAGAATGATCTTTTTACCTGATGTAGTGTCTGAGAAAAATGAGATCCACATATGAGGACATTCGTTCTATATCTCGATAGAACAGTGGTGAATAATTGTGGTCTAGACAACCCAAAATGTGAAGTCCACATATGTGGACGCCCGGTCCTAGCAGGTGGGTCTGCACTATGTATGGAGAAAGCTGATAGGTGTAAGCTGCTGCACAGTCTTGCTGGTGGCTCTTCAGTCTCAGACTGTACATAGATGCACACAGCTGCTGCATCGTCACCATTTAGCTTCATTGGCATTTTGATGCCTGTTAGATCATTGGCTGCTGCTGTGGTTGCCTTTTGGACTCACCAGTGACTGTATTTACAGATGAAAGACACCAGCTAATACTTGCAAGACTGGTTAGCAAGTTGCTGTGACTGACAGGCTGTTAGCTGGTTAGTGTGCGGTGTCCTTGGTTTCACATCAGATGTCTTCCAGCGCGATCACGATGCCTGGTTTCAGAAAAGGCTAAGACAGCATGATGCTTGAGTGGGTGGAGTCACAGTGCCAGTACTGTCCATTTCATATTTAAAGATTAAATATTTTACCATGTATGGTAGTATTGTCATTTCTGTCTTAGATATGGAGCTGAGAAAGCAGAAATCTTGCCTGACCACCACTGCATCACTGATGGCAGGCAACAAGCCTTTAAACCACCAAAACAGGTTTTCTCTCTGCTGTGAGTCCCATAGAAATGTGGTTTAATGAAGTGTGGGGGGTTTGTGGCTGTGCAGGAGGCAGCTGTCTCAGTTTGAGGAGGGAGATGCAGGCACTCTGGACCCCATTTACCAAGATATCTGCCAGCCGTGGATAACTTTCATGGCCAAACTTGGTAAGTTTTATCTCTACATTCATCCAGAATCTGAAAACTTATTTGAGAAGTTGGGGGTTTATATTCTGCGAGCTCTCACACTCTGTGTTACTCTCAGGTTGCCCCTCCATTCAGCAGTGTACCACTAAAACGGCCTCACACTTCCTGCTGCCTTCCATCTTGGCAGAGATTGTCAGTTTGGTCAGTTCGCTGGCCGCCGACACAACAGTGAAGACATTTCGAAAGACGAGGTGAGTTTTTACATCGTGTTTTTCTTGGTAATCGATCATCACTCTTACCTTCCTGATGTTGAGAGCAATAAAAAGTAACGCTGAGTTGTGATATTTTTTGTTGCCGAGGTGCATGAAAGCTGTTGTTGTGCTCTGACATTCAAAAACACCTCAGCTGAGACTCTTCAGCTTCAGCTCAAATGTCGATTGTTGCTTCCAATGCAAATGACATTTCCACAGCTTTCATTCACTTTCATCTCTGCAGCTGATCTTCCAACTGCTGTCTGCACTTCATCAAATGGCATTCCAGCTACTTTCAGCCTCCTCATGCTTTGAGTCATTTTGACTCTTCAGCTGAAATTTGAATGACTTTTATTGGTTATAAGTCCAACTTGCTGTCATCTCTTTCAGTGCAGACCCCTGAAAGCGAACAAATTGTTCTCGCAGACTTCTTAGCAGCCTGCTCGTTAGAAAACACTGTGAGTAAGAAGTGTGCGCTCTCTGGAGCCAGACAACTTCTTCGTTCCTGATTGTTGCCACACAGATACCGAGTCACTGTTGTGATCGCACTCGAAAATCAGTGCTCCTTTAGACTTCTCAGACATATAATCAATGAACACGACTATAGACACACAGTTTTACCTTATAGAAGTTAGGCGCTGTTTTTGGGTTACCACCCCCAGTTCATCCTCTGTCAGCCATGAGGCCTTTTATTTCTCTCCCTTTACTGCAGCATTTATTGTGATTGGCTGCCCCTCACAAACTAAAGGTTTGACGAGCAGGTCGCGTTGGTGACGTTTCAAAAATAGAAAAAAATGTTAAACTGAGGATTTTGAGCAAACAGCTGCAGCTTCGGGTCACACTCAGAAACACTTAGACTGAGCTCAGGGGGCCGAGCAGGTCATCCACTAATCAGAAGGTTGGTGATTCGATGCCTGGCTGTTCCAGTCTACATGCCAAATGTCTGTGCACAAGATACTGACCCCAGGTTTCTCTCAGCTTCATCCACTGGAATGCATCCAATGCACTTAGCCATAGAAAGCAGTGCTTCTATGAATGGGACTGAAACATTAAGACATGTTGCATGAAGCACTTTGAGAGCTCAGAGAGTAGAAAGGCATATTTTTGGAAACTGTTAACAGGATATATACCATACCTGGTGGGCGCCCTCTGACTGCACACTGCCATTAAAGTCGTTCAGCTCTATAATATTGCACCTGTATTATACTTTTTGCAGCTGCCCCACATCTGGAGACCATTTTGTGCCGCTCCCTCTTGGCCAGAACCTCAGCCAACCACCGGACGCTGTGAGGAGCTTCATTCTCATCGGCCGCAACTTCCATCAGTGGCACTACAGCACAGAGCAAGGTAACCGCTGCAATACCAGCCGTTCACATTAGCCCCTTACTACCTTACCCTCTGCACAGGCTATGCATCACTACCTCAGCTCCAGTGTGTTTTAAACAGCCTGTTATGGTTGTTTCCTTTTTCTCCAATTCATCAGGAAATCAGAATATTTGATTAGAAATGAATGCCGTTCATAGATTTGTGCAGCCCTGATATAGATGTAGTAAGTGATGAGTCTTTCTGTAAGAGTCCATGTTTGGAATTGAACAGCCGTTCAAGTACGAGTACATCGGTGTCATCCATCAGTTTTCCAAAGCCGACCCCAGCTGACCTTTAGGTGCGAGGTGGGGCGCACTGTGGACAGGCCACCATACTTGCATAGAGAGACGTTCACACATTCATTCACACCTACAACCAATTTAGAAACACCAGTTAACCTAACATACGTGTCTTTGTTCACGGAGAGCCACACAGGCACACGGAGAACATGCAAACTCCCGCTGACCCCAGCTTTAAACCCAGTGACGGCGACCACCACATTATATTATTGGATGGCGATATGTTCAAATGACACATTGTTAGATTTATATTTTATCATCTACAAAGTACCAGAGTTTTTAGAATAAAAGTTAATTACTTTGTCTCCCTCCTGCTTAATTACCAAACAGTCAGTTGACAGATGAGCAGAATCAAGGCCAAACAAAACAAGATGAAGGTAACGGTGAGAACGAGCTGCAACAAGACTGCACAATGCAAAACACAGAATAAATGTCAACAACAGAATAAAAGCATTTAATGAGAAATGATCAAGAATAATTGAAAACAATAAACAGGCTTATAAAGACAATGAGAGAGAAAAAGCATCACATAAAAACAAGTCCATGTAAAGTGTTGTTGCTGGTCGAGTCATTCGTTGCTTCTAATGAGCAACAGATGACCCCATAATAAAGTAAAATAGAAGTCCAATAAACACATTATCCTGTGATGTTCTTTTGTTTCCTCATTATTGTAATCAATCACATTTCAGTCTGTAGTTCGTCTCATGCAAGTAAGTGCAGTTCAAAGAGCTTCACAGACGACTGAGAAGCCGACGATGAGACAAAGCAAACTGAAACCAAACAGAAGGTGGAATAAAAGGACGTTAAATACAAGCGCGCTCAGAGTTCAGCACATCAATGAGGATTAGCCCCAAGTCCAGTGTTGTGGTTCTACGGTGGAACAGGAAGGAACGTGCGCTCCGAGTGTGGAGGAATTTAAGTTCATGTTAACGTCTTGTTCATGAGTGGAGTGGGAGACTAACGTATAGTCAGACCGTCCATCCTGGTGAGAAAGAGCCGAGTGTGGAATCAATGCTCTCAGCTTCCTGGTCTGTCTACGGTCCTACTCATGGGTGAGGCTACCATAGAAAACACAAGTAGTGGAAATGAAGGGTGTGTGTCTGTCTCACCCTCAGAGTGGGGTGAGTAACTTGGCCATGGGGTAAAGACCAGCAGCTGTTTGATATCGAGGTTGTTTAGGCATCTGACCTGGATGCCTGCTGGGTGAGGAGTTTGTGGTTGACTCGGTAAATGAAAGCTGTGTTTGGTTGCACCGAACATTATGTCAAACATTTCCACTATAAGCAGCAGAGGATGGAAACACAACAAAATGACACAAACAAAAAAGAAACCTCTGAAAAGTTGATTCAACATCATATAGTTGAATAAAATGCTACATTATAAACTATAGTAAATAATTACCAAAAACTAAAAAGAATCAACATGAATAAAACTATAATTTACATATAACAAAGTCAACAAACATGATGGCTATAAAACATAAATACAGTTTAATTTGAGATATTAATGTCTAACTGTAGTGTAGTTTATATCTTATGGCACAACATATGAGTCCTTTCAGGTGTCCAGTGAGTGAAGTCTGCTTTTGTCTCGTGCAGAGCTTCTGTTTCTAGTTTTTTCTCATTTATTCGACTGCTGCAAAATAAAGTTCGGCCTCATTTCTGTTGCTTTTGTGTCGCAGCAGCTAATCACACACTGCTAGTCTAGTGAGGATATTCTTGAGGTAAAGCTGTTCGGTATATTAGGCTGGCATAGACCTGTCTGCAGCATGTTGCTAACACTTGTTTTAACACCATGAGTAGTGTGGAGGAGACGCTCCACGTGTTTCCTGTTGAAGCTTTGAACGTGCTCTGTCCTCGCCGCCGCCGCCGCCGCCGCTGCTCTTTGATTCTGTGTTTCTCTGTCCGTGCTCGCTGCTCTCTAACATCTGTCTTATTTTTGTTTTGCTTACATCGGTTTGTGTCGAGCTGTGTTTCACTGTCCTCGCCGCCTTGCTGTTTGTACCTCCTCTGTTTACCCACAGAAGACAGTTCAGATGAGGAAAACAGCCCAGTGCTAAATAGGTTCACACGTAAGTTTGCTCCTCAGCTTACCAACAACTTTCATGGTAATGGGATTTTCTTTATGGCTGCGTTTTGTCAATATATTGGTTTGTTTGTTTGTTTTTCTATATTCTCAACAGCTGAAATATATGTAAGCGAGCTTTCACAGAGAACAGCAGAATACTTCACATGTTGACATGAAAGTCTTAGAGAGTCAGTGTGATAAAAAGATGTTAGTGTGTTCGCCTCTTCAGTTAAACTGAACTTTTACTGGTTCTTTAAGACCTGCAGTTTTTTAAGATCCATGATCTGAATTTAAGGCATTAAAATGTCTTAAATTCATTTTTAATGGGTCTCAAACTTAGTTGGATTTATGAAATTTGTTTTACATTATAAATAAAAGACGACTGAAGTTGCATTAACTTCAGTCGTGTTTTTAATTGTATCGATCACCCTGTAACAAAGCTACAGAACGGAGCCATCATAAAACGATAACCACGAATGCTAACTATGTCGCCTCGCCACTTTAAAACACATCAGTTAATCAGACTAATTGTTATGCTGTGATAGCAAAGTTTTTAATGTGGACTGTGTAGAAAACATGGATCTATTCATGTGACGTCCTCTTGTTCATCCTCGAGCTACGACTGTGAAAGCCGCGGGATACTCGATGCTCATTGGCTAACAGCTCGATCACAATTTAGAAAATAAATGTATTTTTACTTTTGACTTCTTTACAATCAGACTTATTTCTGCAGTTAGTCCCCTGCACTGGAACCCATGTCCGGTTCTTATTACACTGCATGGCTTCATGATGTTAGCAGTTCTCTTCTTGAATAGTTTCTCCATAGCTTCATAGTTTGGGGCTGAATATTACTAATTTATACTTTGAGGTAACAAATAAATAACTAAACCTGCCACAAACCAAAGTGAAGTAAAAGCAGCCCCGTGACGTTGTGTCTCACACTGACGAGGAGAATAAAACGCACACATTGAGAGAATAGCGTACAAGCTGTGTGGCTGCACTCATGAGCTTTTATAAAGCTGCAGCACCAATACGTTTTGTTTAAGCGCACCTTAAATCATCTTGAAGCTGAAATGCTGTTTGACCTTTCTGTGGTAATGATATTACTTCATCATTCTCTGCTTCCTTTCTGCGGGGATATCACGACCGCCGCTCGCAAACAGGTTTACATCGGTTTTAAAAAATAACCACGTTTCTTCACTCCTGATAATCAAGCCAACACTGTTTTTGTGGTCCATCGAACGCTGTGATTTCAGAAGCAGCATCACAGTAAAGCTTTCGCTCTCGTCAGTCAAACCTCAGAAACCCCAAAACCTCCCAGGAAGTGAAAAACCTGCGAAGCAGCTGCCCAGTACGTTTGTATTTAAAACTCAGTTATGTTCATCTGACAGTTCAGTAAAGATTGTGATCAGAGTCAGCTGGGACTCTTTGTTGAAGGACATAGCACAGCCTGCTGGGCAGCTTGGACTCGTATTGCTTTGCTGTTGCACTGACTTTCTGTCTTTTCTGTCCAGCTCATAAAGGCTTCCAGCGCTTCGATGCTCTGGAGCAGAGCGATTCGGTCGGTCCGAGCCAGGCTGGGGTGGGAATGGCTCCTCGCCAGAGGTTCCTCTTTATCAGCATCCTGGACAAAGAGGTGATTTGGGATATGGAGGCCTCTGTACACTCTGTATATCCCTCAGGCCGGGCAGAGAACAAGATCCCAAAGGGTCCTATTTGTAATGGCTTTCAAATACATGAACTTGTCCTTAGATGTATTTTTGTCAGTGGGTGCTTGAGCAAATAAAGATGGTGCTCTGACAGCGCATGTGTATAAGCTGCCCACAATAATGAAAATGTGTGACATATAAGCCTACGTGGTAGCCAGGTTACTAGCCCAAAGATCTTTAATCCTCTGGGTTTTTTACCTTTATTAGCGTGTTTTTGAAGCCAAATGCTGTCATTTCTCTGTAAAGCAAATTTCTCTGATATCTTTTCAAAAAGGTAGCACACATATCCTCATTGTGCTTCATAATTAAGCTGTGGGATTATGTTTCTAAGTACAAGTGTGCTCTTTAAAACATGATTGTAATACTTCACCGTTGGTTCTTCAGGTGACGCTGTACAGCTACAACTGGTCCGTGGATCTGGGCGCCTCTCTGAATCGCGAGCTGGTGCGTCTGGTGAAGTGGCAGAATGCGAGGGCTCACGTCGTCCACTGCCTGTTCAATCAGAAGATGGGTCTCTTCCATCACTACTGCTTTTCCGATGCTCCCATCCATGAAATAGACTCCAAGCAGGTGAAAACACTCTGGTGTATTGTAAGCAGGCCAACAGCAGTACAGGAAGAAAAGCATCATGGGATCACTTCATTGTTAGTTATTTGTGAGGGACGTTTTGTGATGTCTGTACTCAGTGAGAGCTGAGTCAGAGAGAGCACACAGAGGGTTTAAGCACTGAAGCACCATTTAGTACATAAACTGTACCTCAAAGATGGCCTTAACTGGTTGCTGAATGCCCGTTTTAAAAGCAGGACAGCCTCACTGTGTCTTAGGTTTTAGGTTATGAGCAAGTTGTCGTCTTATAAGTAATCAGGTAATCAGACTTGGCAGTCAGACCCACAAATGAAAGCTTACTACATTGTTTTTTTCTGTGTATAAACAATGTAAAATACTTTTTGGTGACTGTTTTGTTTACATACACGTTACCAAAGTCCGTCTCTGAGGATACTTCAGTCTCCTCTGATATTTACAGGTGCCCAAACAGTCCTGTTGTTGTCTGTGCCACCCCAACATGCTTTGCTGGGTAGATTGCACTGCATGACTGGAGCGCAGCATCAAACTGTTAAACTGTACAGTTGCACACTTCCTACAAAATCCAGCAAAATGTAGTTTACGGTCCAGTTACCCCAGCAGGTGTCTAGCAGCTTAGTCTGCCCTCACCTGTCAGTCAAAGCTTTCGATTCTTAAAAATAGAGATCAACGCATTTTTGATACAAATCTGTTGATGTGCTTTTTGGCCGTTAAGCACCGACTTCATTTTTTAGCCCTGGAGTTTTCTTTTGGGTTCAATATCGCATACTTTATTCTAACGTCGTGTGTGTGTGTGTGTGTGTGTGTGTGTGTGTGTGTGTGTGTGTGTGTGTGTGTGTATATACATACATACATACATACATACACACACAAATGAAGTCAGTGCTTAATGGCCAAAAAGCATATCAACAGATTTGTATCAAAAATGCATTGATCTCTATGTATGTGTGCATACATATATATTCATATATGTATGCACACATACATATATATTCATATATGTATGTGTGCATACATATATGAATATATATGTATGCACACATACATATATGAATATATATGTATGTGTGCATACATATATATTCATATATGTATGCAAGGCAGTCAAAGCAGTCAAAGTTGAAGGTACAGTGCTCTGACAGAGGAATCAGTTCCAGCTCCAGTAATACTGACTTTATGAGAGAAGCTGCAGTATGGACTGAAAGTAGTATTCGAGTATTTGATTTGGAACCCAGGGCGTATTTTTTATTCATGGTATTTCAGCAGCTGCTGAGTCACCAGCAGCTCTCACAGTCAGTGCTGTGCTTGTCCTGCATTAGAGAAAGAAAGGAGGCAGCTGACTACGATCGGCCATCATGTGTTCACATGTGGTGACAGCAAATGACCAGTGTCAAACTCACTGCAGAGGTTGTTATGTGGCATCAGCACTGTGGCAGTCACCGCTTGCTTCCTGTAATGACACGCTGTGTTAACTGAGTTCTGCAATGACAGGCTGTGCCGCTCAGTTATTGTGCAACTGTGGAATATGATCTGCACAGGGGTGTTTTTCATATAAAAGCAGGACGATTAACGCTGCTTAACATGTCAGACGTGGTCCTGCCACAATGATTGTTCTGGGAGAATAATCACAGCCTTCTTTCTTTTTATAACAGCAATATAAAAAATGACATCAGAAAAACCTCGGCAGCATTTTCAGGCTCCCCCTTAGACCTCAGACTTGCCTCTAAAAAGCACGGCTGCACCTTCTGTTTCTGCTGCATCTGGTGGGGAGCTGGTGAGGAGAACAGGATGCTAGCTCAGGTGGAATCAGCCTGGGAGGGTAGCATCTGCACTCGCGCTGTCACAGGAGGCAGCAGCTCCCGGAGCACACTTCATGCAGCTGTTGTGTCCCGAGGACGAATTTGTGTGACTCCCACATGGATGGTGATGTCATTACTTGATCCAGCCTGTTAGTGGTCCTCGTGCTATTTATGAGTTTCAGTGACGATGTGTCACAGTAATGTGTTTTCATCTTGTACTATGATACAATAGTTGTATAGAGAGCTGCAGGGCTGCATCTCTGTGGTTCCTCTTACAAAAAGCTGAAATCGTCGCGGCTTATTACAGTAAATAAGCATCGTTTATCATTTTTGCAACATGCACACAAAATGCTAATGTTAGGCTATGACAGTTGTAGCCGTGGGACTATAACCACCTCTTAGCATGTACGTAATTAGCCCGAGAGGTTTGGGATTTATCTGAGTGTGAGTGTCATTTTTAAATGAGCATTTCTTGCTTTTGCATCAGAACCATTTCTGCTTTGCTCCGTTTGTCCTCCTGCAGCATTTTCTGTACGATCACTGTAAAGTTTGGCTTTTTAGATACAAGAGGTGTTTTTTAACTTTGGTCTGCTACTAGTCGCCCCTACTACACTTATCTCGTGTAAAATATTCAATATTTGGGAGATGCTGCAGTGTGCAAACTGTTTTCAGTTCAGTCGATTGACATTCTGTGTAAATATTGGCAGGCAAAGACTGTCACTGAAGCCTCTTCCATATTTATGCCACTTGCAGCTTCATCAAAGCTCGCTGTGGCTCGATTCAGCTTTGTTTTCTGCTTTGCGTGCCTCAGCAAAAACTGCTGGACACCCTTTATTAAATATGGAGTTTTGGATCAATATGCAGTTGATGGTGTTGGCAGCAGAAACCAAAACAAGATTTTTCAGCCACACGACTAAGCATTTTTATTCTCCTTGATTATTACCCTTCTCTATCTGCTGTCTTCTTATGTTGTCCGGATCATATCCTGGAAATATAACCCTGTCACATCAGCGGCCTTGTTTTCCAAAATGGAGGACTTAACCACCTCAGTGCAATTTAGCCTCTGTCAGTTTCCATTCATCCTCCTCGATTATTTATGATCCTCTCTCACACAGAGGGCTTTGGGTTGTAGGTTTCTGTAGTCTGCTGTGCCGCCTGTTTAATAACTGTTTGCAAAGCATCTTTTACATCCCATCTTCCCTCCCACTCTCACACATCAGCTGTCACATCAGCTTCGCTGCTCTGAGGACAGCAGTGCAAGAAGGCTCCACTTCTACAGCTACTGATTGATTTTACAATCGTTTTTCCTGGTGAGATGAAGGGGGTGTCATACGTGATAGTGTACTACAGATGGCTTGAGAATTGGGCGACTAAAAAGGCTTCTGTGTTGGAACATCTGGAAAAATGTAGGCAGAGAAAGCAGAGTGACGGCATCAGCGACTGCTGCTAAAATACAAGAGACATCATGCAAATGATAAAGCCATCAAGCCACAGAGCTTTTCAAAAATCGATCAAAACTAGCTTGCATCGTGCAGCATTGGCGTAGATGGAACATTGATTTGTAACCTGTGATTCAATTCAATTCATTTTATTTATATAGCGCCAAATCACAACATAAGTCGCCTCAAGGCGCTTCATAGATACAGAGAGAAAAACCCAACAATCATATGACCCCCTATGAGCAGCACTTTGGCGACAGTGGGAAGGAAAAACTCCCTTTTAACAGGAAGAAACCTCCAGCAGAACCAGGCTCAGGGAGGGGCGGGGCCATCTGCTGTGATTGGTTGGGGTGAGAGAAGGAAGACAGGATAAAGACATGCTGTGGAAGAGAGACAGAGGTTAATAACAGATATGATTCAATGCAGAGAGGTCTGTTAATACATAGTGAGTGAGAAAACAGTGATGTGAGGACACTGCAGTTTATCAAGTTTAGTTTGTTTACAGATGTGAACCTCACAGATGTGCAAGACTACTGTATAAACATGAAAAAGGATTTGAAGAGACATGAAAAACGAGGCACAGTCAAAAACTTTTATTTAAATATGGTCTAATCCGGCGGTCCCCAACCGGTTTAATGTCAGACGGTATTTTCACAGACCGGCCTTTAAGGTGTGGCGGATAAATACAGCAACATAAAATAAAACCCGAGCCTCAACTCTCGCGGCCCGGTACCAAACGACCAGTGCCGGTCCACGGCCCGGGGGTTGGGGACCGCTGGTCTAACCTTGTGACGAATGGATTCAGAAACCCTCTCATATTATTGAAGGAGTGATTATTTAAAAAGCTGCCACCTCATGTTGCACAGCCATGTTTTTCATGTCTTCTTTTCAGAACAAGAACTTTTGAATTGTTTCGTTTAGGGGACATCTGTAAACTGTAAAACAAAAACCTCTGTGAACAGGCCCCCTGCTGGTGGTGGTAGATGTGAGGAAGAGTCCTAATCTGAGCCAAAGCGCTGTCCACGCAGACTAGCCAAAGGCCCAGCTACAGTGGGGAGCGAGTATTTTGGGATCGTTCGATTGGAGGAAAACTCCTGGAGTAGATGCGTCTGTAGAACACACTAAGGGACGAGGTCTTTGGTGACTGTTCGGCTCTTCTGGCTCAGATCGGAGATCACTGGTTGGATAATCAGCATACAGTACTTTTCCAGTATGGAGAAGTATACCGAGAGCAAAGAGTGCCACCCTTCCCCACCATGTCAAGCTGACCATGGTGTTGTTTAAATAAATCATGTAATGCTGTTTTAGTTTGAATGAAAGTTCAGTAAAATCCAGCAAAATGTCATGCACAGTGTGAGCAAAACAGACGGACGAAGGGACTTATTAGACCCCGTTTTGCAGCCGAGAATGACACCAAATGCCCTTTCAGTCTTCTCCCTGTGGCCAACAACAAAACAAGCGCAAAGAATAGAAAGAAGCAAACTTTTCCTTTCCCTCCGATGGCCTCGCTCTTCATCACGGCATTACTAATGAGTGCGGACAGAAGGCAGAGTCAGAGCAGCAGAAAATTTGCCTGAACAGAACTTCATCTGTCAAGGTCCTGATGAGAAGCAGAGGGAGCACCAGTGCACGGTTTGACCCCCCAGCCTGTGGGCATGGTGCAGCCAGCACTGCCACACGAGGGGCATCTGGGCCCTGAGCTGCTCCGCTGAGCAAACTCACCCAAAAGCTCCTGTCAACAGCAAAAAGAGAAGAACAGACAAAACTAATATGCAGCGCGGTGACTGCAGCACGTCGCTGCGTCATGTGATAGAAGAATGCAAACGTGCTTCCTGTCTGTGGTGTCCAAGGCTTGAGCATCCTCAGGTTAAGGCAGAATTAATCACCTGATGAACACAGACTAAGATTTCACGTATTAAACTCTTTTAAGATGAGTTTTAACGGACCATACAAAAACAAGACCTTTCCAGATTATTGAGTTCCCTCTTGCTGCTTGTGAAATGACTTCTTGTGAAGGACTTGGGCCCAGACTTCTCTTCTGCTGTGAGCAGCACTGTCTGAGCGATGACACCCAGCAGTCACCACCACAAACATCAAACCCTCCAACACAAGCTTCTCATACAGAAACGCCAACCTGTGGCTTCAGACAGTGTTTTAGTGGTGACTTTAAAAGCTGCTGTGCTGTGCTTGGCTCAGATATAAGCTAGCATTTGCTAACAGTAGCCCGGTGAAAGCCTGCTTGGCCAGACAGGAAACTGCGATTCACTCGACAACTATGTAATAAGAGTGGTTTCCTGAGGTTACTCAGGAGGTATTTAGCTGCTAAGTGAGGTGATGGCGTCATTAATTGTCGAGGTATTTGATTTATTCTCTATCTTGATCAGGATCCCAACCCATTCCTCGGTCCCTCCATGGAGCCTGATGCATTGCTGCGTAGCGCAGTCCCTCCTCTGCCCAGTAAAGAGCAGGGCAGACTGGGAAACTCTGGTCGAAGTCTTGCTCCCCTCCACTTTCCCTCAGAGTTGCTTCCCTTTGATGAAGCTCTGAGGGACGTCTGCACCATTCGGCCTTTGATGGACGGAGATGTGGTGGCTCGACATGGCAGCCAGCTGTTGGAGATCAAAGCTGCTGAGCGGAGAGGTGAATAGTTTGACCTGTACATTAAACATGATGTCAGTTTGAAAAATTAATGGCTTTGTTTTTATTCTTACAGAATTAGAGAAGCAGATGAAGATAGAGAACCTGTTCGTGACCTGGCAGCAGAGGTCAGCACAGTCCAACATGCCCATTTCAGTAAGTATTTTCAACAGTGTTTAACCCTTTAGAGCCGGTCGCTGGGGTCACACAGGCACCTGCAATGTTTTTATTAAACATCTGTAATTCCCATAACTCCTGAACCAGTTGCTCAATTGAAAGAATTCCCACGCTTCCTGAAAGCAGCGGCTCAGCAGGGTCAACGTAAGTAAATGTAGCCTTAAAGACAGCTGTTCTTATAATGGAGCCTGTGGAGTGTGAGGAATGCAAAACAAAAGAAAGTTAAAAGAAAAGCAGCACACGTGTCGTTATACTTTCTGAAAAGCCTGCCCCCTGGTGGTGATAGTTTTAGTTAACGTTCATAAAGGGGAATCACAAAATGCACCTTTAAGTTCATAATGATGATGGATATTTAAAACATAAACAGCAAATTGTATTTGACCAGTAAATTCTTCCACTGTGCAAGCAGCATAATCTCAGATGGAGCTAATTGCACTCGACTAACCCGGGGGAACAGCGTCTCACTGCTTCATGTCTTTGAGGGGCTTCAGTTACAGCTCACTCCTCGGGGAAATCATTTTGCATCGCCTTGTTTCAAAGTGGGGAATATCCGAGCTAATTAAAAAGGTTTCTATCTGACACCGTGACATCTCGAGAGGTTACACGGTGGCATTAAATTTACAAATTTGATATTTCAGCAGTCGCCCACATGGTGCTCTTACTGAAGCACATCCAGCAGGAGGTCTGCAGCCTGAGCTGAGTCTGTCGGGGCCAGGACCCGTGTCCAGTGCAATAAACAAGCTAAATTACCTGTTGGCTGTAGTTTGAATGCTGATCTGCTGCTAAACGTTCAGCCTGGTGTCATCTTTGATGTTGCTGTGGTCTTTTATGTCATCCCACTTGCAGTTTCATACTTTTACCATTTCAGTAAGAGTTACCTTGGCTGTCTCTGCAGGGGACAGATTTGGAGACTCTGAAGCAGTCGTCCCGACTGGTCCACTACTGTGCCACCCCTCTGCTCTTTGACCCCGTCTTCCGCAAGCAGATCCAAGAGGAACAGATTATTCAGCCTCTAGAAAAGGTTTGTTTTCCATGCAGCTAAAGGCAAAGTTACTGGCAGATTCATTTTTCACTTTAGACATTTTATTCATATGAAGACCGAATATAAATACAGTCTTCAATTTCTGATCCTGTGTTTAATGTTCCTCTCTTACTTCATGGTAAACGCAGTGACTCCAGGTTAGGAATCCTCTGTTTTACATTCATGCTTGATTTGAGATGTTCTTTTACAAAAGGATTTGCTTTAACGACGACACAGAAAACACATCAAATATTTAGACTGAGAAAATGGATCATTTTGGTCCAGAAGAGTCATTTTCAATTCAACGGCAGGAAAAATGTTTACAAAACTGGAGCAGGGCGACGTGTAAACAGTGTAGCATCGCCCCTTCTTTTAACAACAGTCCATAAATAGACTTGGAGCTGAGGACACCAGTTGCTGGACTTTTGGAAACAAATGCTGTTGTTTATTTTGGTCCCTTTTTTTTAACTTTCCCTACGCACAGCATTATACATCTGTAAAGACCAGAAAAGGGCTGAGTGAGGATGGGCAACTCTCCGTTTAATCCATTTATTGTGCACAGATAAGACATCTGAGAGCATCATATCACAAAAGGCTATTCATATCATCAAGTATTTCCAACACTGAGATCCAGTTTGTTCTTTCTATGAAAAGGCCTCAAATACTCCAAACGAGTGAGCGGGTAACCCTTTAGCTGAGGAGAAAACATGCTTTCATATTAGTCCTGTTAGTCATTTGTTGGATATAAACCTTTAAGGGCCAGAAGATATTTTCACTGAGACGAGATCCTGAATGCAAACTCCTACTGCTTCCCAGAATGCATTTATTCGAACACACTGCTAATTATTTCCACATTAAAGCATAAATGAAGCTATTCTTTGCTCTGGTGCTCCGTAGTTTCATGTCAACCAATTATTTTTGCAGTAGCCTAAAACATGCGTTGAATGTGTTTTTGAATGAGCCTTGGATGCCTTCCTCCACTCTTCCTGGGAATATCGTCGTGTTAGTCCTCTGCAGTGTTTTTACAGAAGACTCAGAGGACTCGTCTGCTAATAAGTGATATAGTTTACATATCAACCCCTTCCCAGAAGACTAGTTTTTCTATTATGGTCAAAGAGGGAATAGATAGTGACTGATGAAGTTAGTTAATTGTAAGTATTTAAAGCCTTTTTATTGTTATTTAACAACACAATGAAGGTTTTAGAGGAATTTATTTCAGAGCCTGATGTTTCCTAAAGTATCTCAGTCTGGCCCCAAAGTGTGTGACTAGATTTGCTTAAGTCTTTAACAACGACAGTATCATCTGTGCAGTGTTCGATGTGGCGTTCAGGCTGCTGAGCTGTACATCCTGTTTCATTACCCACCAAATGTGTTCAGTTGACGAAAGGTCTGCAGACACTTCAGTTCAGCATACTAAGTGTTTGCTTGGGCGCGTGTGTTGCTCTAAAACCTGCATATGCTTTCCAGCATTGACGGTACCTTTGCAGAAGTGCAAGCCACCAGTTCCAGCACCTTCTGAACTGATAACTAGCAGATGGTCCCTCTCCTCGTTAGTCCAGAGGAACAAGAATTTCAAATTTTGCTTCATCTGATCACAAAACAGTTTTCCATTTTGCCTCAGTTCATTTTAAATGAGCTTTGCTTAGTTGAAGATCACCTTCTGTGCCTCTCTACATCTTACTCACCTGTATTAAAGGAACCCAGTTAGCTGCAAAATGCTCCTCCGGCTGGTTTACCCCACCAGCCTCGTGTTGTTGTCATGCTGACAGATGAGGAGGGGGCTGTGGACACCTGACTTCCTCAACATGAGCTCAGCTGCAAAACGAGAAATGGTTTTTCATGAAAGAGTAAAATGTCTCAACATTTGATATGTTTTCTGTGTTCTGTTGTGAAAGGAGTATTGATTTACACAGCACTCCAGCATGTTTTATGTTAGTGTTGTAAATTTATTCCCTGGAAGTTCCTTTCAAACCTCAGGAGGAAGTTTTGTAGGATTCCAGCTTCTTTCATCTGAAAAATCTCACAATCGGATTCACTTTGGTCATTTTCAGTACAGGAACATGTTGTATGTATGGAGCACTTTGTGGTCGACAGGCTTCAGACAGATTCTGGGATGTGGATCAGTTTGTGACGTGTATTTCCACATGTGAGCCCCGGTGCTCCTGCTTCCTGTCAGAGCTGACAGCAGCCCCCTGTCTTTCTGCCTGTGTGCTCTAACTCTGCACATGTCGCTCTTTTCAAGTTAAACAGGCCTTCATCAAAGTTCAAATGCTCTTTCCATTAGTGGTGCATTGATCTGGATTATTCTTCCACGCCTCAGACGTATGGCTTCTTTGTTTCATCAGGCTCAAAATGAAAGTTGTGATTTTCAGTCATCTTTTAGAATTTTGTATTCAAACATGGTTCATTTCTTTGATATGTATTCAGGCCATGTGCACTGTACTATAAATTCTTCTGAAATTGTGTGTGTCAGAAAAGGCATCGCTCCAGTGATTCCACGGCATCAGGTCGGGACCGCAGCTACAGCACAGACTCAGCTGACATGCTGCCCGGCCGACTGAAGGAAGAGTCCTGGCTGCTTGAAATTTCCAGCACCTTCCTTCAGCAGTATGTCCAATACCTGCAGAGCATGGGCTTCATTTTGGTGCAGGTCCGGCCTCAGTCTCCAGCTCGCAGGTGTGTTGGATGTGTGATTTTCAGCTGTTGCTTCCTTCTAATGTACCCTCAACCCTTTCAGCACCTGTGCGTCCCCCTCCATGAGCTCAGACGTGTTAATCAGAACTTTACGTTGAATCCGGGCTGCTTGTTCTCAGAGATTTCTCTTTAATGCCCCCATTTAAATTCAAATTGTATTTGTCACATACACAGTGAAGTGCTTAGACAATGTTGCGAGATCGATCAGCTTTAGACCAGACAACAAACGATGGAGGCTCCGGAAAAGTGCAATCAAACGATGAGTTTTATTATCACAGGAGAACAACCAACCGTCTATGGAACGCCAGGACTGCCATAATGAATTAATTAAATACACCATTAAATAATTAATTAAATGTGGCAATAATTAATTAAAATTGGAATTAATTAATTAAATAAATAGTTATGACACATGTAATTAATTAATTATTGACACATTTAATTAATTATTTATGTATTTCACATTTTAATTAATTATTGACACATTTAATTAATTATTGACACATTTAATTAATTATTTAATGATATATTTATTTATTTCATTTTGGCAGTCCTGGCGCCTGGCTCTCGTCATGAAATAATTTTATCTGTCAGCCTCACCCATCAAACTCAGGGGGCGGGGTTAACGCTGCCCATGCAGCTTCTCTAACATTTGATTGGTTGCCGTGCAAAGTAAGTCAAAACAGGTCGATCCTAGAAAATCGATTGCTTGTGTAGACTTGGGGCAGCCAGTTATCCCAGAATGCAGATCAAATCACAGGCAGCAATGGTGGTGGTGTAGTTTTTCTGTCACCAGCTACACTTTTAACAGTGTTTTAGCCGCGAATGTCGCGACGTACGTCTGGTCAGGTTGTCAACATAGAACATGTTTGCAAAAGTGCTCAGATGTTTTCAGAGATTTCACTAGCTCTGCTAACAGTTAGCATGCAGAGTGCACCGAGGGGGTACATTAACCGGTTTGTTTACATATTCCACTCTCCGTGTTCCACATGTTGCATTCGCAGATTCTCATTTTCACCGAACGATCGTCTCTTTCCGCCTGGTCTTGTGTCTCTGTGCTTCTGTAACATAAAGAACAAGCTGACATTTTTCTCACGAAACCAGCGATCAGCTCAACAGACCCTCAGTTTACCTGCATGCATCCTCCTCCTCATCTGTCAGCTGTTTAACACCTGCTGCTAATTCAAGAAACACGCCTAGTTACCTGGTGATAGTCACAGTTTAACTGGGCAGCCGGTGCTCGATATAACGCAATGTCAGCGCATTTTTCTGCACAAGATAAGTAAATATAGTATTTTCCCCGAGCGCAGAGCTGCTGGAGCTCGTTTCCTTACAGAGCACTTTATAGGCGAACAGCTTTATCAGCGGCTGATGTCCAATCACCAGCACACAGCTTTCAAACCTCAGCTGAGTTTTAGCTCTCAGTGGTTAAACGCTGGACTTCATTCACTCAGGTTCTGTCTGTCGGGTCACGTTTACTTCGCTGTTTTATTTACAACTGAGCAAATCGGTTTGGCTGAGGTTAAAGTTACGTTTCATAACTGCATAGTTTCACAGACGTTTAATGGTTCACTGGCACATGTGTTAGACTGAACTATCATCTAAATATCATCTGTTTTTTAATAGTTATTCAACTGTATTCTAAGCACCAGCTGTCTGTTAGAATGTGATTTTTTTCTCTCTCTGTTGGCAGAGGTATAAAAATGCGCAGGAAAATCTGACGTGCATGGCGAACTTCACCGACGATATTTAGGGAGGAATAAACACACATCAAACATAAATGAACCATTTGTCTGTCTCCATAATTGAGAGAATTTTCTCTTCTTATGTCAACTCTCTCTCTCTTTTTTTTTTCTTTTTCGGTCATGTTATGTTTACCTGTCAAAGGCTTGTTACAAACTATGAAACACATCGTGCAGACTTCTGGATGTTAGAAGAAAACTAATACTGCTCATGAATGAGACTAAAGGCAGGAAGGTGTCCTTTAAAACTAAACATGTTAATAGGACCTCCCTGTTTATATCATAGTTTAAGATATAGCACGTGTATTTCAGTAATAGCCTGCTGAGGCCACTATACGTGCTGGCCTCATATCAAATGTGAAGGCAGACTGAGTCTATGTTTGACGTTTTTTATATCTAATCTTCCTTTTCAAACATTTAAACAGCAGCGAGTCTGCAGCTGAGGGAATACAAACTCAAATTGTCGGAACAGGTTTGCTCGTTTCTTGGATTCATTTGGTGATTTATTAAATGTATAACTGTTATTCTAATCTGCTGCTGAGTCTCTTACACTTTTCTTTATGCTGTATATTTTCACGTCTCTGGAATAGTTGGCAGTTAGATAGTCAGCTGGGAAACTTTGTGTTAACTCATGGAGCTGAGGATATCGTGGATATGCTGACCTCGCTGCGTGGTGTACAGAGCGAGGTCAGCATGATTAATATTCACAATAAAAATATTAGCCGAACATCATGAAGTCTGTATGTGTTTCATAGTGTCGAACAACCTTTGTACAGTTAAAGCCAGCAGTTACTACATGACGGAAACACCAACGTTATCTCTTTTATGCGTTTATACACAGATGACGCTGATTACTGAACAAAAACCCAAAGATCAGATGTTAAACAGATTTATTTGCTCTCTCTCCTCCTTAAACATGTTTTTAATGTTAGTTATAATTCAGACTGAAACACGTAGGACACATAAGAACATCAGGAAATAAAACATCGATAAATATAACCTCAGTAAAAGAAGTCAGCGGGGGTTACTACAGCTGTGTACCGGGGCCTGCGCTTTGTCGGTGGGATTGCTTGCGAGGCGAGCGGGTCTATCCCACGCTTTGCCGTGAGACTGGGCAGACATCTCCGAAATCATCGAAACACTTTTGCAAAGAGGCTGTATCTTGACAAACCGACCAGACACATGAAGATTAAACCACTACATTCTCGGCTAAAAAAATATTAAAACGGTATTTGGTGACACACACACAGGGTTTTTCAAAGCTCAGTTCTGTTAGCTTCCACATGCCGGTTGTTGTGTGCTAGAAACAATGGCCACCAGGCCAAAGCAATGGTTTTGACTCGATCAGCGTTAACCCCGCCCCCTGAGTTTGATGGGTGAGGCTGACAGATAAAATTATTTCATGACGAGAGCCAGGCGTCAGGACTGCCAAAATGAAATAAATAAATATATCATTAAATAATTAATTACATGTGTCAATAATTAATGAAATGTGTCAATAATTAATTAAAATGTGAAATACATAAATAATTAATTAAATGTGTCAATAATTAATTAAATGTGTCAATAATTAAAATGTGAAATACATAATTAATTAATTAAATGTGTCAATAATTAATTAAATGTGTCAATAATTAAAATGTGAAATACATAATTAATTAATTAAATGTGTCAATTAATTAAAATGTGAAATACATAAATAATTAATTAAATGTGTCAATAATTAATTAAATGTGTCAATAATTAAAATGTGAAATACATAATTAATTAATTAAATGTGTCATAACTATATATTTAATTAATTAATTCCAATTTTAATTAATTATTGCCACATTTAATTAATTATTTAATGGTGTATTTAATTAATTCATTATGGCAGTCCTGGCGTTCCATAACCGTCAGCATACGGATTGTTTTGCTCTGACAAGAATACACTGGGTTCTGGTTTTATAGGACAAAATATCACACCTACGTCAATACAGTTCAAAAATACATGGTGACAGACGGGCAAAAGTTCAACTCGTACAGACAAGGGTTCATCACGTACATATAACCTTACACCGACATATAACTTCTCCTTTCTACATTACTTGCCTTTTAAGGTAATAACTTCAGGTCTTAGCTTTTCTGAGAGCTAATAATGGACCCTCCTCATTAATCACTAAGTAGAGTACTTTAGCAGCCAGTCTCAAACTGAAGCAGAAGACACTTAGGCTTTCACTCAAACCTGCTACTAGATTAATATGTGTATCGTAAGCGTGCATGCAATTAACCTGCTATGTTCTCATCTCCCCTCAGCATGTATCATCTGGACACTCTCACCAGTGAAGCTTAAAACCTTCTAGAATGGAACATCAACTCTTAACCAAGCACATTTATGCATTGTGTATAAAATGAACTCAACCTGTAAAAATAGAAAGGTCAATGTGATGACAGACATATTCAATGCAATATAAACCCTGCAGGAAATATTACTGATAAATGATACTGTGAAACATGTTATTAATACATTCTTCATAAGGCAGATTATATGGTAGCAATAAAAGAATCTCTGAATCCCCCACAACAACTGCTCGTGACCTAAAATAAACGACTATGAATAGGATAGGAAATAAATATGAAAATAAAGGGTAAATTTAACTAGGAAAGAATAAAGTAAAATATAAAAATTAAAGTTAAAAATAAAATAACTGTACAACAAAATACACAATATAGAAAATATATAAGAGAATATGAAGAAATATGGAACAAAAGCAGCTGTACGAGTATTAAATGGTAATGAAAGAAATGTAATGTCCAGGGTTGGGCACATGTTTAAGTGTCTTGTGAGTGATTGCATCTAAACTGGGGCATGTCTAATGGCAGCAGTTAAAATAAAGGCTTTCATGTGTAAGTCCATATTTATGTTTATTAGATAAGAATAAACAAGTTTCATAAACTGTTTAATTAGTAAACGGGTGTTTTTTTTCTCTCCCTTTAGTGTGTAAAATGTAAGACAATCAGGAATCATTAACCTCCAGTCTTCTCTCGCACTGTCGTGTGTCATACTTGTCTATTAGTCATCTAATCGCATATGTTTTGATTCTCCTCTGACCTTTGACCTCCATCCACTGAGGCAGGAAGCCTGAGCGTCCTGCCTGCTGTCACTTTCTCAGTCTGTGTGTGACTCGCACTGAATTGTCTTCCTGCTTGGATATTTGCTGCTGGCTCTCTATGAGCCTTTGTTGGGTTTTTTATAGTTTAAGCAGATCTTTACTGACCCCTGTCCCCCACTCCACCCCCACCCCCTGTCCTGCAGCATCGCCCGCGCTCGTGCTGCCATGTTGAACTCTATGTCATCAGAAGGCAGGATGTCTTTTTCTTATGTGAAGCAGAAGAGCGAGGACAGCCCTAAGGTTAGTGTTCACCTTGAAAATGCTCTTTTATTCACAAAACTTGGGGATAAAGTCAGACTGTGCTGTGGGAAAACGGGTCCAGTGAATTTCTAATGTGTCAGTAAAACTAAAGTCTCCAGCATCTCCAGAGACGGGTATTTCCTCTACATCTGATTTAAACTTTTTTTTATCAGATTTGACTGAAGAGCTGCCACAGCCATGGTTTGAGCTGTGGTGAGGCAAACTCGAGGAAGACTCATGTACTCATGCACGCTGAGAAGTTGACAGTTTTAGATCTTTCTGTATTTTTAAAAAACAGATGCGAGTTCCCAAAGACGGTGTAAACATGTGTGTAATGATGCAACAATGGAAAAAGACTGCAGCGCTGCTTCAGGGGGTCTAGAAGCTGTTTTGTTTGTACTCAGGCAGTGGTAACCTTTTCATTGCTGCTAACTTTAATGAGTTATGGCGTGTAAAAAGTTCCTCTGTGGCACAACTTCAGCACCTGGCAAATATGGACGCTCTCCTCGATTTAACGGAACATCAGCCTGATTTAAAGTAGGAAACAAAATGTGACGCAGGTTTAAATGTTGTCCTTTCATTGTGTGTATTTATTGTAAATAATCACACTGTTTAGGCACCAGCAGCTGCACATAATCAGACACAGTAACGTCTTATTGGGCAAATATAAACCTGTTTACCTGCTGGGTGAGACTAACATGCACACCTGCATCCTGAAACAGGCCACAGTGAGAAATCACAAAATTCAGTTTCATCACTTGTGATCCTGCAACAGCAGGCGGAAAATCCCAGCTTTTAATGACGTCACCTTCTATGTCGTTGCTATTTGAACATGAAAACCACAGCCAGCTACGTAAAAAGAGAAATGAAAAAGATTCGCAGTGGTAGATTTTACAATATCAGCCACAGGCCTGATCATCTGTCTCTTATTTACAAAGCTGAGGTCTGAATTGCTCTTATGCACTGGACCTTTCACGTGCTGCAGTTGGAAAGTTACATGCACGGTTTGTTGGCTTTGCAGCCACACAAAGATCAACCTGACCTTCACTCACTGCATCAGTCAGGAGTTTCAAATCTGTGCCGTGATGCTGTCCAACACAGAGCTTTGGACTCGTTTGCATATTTATTGACTCGTCGCCCCCCTCCATGTCTGCAGATTTACAGAGATGCTAAAACAAAACTTTGCTTTTAGATTAGAAATTAAGACCTTTAAGTGTCTCCTTGTGAGTGATGTCACAACATCAGGCCATGAAAGTTTATTTGCTTTGTTTATGTCTGAGCTAATCCACGGCAGGGACGTCTGACTGGATAATGATCGAATCCAACACCGGTGGGTTTTTGTCAAACAAAAACATAATGCGGAGTGAAGGTGTGCCTCCTGTGACATCGCATGCTTCTTGCAGCAAGCACGTTGGCTCCACTGGGGCAGCATGAACCTGACGGACGTCTCTACAGGTTAGATGAGCCTTCTGTGAAACAGCGGAGAGACGGGCAGATGGCTTCAAACCTGTGGGAAGCAAGAGCACAATAATCATGTTCGTCAGCTTCGAGGAGCTCGGTAGCATAGCTACGTTTGGTGCTGCCCCCCCTCCACTGAATGCTTTGTTTGGATGCGCCCTGGTGTTTCGGAGACCATGAAAGCCTCTGTGCACAGATGGAGGTCCACACCACATATGTGCATAAATAAGACCTAAATCCCATTAGGCTGAGATGACAGCCCTCGCTTTGATATCAGTCCTTCCCTTTGCTTTCCAAACCTGCACAGCAGTCAGTCCACACAGCGGGAACAGTTTGTTGCTTTAGAAACAATATTGTGTTACAATAAAGAATATCTACCATTATAACATTAGTGTTGATGAGGGTGCTGGAGTAGTACTATGCTACACATAAAGGTGGTGCGCATTTAAAATGTTACAGTTACAAACTGTGACTGTTGTGACCTTCAGACTGCGGCGTCTGGGACCACCGCATATCACCTGCAGAGGGCGCTGCCAGGAGGAATCGTGTTGATGGAACTGGCTTTTCAGGTGAGAAGCGCTGTCCTCACTAATACACTGTATGTGCTAAAATCATAGTAGTATGATTCTTTCAGTTCTTTGAGACAGGCAAACAGTTTAGTTTAGATAATGATTAAAAATCTAATGTGATGGTTAAAAGTTAAATAGTTAAAGGGATGATGGGTCACAGCGATCAGCGGCCAACTGGCTGTTCAGACGAGGTCCATGTGACGCTGATGGGGATCGTTTCCAAAGTTCACAGTTATTCTGTTCATCCTGGAGAGATCCGGTCTGAACGCCAGCATTTCTAACACTTTGTTTCTGGTCGTGTTGGTTCTGCTGCAGTGTTGAAAGATGCTAAAAAAGGCAGCAGTGAGAAGAGAAGAGGTGCTGAGCAAGTCGAAAAGTGTTCAACTTCAGATAAAAACGCTGAGCTTGGTGTCACTTTTCACCTTGCTGTCAAATTCCTGCGAAGGAGAGCGCGACACACTGACCAACAGCCACATCCTACTGGTAGCACTCAACAGTAATGACCTGCTTAAAGCCCCAAACTCTTACAGTAGTGAAAGGGAAATAATGCTTGGAGGAACTTTTTGTTTGCAGTGCGTCTACAGCAGGCAGTTGGTGTCAGGTACTTCTGTATCATAGGAGTGTGTCAGACAGTGAAACGCTGTGCTGCCAGAGTGCTCTCGAGCATCCCCAGTAAAGCATTTGTACCTGTGGTCAGTGTCTCAGTGTCAGCAGCGCTGCCACTGCAAACACTCAGAGTGAATCAGTATCAGCCTGCATCGTGAGTCCCACTGAGTAACTGGTGTTTCCCACACTAGCATCTTTCTTTAGGCCTTCAGTCGTGTTCAGCCAAGGTCTTCCTCCCAGGTTGTTATGGCAACCTTTTTGTTTACTGTGTCCCACACTTAACGTACAACGAGACAGAACACAACTGGTGTGAGACGAGTGAAATAAGCCACAGTGTTTGCCAAAACCTATTACTGAGAGTGGGAGGAGTGGGTAATCACTGCTGTGATGTTGTCGTCGCAGCGCTGTGCGTTTGGCCCCGTGCTGTGTGTGTGGTCTGATATCCTGGCACTATGTGTTTGTTTTTGCCGTTTGCTCATCCTTAGCTACACGTGAAACGTTTTGACCTTTCGACATATTGTTTGTTGTGATGGTGAGGATAGATTTTTTCCACATACAAGCCTTCAGCTCTCCTGAAAAACAGCACATTGACTCCCTGTGTGCAGTCTTACCGATTATTTTACTCTGGTGTTGAGTAACCTTGTGGTCTTTGTGTCACTCCACCAGGGCTGTTACTTTTGTGTGAAGCAGTATGCACTGGAGTGTTCCCGTATTCCCATGGGCCAGACCGTCAACTCGCAGGTAAATGCTTGACACTGATCTGCACTGCTGTGTGGACACACAACACTGAGCTCCGTGTCCTCAACAAGAACATAAAAGAGCGAAAAGGAAACACAAACCAGAACACAAATGATCACAGTGGGAGGGCAGGAGTGCCGATCTGTGTGCATCATGTAGGTTTGGGGTTCTGACTGGTGTTGGGCTGCTGGGCTCTTTATGATCATGGGCTCAGTCAAATTTAAATCCTTAAATCTTTGTTTAAATCAGTTTTTGTAGGAACTGATATACTTGAAATTAAAGCCGTTTTTAAAACACCTAAACTCTTTCAATATAAATGCTGAATAAATTCCTTGTAGTCTGAGTTGTTTAAAAACCACATTTTTTGAAGCCCTTCACACCATTAGTGCCTCACGTGAGTCGACATGTAGACTTTATCACTCTGACTACATTTTCCCAGCTGTTAGCAGTAAAGCAAAATAAAAAATAAGATAAAATAATCATTTGAAGCAGCCAGTTCCTGACAGCATGATGGGAAGAGGTGAACCACACGTAGCTTTTATGCTAGCTTTACTGTAGTTTAGTGTTATTTTGCCTCTTCTGTTCGTGCTGCAGTTGAATATTATTATTGCTCTGATGCAGTTTAAGAGCCACGTGGTCAACAGCAGCTGTTCAGTCTGGTTTACAGCGTGTTCGCCCATTTCTTTACTTCTCGTCCGATGTAATTTCCACCCTTTGTCTGTTTATCCACCGTGAGCAGAAACACACTTATTAATAAATAAGAAGCAGATACAGATTTGAAAATAATCCTCTGGCTGAGACAGAATAACCTCCACTGTTAATTCACATGTACTAGTCATGTCAGGTCCAACTAGGGTAAATTTGTCATCATAAGGTGGCGCAACTTAAAAGTGTCGGCCGTAACCATCTATGAGAAACTACACTGCAGTGACCAAACAGGCTACAGCTATTCAAACACTCGTTGTTGGAGCCAAAGCTGCTCTCTGACATCACTTCTCTTCATAGCTTTCATGGACAGAAGCTGCAGGTTGAAGAGCATCTATCTATGCTAGCTTTTAGCAGATGACCTGCTTATCTTGGTTTCATTGACCTCTAAGTGGGAGGATCCTAGGATTGGAAATTTAGCACTTTCAAGTCTGAGGCCTCAGACTTGAAAGTGCTAAATTTCCAATCCCTTTTATGGTACAGGATTTGTGGCAGTAGTAGGTATCTGTGTATGCAGAGCTTAATCATGGCGGTAAGTAACAAATGCAGGCATGCTGGCTTCCAATGACCCAACAGTATGTAGCCTGATGTGGATGATGACGTGTGTAGATTCAATGCTGGTTTCATGGGAAATGTGCTGGAACAAAAAATGAGTGTCAGTGCAGCAGTACAACAAAAACACCTAAGATTTAAAAAACCTACAGCAGGAGAAGCTCACACGGGAGACTGCAGGGGGCACGTTTCTCTTGGTGACAGTAAACAACTACAGCATGTAGGCAATAATGTCTGTCTGCAGGCTGGGTGGAGGACCGCTGCATCATTCAGCCATCAGCTGGAAGCAGGTAGAGCCCACTCAGAAGGTTGCTGCACCTGTGAAGGAGATGTAGTATTTCAAGGCCTTCACATAGTAGAGTAGAGTAGAACCGTACCCTGTGGTAAAGACAGAGTATGAAGGCAGAACTGTAGATTTGTATGGCAGTCAGCATCACACCTTTGCCTACGGCCACGAGCAAAATAATGCGAGTCTGCGAAAAAGCACGACACAAGCTTCCTCCAGAGGATGTGTGGACACAAGAACCAAAGTAGAATGTCAGCAAAAAGAGCAACAGGTCAGTGAAAGTGGCATTTATTCAAAACACAGTACAGTAGCAAGGACATCAGCCAGTTCAGGAAGTGATCCTGTCGAGCACTTCTGACCAATCAGTCTGGTTGTTTTAGACTCTCTGTGGAAGTCCCACTATTTCCTGTGTAAGCAGCAGTCTCTCAACTTTAAATTGAGTTGAGTGGACAAATTTGTGTTGTAGTGTTAAGTAAAAATGGTGCCGCTGTCCTGCGTTTATCCTGCTGTCTGTGCTGTCACAGGACAACCACAGGCAGTCTCAGCTGCAGGGACAGCATCATGGAGCACAGTGAAATGAGAAACATGTTCCTGGACTCGCCTAACCCACCTTTAGGCTCGTGAAACTAAACTAAACTTCTCAGCCACAGAGGGAGGAAACAAGAAACTGCTCCAAATGTTCCAGTTCTGCAGACTCGTGCACCTCCAAGCTTATCGACTCCTTTTATCAGTGCTGACATGTTATGTTCTGATATTTGCATAAAAATGGCATCAAGCTGGTGTCGGAGAAGCAGCAACAATGAAGCTTTTTTTCTTTCTGTTGAGACTCAGATAATGAAACGTGAATCTGGAAATATTGAGGCGATCGATAAAGAATCGGACCTAATAACAGCATTCGTGTCTTACAAGTCCCGAGCTTTAGTCTTGTCTTCGTTTTAAATGTATTTTATTTATGAACAGACAGAGCGGCTGTAAAATTCTGAAACAGGATTCAATCACAAATGATTTTTAAAAATATATCCGCATTTTCTTGATCTGCACATAAAAGCTAACAGCTGTTTGTTGTTTCCATCCATAGGTGTGTATATTTTCTGTTTTGAGTTCACATGTTTTGAGTAACTGCCTGTGAAGATGAAATCCTGACGCTGTCCAGCAGCGACTGTTCATCCGGAAAGAAAATCACTTTGCTCCAGTACTTTCACCATCCAGGGTGTTTTTCACACTGTGTCACTTTTCAGATTTCATTGGGTCTGCCGCTCCGTGCTGTTTCATGCTGTGCATCCCGAACATGTATTACTGCAAGGAGGAAAAGTATTTTAGAACAGGCACACATGGCCTGCCTGCTTTTAGCGACAAAGTGAAGTGGAACTTTTTAAAAGCCCATTTCAATCTAAGTGGGCGTTAATTCAACTGTTTGCAGAGCTGTTTAGTTCTGCAAACAGTCAGCTGGTTTTTATTTATTTCTATTTTTATTTAAATTTGCCTCCAGTTTCAGACCCGCTGTTTCTAACAGTTGCTGATGTTTAGCTGAAGGGAGAAATAAGTCCAAGTTCTCCTCTCTGTGAGGTCTCCTCCGATCATGCACGAGTGACAGTTGCTGCCATCAATCTGGACGCCAAATATGTTAAAGCAAATTCAACATTGGTGGACTGTTTCTGACAATGTGTGGCTTTAGCCTGCAGCTCGGCCCCCTGACAGTATTTTACTATCAGCCATGTTGCACTTCCCATCTCATTTCACCTCGTCTGTTAGAGCATACTCCACATGGTTTAATCTAAAGATGCATTATTTATCAAATGTATTATTGTCTGATGCATAAAATAATATGCTTACAACACAGCCTGAAGAAACCAGAGTCAAAGTAACAACAAAAGTACTTTGGAAATAATTCAGGTGGAACCTTTTCCAAGTTTTAGGAACAAAAGGATGATCAAACAGCCTTTTGATCCTCTCATCATTAGTTGTTGTACTGGTCCAGCGTCAGAGGAGCATCCTTTTAGTTTTTGGCAGCTTCACTATAAATCATTCAAACATACAAAAGTTACTAAACTCAAAGGATGAATCAGCGTTGTTTGTTTGACATATCACATAAACAGCTGTGCAGATGACACACAAATATATATCACAATGTCACCAGGAGACCGAGGCCCTGTACAGGCTCTTGGTAAATGCATTGAGGAAATCAATGACTGGTTGTGCCACAATTTTCTCCAGCTAAACAAAAACAAACTGAAGTAATAGTCTTTGGCGCCAAAGAAAAACGATTACAGGTCACCAGAGAACTTCAATCTATACATCTAAAAACCACAAACCAGGCGAGAAATTTGGGTGTAGTGATGGATGCAGACCTAAACTTAGAAAAACACATTAAGACAATAACAAAGTCAGCTTACTATCACCTCAAGAATATATCAAGGATAAAAGATCTGATGTCTCAACAGGACCTGGAAAAACTAGTCCATGCATTCATCTTTAGTAGGCTTGATTACTGTAACAGCATCTTTACAGGTCTACCTAAAAAATCAGTCAGACAACTACAGCTCATTCAGAACTCTGCTGCTCGAGTCCTCACTAAGACCAAAAAAGTGGACCACATCAGTCCAGCTCTGAGGTCCTTACACTGGCTGCCTGTCCGTCAGAGGATAGACTTTAAAGTTCTGATGCTGGCCTATAAAGCTCTGAATGGTTTAGGACCAAAATACATCAGTGACCTCCTGACCCAGTATGAACCTTCCAGATCCCTCAGGTCATCTGGATCCGGTCTTTTATCAGTTCCCAGAGTCAGAACCAGACACGGAGAAGCTGCATTCAGCTTTTATGCTCCTTATATCTGGAACAAACTCCCAGAAAGCCTCGGATCAGCTGAAACACTCAGTTTATTTAAATCCAGGTTGAAGACTCACCTGTTCTCAGCTGCATTTGAATAAAGCACCAAATCTGCTCTGTTTTACTTTTAAGCTTAAATTTCAAAACTTACATTTTTTTCATGCTTTTTATTTGTTTTTGTTTTTTAATGTCTCTGTAAAGCGCTTTGAATCACCTTGCTGTAAATAAACTTGCCTTACACTTGTACAGCTGTTACTGCAGCTGAATCTGTGCAACATGCGGGGTTTGTTCCAAAAATGGATTTTCAAAGAGCTGTTAGCTGCATATGAATGCATTTATTACATAATAACAAACACTGTGATAAAATCAAAAAATGCAAATATTTTAGAAATTTATCAAAGTTTAAAACCAAACAATTATGTTATTTTTTAAGGCAGATAACAACTGGCACACTGGACTTCTTTATGGTTATTTAATCAAGTATTTATCTGTAATTTGGCGTCTTATAAAGATCATAATATACTTCACTATTTTTTTCTGTTTTTTGGTGAAAAATGATCATTTAGATGAAAGAACTTGCACATAGTGGTGGACTAACCATTACAGAAATATGTCAAAAAGGATTTTAATGAGCAATACTGCTGTTTTAGAGCAGCTGCAGCTTAAACCGCACACTGGGGTGGTGCCTGGCATGGTGTGCAGCGGCAACCAGAGATAAAAAAATAAATAAATGAAAATCCTACAAGAATACTTCTGGGTGGAGTCATGAATCAAACCATCAGTTTTTATATCGAGTAACAGGACGTGTAAACATGAAGGGAAATAATGAGACCTGCATTAATCTGCCTCGTAGCTTAGGCATGAATTTTAAAGCCAAGTTAGACGCAGCAATATTCAATAAAAAAAGACAACATAAGCTAATCGCCATTAGTTCTGCTAAACTTTGTTTATATAGACTTCTTAAATGAAATGTCCTCTATCTTGTATAAATGCCATTTCTACTTTAGGATGGCTCACAGGAAGTACCAAAGTACAACTTCATGGTGTTCCCTTGTGCACAAAGCTGCGATTGTTTGTTCTGTGCATGAGCAGAGGTGCTTTTTCACTTCTGTTTATGGATTTTTGAAGAATTTCCGACCTTGAAGATTCAGCTCTTATCCCGAGTGCCAGCAGCTTCGGTCCTTGTTCTGCTTCTATATTAGGTGAACATCTCTCCCACTTGTGACTGATCCATTTTCAGATTAGGGGGTCGGTGCACTTTGATGTGACGAAGGCAGAGAAAGATGTTTTGAAAGATGTCATGCTGTTTGTTTCCCTCCCGGTGGTGTTGTCAGGATGTCTACAAAGTGATGTGAGAGGTTGACTGTGTTGAAAGAGCCTGTGCCTCTAAGCACAGTGGGGAGGCCAAAGGGTTTAAGTGTTGAGAAAGGAAGAAAGGTGCATTCGCTGCAGCTATTGTGAATTAAAGATGTCCATAAATCCTCAACAAAAAGCTTGACATTGAGTAAATTAAGCGTAAACAATGTGTTTTATGTTTAAAATGAATTATCTCTGTAAAGCCCAGAGATGTGTTCCCTGTGTTAGAGAGGGAGTCATAACTGCAGTCAGTATTCACAGGTGAGAGCACGTTCTGAAGTGGCTCTTCACATTGGCCCAAACATTATACACAAAAGCAATGAATTGCTTCTTAATTAATAGATAATTTTAAACAGTTTAGAATATGATTTACATTTAAATGACGATGTTGCTGAAACACTTTAAACAGGAGACTTGTTGACATGTGAGAAACACACAGATATAAAAAGAATGAATGTTCATGCTGGCCACATTAAAGGGGACCCGTTTATTTCCAGCCTTTGTCCTTTGGCTCTGTTACAGTAGCTTTGCATGATTTGCAGAATAAGCCTTGTTAATATCAATAATATCAGTGCAACCCCTCAGTTCATCATCTGTCTGACAAAACCTCCCATCTTTCTCCTCATTGGATGTCCCTCATAAGCAAAAAGATTTGATTGGAAGGTGGGTGGGCTTGATCTGTGCCTGAGACAATAATATCAGAGTAAATAGTTTCAGTCTTTTTATTCAGATCTAAGAGGTGAAAAATGCGTCTGGAACAGTGTTTCAATACGCCATCATAATAGGCTGCATGCAGAAACGAACTCTTCCCCGTGTTTTTCCTAAATGTGAAAATACTGTGGGATCTTTTCCATTTTAAGATGCAGATTTTTTTCTACTTTAATTTGTTCAAATATTGTTTCTCGTGTTCCTCTGATCATCAGTGAATTTAATTGCCCAGCACACATGCAAAGTTTCAGACGGTGTTCAGGACGAGGACTGTGGTAATTCATTCGTTAGCACTTGTTAGTGCTGTCAGTATAAAATGTCTTTATAAATAAACACAAATTAGTTGCATTAGTATTTGGGGTTTACAGCAGCGTGCATTAAACTTAATGTGTTACTGCTTTGACAGTGTTCTGGTAAATACTGAGAAATAGCAGGCAGCTTGTTAGTGAAGTGACACCAACTTAATGAATGAAGCGTAAAGTTTGCTAACAGCTATGGATCAGCCCAACATTAGAACCACATATCATGTGATTATTATAAGTCCAAGCCCAGGTCGTTGAGCTGGCCTCCTAACACGCCTATCCCAGTCTAACGGTGCATCTGTGGGAACTAACCTGATCCTGAGGCCAACAGAAGGATGTGCAGCTTAACCACAGGATGGTGGTTTTAATGTTGGGGCTGATCGATGGATATATCAGTCTTATGATGCTTTACTGAAGTCGTATTATCCACAAGTAGTTTCCTACTAACCAAGATGCATATTACTGTGACTATCAGCTAGTCAGATTAGCTGAGTGTTTAGCTGGTTAGTGTCACACTAAAAACAATAAACACATCCAAGTCCACAGTTCTAGAGTGTGTATGTAATGTGGATATTTGTAGTCTGAAATGGTTTTATTTGATCTCTTAGCACATCTTCAGTCTTCCTTTCCATCCATCTGTCTGTGTCTCTGTGTCTGCCTAGTCCCACCTCATGTCATCTCTCCATCAGGGCAGCCTCCTCACCAAACCTCGTTGCAAGCCGTTTCCAGATGCCACACCAGTATCTGACTGTGCGGTATGTCCCAGCCATTCTCAAGGGAGGGGTGTCTCACTACAATCAGGCTCCACCCCTCTTCGCCACTCTATGCTTGCTCTCATCAGTCCTGGTCTCTTTCCTTTCAAGTTTACCTGCCTGTCTCTGTGGGAATGATTGGGTTTAATGTTAAATCAAGTGCACTGTGGGAGCTACTGTTGCTGCAAACTACAGCTTGACTGTAAAAACGCATCTTTAGCTTAAGGCAGGGACTCAGACTTAAGTTATGCAATAAAAATGATGCATTTATACCTGATTGTGTTGAGGATCAGGTGAGGGCCAAGCACCTCTATGATTTTCTTTTCCTTTTCTGTTTTCAACAGGCTGTCTTCTCTGTGGTTGTTGGTTTGGTGTTTTGGGTGTTGGAGCTAATTTTTTATGCAACCATGTTTTTCTTTTGCCCTTCCTCTTCTTCCTCTTCTTCCTCTTCTTTAGCAGCCAGGTGGTGATTGGAGCTAGGGTCTGTGTTCATGTGTGAAGGTTCAGTCTTTGAATTACACAGAATGTAAACTGCTGCTTCTGCTGCTCCGCTGCTACAGATACAATACTGGAAAATTCTGTATAATTTCTATTATACAGAATTTATACAGAACTATTAATTCATTTAAATTGTTAGTGACCACTGGGTGTTTATAACTGTATGTCTGAGTAAGTATATGTTGTTCCCCAAGGCTCAGTTATTGGGCCACTTCTGCTTAAATGCTGCATGTTTAGCAGCGTGATGGTAGCTACAATTGAATCATGCCATCAATGACTCATTTCATTGATTTTTCTTCTAATATTTTCAGACTATTTTGATATATTTTCTTTGTAATGTAAAGCTAAATGAGCTTGAGTCGAGTATTAATTAACAGTATAATGGTAGGTTGCAAAGTGCAGGCTGTGAGGGTGCGGCCACAAGGAGTTTGTTTAAATATTATATTCTAGATTTTAAAACAATCATTAAAAAAAAGTTTATAGGAGAAAAAGGTCAAAGGATGAAAATAAATCACTGAAAGTGCACAAACTTTACAAGCTTGTGATTATTAGGTTATCGTGAGCTGAAAAAGATTTTTTTAGATTTTGAAATGATCTGTCTTAAGTTTGAGTATTTGATAATTATTAGTATCCATCCATCCATCTTCATCCGCTTTATCCGAGGCCGGGTCGCGGGGGCAGCAGCCTGAGCAGAGAGGCCCAAACCTCCCTCTCCCCAGCCACCTCCTCCGGCTTATCCGGGGGAACACCAAGGCGTTCCCAGGCCAGCCGAGAGATAATCGCTCCAGCGTGTCCTGGGTCTGCCCCGGGGCCTCCTCCCGGTGGGACATGCTGGAATCGACTGGTAAATTGAGAGCTTTTACACTCAGCTCCCTCTTCACCACGACGGACCGGTGCAGCGTCCGCATTACTGCAGCTGCAGCCCCAATCCGTCTGTCGATCTCCGGCTCCCTTCTCCCATCACTCGCAAACAAGAACTCGAGATACTTGAACTCCTCCACTTGGGGCAGGAACCGATGAAGCCAACAGAACCACATCATCCGCAAAAATCAGAGATGAGATTCTGAGGCCACCAAAGCGAAAGCCCTCCGCCACTTGGCTGCGCCTAGAAATCCTGTCCATAAAAATTATGAACAGAACCGGTGAAGCCCATCACCCACCAGGAACAAATCCGACTTATTGCCGGCAATGCAAACCAAGCTCTTGCAACGGTTGTATAGGGATCGAATGGCCCGTAGCAATGGGCCAGACACCCCATACTCCCGCAACACCTCCCACAGGACACCCCGAGGGACACGGTCGAATGCCTTCTCCAAGTCCATGAAACACATGTAGACTGGTTGGGCAAACTCCCATGCGCCCTTGAGTATCCTTGAGAGGATAAAGAGCTGGTCCAGTGTTCCGCGACCAGGACGAAAACCACATTGTTCCCCCTGTATCCGAGGTTCGACTAGCGGACGAACTCTCCTTTCCAGCACCCTGGCATAGACTTTCCCAGGGAGGCTGAGGAGTGTGATCCCCTTGTATTTGGAACACACCCTCCGGTCTCCCTTCTTAAAGATGGGGACCACCACCCCAGTTTGCCAGTCCAGGAGTACTGCCCCTGATCTCCACGCAACATTGTAGAGGCGTGTCAACCAGGACAGCCCTACAACGTCCAGAGCCTTCAGGAACTCGGGGCGGACCTCATCCACACCAGGGGCTCTGCCACCAAGGAGTTGTTTAACTGCCTCAGTGACCTCGCCCCCGGAAATTGGCGGGTCATTCCCCTCATCCCCAGACTCTGCTTCCTCCTCGGAAGACGTGTCAGTGGGATTAAGGAGGTCCTCGAAGTATTCCTTCCACCGCCTGACAATTTTCTCAGTCGACGTCAGCAGCGCTCCGCCAGCACTATACACAGTGCAGGTAGAGCACCTCTTTCCCATCCTTTTTTTTTTTTTTTTTTTTTAAATGACATCAGAAACAGCAGTATGCGACATTACGTGATGGCAGAGCTTCAGTTCATCCTTTGTCATTTTTTTTTTTTTTTTTTTTTAATAAATAGGACCAAACCCATCCTGACGGTTTGCCAGAATCTCTTCGAGGCAGTCCGAAAGTCTTTTTCCATCGCCTCTCCGAACTCCTCCCACACCCGAGTTTTTGCTTCAGCCACTGCCCGAGCCGCATTCCGCTTGGCCTGTAAATACCTGTCGGCTGCCTCCGGAGTCCCACAGGCTAACCAAGCCTGGTAGGACTCCTTCTTCAGCCTGGTGGCTCCCTTCACCTCTGGTGTCCACCATTTGGTTCGGGGATTACCACCACGGCAGGCACCAACCACTTTGCGGCCGCAGCTCAATGCAGCAGCTTCGGCAATGGAGACGCTGAACATGGTCCATTCGGACTCAATGTCCCCAGTCTCCCTCGGAATGCTGTTGAAGCTCTGCCGGAGGTGTGCGTTGAAGATCTCGCGGACTGGGGCCTCTGCTAGACGTTCCCAGCACACCCTCACTATGCGTTTAGGTGCACCAGGTCTGTCCAGCGTCCTCCCCCGCCACCTGATCCAACTCACCACCAGGTGGTGATCAGTTGACAGCTCAGCCCCTCTCTTTACCCGAGTGTCCAGAACATATGGTTGCAGGTCTGGTGATACGATTACAAAATCGATCATCAACCTGCGGCCTAGAGCGTCCTGGTGCCACGTGCACTTATGGACAAACTCTTATGTTTGAACAAGGTGTTCGTTATGGCCAAACTGTGATTTGCACAGAAGTCCAATAACAAAACACCGCTTGGGGTCAGATCAGGGAGGCCATTCCTCCCAATCACGCCCCTCCAGGTCTCGATGTCGTTACCCACGTGAGCATTGAAGTCTCCCAGCAGGACAACAGAGTCTCCAGGTGGAGCACCTTCCAGCACCCCACCCAGGGACTCTAAGAAGGCTGGGTACTCTGAACTGCCACTCGGCGCATAAGCGCAGATGACAGTCAGGACCCGTTCCCCGACCCTAAGGAGCAGGGAACAAACCCTCTCATCCACCGGGAAAAACCCCAACGTACCGGCAGCAAGCCGAGGGGATATTAGAATACCCACCCCAGCCTGTTGCCTCTCACCATGGGCAACTCCAGACTGAGACAGAGTCCAGCCCCTCTCCAGGAGACTGGTTCCAGAGCCCAAGCCATGCGTAGAGGTGAGCCCGACTATATCTAGCCGGTACCTCTCAACCTCACGCACTAACTCAGGCTCCTTCCCCACCAGAGAGGTGACATTCCATGTCCCTATTGCCAGTCTTGGTAGCCGGGGATCAGTCCGCCAGGGCCTCCCCTCCCGCTGCCACCCGGCACACAATTCACCCGACCCCTACGGTGCCTCCTGCGGGTGGTGGGCCTGCGGGAGGATGGGCCCATGTCTCCTCTTCGGGCTGTGCCCGGCCGGGCCCCATGGACTAAGGCCCGGCCACCATACGCTCGCCCTCGGGCACCCTCCCCAGGCCTGGCTCCAGGGCGGGGCCCCGGTAACCCTATCCCGGGCAGGGTAAACTGTTCCCTCGATGTTCTCTTCATAAGGGTCTTCTGAATTATTAGTAATGTATGTAATTATTCTGTGCCTAAACCTGACCAAGCAGCCAGAGAAAGCAAACGTACTGCAACACTCACACTAACATATCCTCAGGGTGTTACGGTTAAGAAAATCAGGTACTAAATACATAAGCAGAGAATCAGACACTCACCAGCCACTTTATTAGAGACACCAACACTGCAAATACTAATGGGCCAATCACATGGCAGCAACTCAATGCATGTAGACATGTAGGCATAGTCAAGAAGACCCGAAGTTCAATCCGAGCATCAGCAAATGTTATTTAAATGATGAATGTGCGATTTTTCAACACAGACACTTGTAGGCTTTACAGAGGATGGTCCAGTAAATGCCAGTGGTCAGAGGAGATTGGCCAAGCTCCTGTTAGCTGATGGGAAGCCAACAATAACTCGGTCAATTGCTCATTACAACCAAGGTATGCAGAACAGCATCCCTGAAAACACCAAGTGAGAAGCTCTACAGCAGCAGAAGACCACACAGAGTGCTGCTGCGTGCAGGTAAAACCAGGAGACCACAGCTTACGATTTCCACAGCCTCGCCAATAGTGGACAGTTTGGAAGCTTATCTGCTCTGATGAATCTCCTCCATGTACCCGTCTTCCAGCTGGAGAGCATGACACGTCAGGAAACTCTCATGATCTGAAACTGGATTCTTGAACCTGATTCTGCTGTAATCAAAGGTTCAAAGTGTTGATCCCACACAGCACCTTTAGGATGTGATGTAACAGGAGACTTCAAATCTACAGCATGCGTGTGACACTATCATGTCAGTGTGAACCACGAGGAATGGTGCCAGCACCTTGTCGAATCTGTGCCACAAAGCACTACGGCAGTGCTGAAGGGGGAAAGGTGTACCTGGTAAAGTGGCTGTGAGTGTATATTTGCAGTTGTAATACACACATCACAGCTGGATAACTGCTGTTACTCCTGTTGGGTTTCAGATCACTGCATTGTGATAGTACCACTGCAGAAATGTGAGTCTTTTTTCCAGGAGTGAAAATGCAGAGCCTCACAGGGACGCATCGATGGATGTCACAGTCTGAGAGCTTTCCTCTCGTCGCTCTGCTTGTTTTTCTTTCAATCAGCTTGCTTTGTATTCTCTTCTTTTTCTTCTTCTTGTATGACCTCGCTGATTGCAGCTTCTCCCGTCAATGCAGCCGCTGTCATTAATTTCACTTCCACCGAGTGCCGCTGACAGGAGACGAGCTGCAGCCCCACGACTCAAACTGGCAATTTGTTCTTGTCAAAGTTACACGGAGTGTTTTAATTAACTAGAACATGAACCATTTGGGATTACAGGTTAGGAAATAATAAATGTTAGCGTGATAGCAAGGAGGACACACACACACACACAGGAACTACCTATGAACTGAGGAGAGCCGCGCAGTCCCATTGGCTTCCAGGCTCCATAGATAACAGGCCAGGAGGTCACACTTAATTTGTCTGCCAGACTGCAGGAACACCGCTGGGGAGAGAAAAGTTAATATTCATCTTTTCATTCCTGTGTGCAAAAGAATATTCTTCCTCATTATTATCTCTGCGGTGAGGGTGCTGATGAAAGTCTTCTGCCCTTTTGCCAGTTTCTGGACAAGTGTCGAGGCAGGAAAAGGTTCCAGACGGCGAAGAGATGAAAGTCTGTAGCTACAGAACGCTGTGCAGTCTTTTCTTGGCTCTTTGATATAATGAAGCTGCTTTTGTGCACGTTCCAGGCAAATGGTCCAGATCAAAGTAAAAGCAGGAGTAGCAATTAGAGCTCCTTGTAAACTCTTATTGTGCTGTAATTAACTGCACAGCACAGCCTCTCACTGCAGCCATTTGCATTTGCAATTATTGCTTTTGTCAGCTCCCTTTTGATGTTGGATTTAATTAAAAAGGATATTATTATGAATCTGATTGATATCAAAGTTGCTTACAAAAGCTTCTCAGTAAGGAGCGATGGGAGTCACAGTGCAGCAGGGCCTTAAGGTGTGCTGTACAAAGCAGTCTCTGTTGGAGTGGCTGGAACAGCAGGTCCTTCCCCTTCAGATGCAAAACAGTTTCATACATGGCTGATCGCACAGATAGACATTCAGAGTTAGCGCTGTCTGCCAGATCAGTTTTGCAGAGGTATTCAGACTGACTGAGTTTGGAGTTAGAGTACCACCTCCTTCTTTTCCCGTCTGTGTCAGTGAGTCACGCTGTCCTGGTGATGACCGTCTCACAACCTTCTGTTGCAGCTCTCCATGCTCTTCACTGAGGAGTGTGATAAAGTCAGGGACACCATGCACGTTCACTCCTTCAGCTACGACTTCCACCTGCGAGTGGTTCACCAGTACCTGGTCGGCTGCCACATGACGCTACGGCAAGGCTACCAGCTCACCGACTTCCTGGACGACTTCATCTCCCATCACCCGGACATCCCCAAGTTCGGCCGCAACCACGTCTTTCAAGGTGATTCTGGTGTTGCTGACTGCATCGAATCCCATGGGATGATGATGATGATAATGTTTTTTTGATTCTGCCATGATTTCTAGCTTTTCAACATTTACAGCAGCCGCCAGAGCAGCCAGTGAAAGTAAACAAAAGATGGCAACACAGTGAACGGTGTACAGAGCATTTACTAAAGGGAACAAAACTCGAATTCACCAGAAACAAAGACCAGAAAAAAACAAACTGACAAATGAAAAATAGGCCCAAAAATCATCATGTGATTAGAAGCATTTGGACTGTGGGTCAGTGCCCACACAAACACACACTGGTTCTGATGGGAAATACAAACTAAGGATCCAGTTATATCCACCATATAGCTGCACGTCCTCACTAAAGTGCGAATGGCATTCCCCATTTTTATGGTGCGATTAGGTTTATCCAACCTTAAAAAGTGCAAGGTTATAACTTTAATTTGTATTCTTTGCCTCCGGCTTTCAACTTTCCCCCTTTTACCTAATGGTCCCTGATACATGAGATGAAGTCTTTCCACCAGCTTCATTTAACAAAGACTTGCATCTGAAAATGTGTCCGTGTGCTGTGACTTCACTGAAGTTATTCGCAGCACGTTTATGGAAGTTGTGGTCATTTTAAAAAACAAACTCTGCTGTCTTGGCTTAAACTATGCAGACGTGCAGAAAAAAATAAGTGCACCGAGACCTTTGGGAGGAAGTGGTCTGGATTAAATTCCAAACTCCAAACAAAGTTTGGGTTAAACTCCTGTAGCTAAACAGGTAAATCTGAATCATCCACAGTGATGGTTCATGAATTTTTTTTTTTTGTTCTGAAATAAACAACTTTAGCTCACCTCTTACTCCCCCCCCCCTGTGGTTGATTTAGCACAGAGTTTATTCGCTAACCTCTGCTAGCACGAGTACTGGAAGTCTACTCAGGTGAATTTGTGTTCATGTTTAGCGTCTTCTCCAGCTCCCTCTGGTGGTCAGTGCAAACCAACTGAAATGATATTCAGAGTAAATATTTGAAATTGTTTCACTGAAAGACGAGTTCAGTCCCTCTGTGTCCCGCCTCCGTTCGGGCGTCACCAGCAGCGCTCTCTGAGCCGTTCTGGATCGATGAGCAGATATTTGTTTTTCCATCAGAGCTTCTCAGGCTCTGTGTGTGCACAGGAACAACTGTGTTTGTCCTTCTGAGCGTCTGTCATTCTTGTGTAAATCAGGGAGCTTCTCCATCTCCACGGGGATGATAACAGCTCACCAGCTCTACAACTACATCACCGACCACGCCAGCACGTATGGCATGAAGCCGCTCCGCATGTCGAAGGCTGCGGTCGCCACTGACAACAAGAAGGCGATGCCTGACCTTCACGAGTATGCCCTGGTGGCTCTGTGGAACAGGTGGAGAAACAGCTCTGACCTCAGAATAAACCTTCTCTCCTCATATCTGCGGCTTAACTTTACCTTTGTTGGCTCCTCTTGCTTTAGTTCGGGCTCCTACAAGGATCTGGACGGTCTGCCCCACCACGATGACTTCGATGTTTCCCTGGTGGTGTGTCACAACGCTGCTCCGTTTGAGGAGCAGTCAGACGGGGAGAGGCATCTGCTCAGGTAAGATCTACTCATATCTGGGCTGACACCATGTTTGTTTTATCTGACATGTCCTGACACAACCTAAAGAGGACTGGTGGACGTTTCACGGGCCAAACATGTGTTAACAGTACATCACTGAAGGCACTGGATAAACTTTTGCTGAGTCTCATCTCGTCCCCTTTCATAGGCTACGCTTCTACGTGATCATGACCAGTCAGCGGGAGCTATTCCCACGCCTCACTGCAGACATGCGCCGCTTTAAGAAGCTTCCTCAAATCCACCGTGATCCCGGAGAGCTGGGGGGACGGCTCTCCCAGGATCGAGCAGAGGCTTCTGGGTCACGTGGTTCTGAGCAGGACCTCTGGGAGGAGGGTTCGTCTGAAGCTTCAGCACCCTTGGCTCCAAGTGATGGCAACGAGTTTTACCCTCTGACAGGCGGTGGACCAGAGGCTCAGGGGCTCCTCTACGCCTCCCCTCTGTTCCCTCTTCTCAACAACGAGGTGGCGTCTGCCCGCAGACAGATCCAGATCAGCGTGGAGCAGGCCATGGGTCACTGCCGCAGGGACAACCTGTGGAGGAGGCTGTTCCACGGCGAGCATGTGGCCCTGGATAAACTGAAGCTGGCCAAGTTGTCGTTCAGCGAGCTGGAGGAGCTGCTGGAGGCTGTGCAGAGCCGATCAGTGGGGGAAATCGACCCGCAGCTGGTGAGACTCTAATTTTAGCCTTAAAATCAAGATTCAGTTATGACCATCAAACATCAGCAATACCAAACACCTTGATTACTAAGACCACAGCTCGACACAAATGAACCGCCAGCAGCTCGACACCCTGTCATTTGAAACGCAAAGCAACACCAGCACACAGCTAAGCATCGGTGCTCCCACAGTATGAGAAACATTTGGAGGTGATCAGGCTCTCGCTGTGACCTCAGCCAGCTGCAGGTGACCTGCAGATCAAACATCAGCTCGCACATACATGTTAGCAGGAGCTGTGAATGGGAGGTAAATGTTCCTAACACATCAGGAGGCTTCAGGATTTTGTTAGTTAAAGGAGGAGCTTTTAAATGATACATCTGCAGCTTGAATATTTGACTTTGCAGGTGAGACCCAGTGAAAGTTTCTGATGGTCAGTGTTGTAACTGTAGTGTGAACGTGTTGCTGCAGGACTGTTTCCTGACCATGGGTCCAGCCTGGTACCAGAGTCTCATCAAGGTCCTGCTCAGTCGCTTCCCTCAGAGCTGCAGACACTTTGACGACAACGGCATCCAGTATCTGGTGAGAAAAAAAGAGTTCAAAGTGGCAAACCCACAGGCCCCTGTATCCATGAGTTTCCCTCCGCTGTGGCTTCACAAACGGGCAGCAAAACGTTACCAGCCAACAACCAAATGAAGGCGTTCCCTTTAATGCTCAGGGTCATCGAGATCCCTTTAAAAAATATTGGAAACACGACCCCAAACGTCGTCTCTAGTAGCATTTCTCTGGACACAAATGGGACCATTTAGCAGACTCGAGCTAGAAACACCTGCAACACGTAATGCGACACTGATTAGTCTCACTCGCGTTCAGACTCGATTGTTAGATCAGTTGAGTCAGAGTGTAAAAGAGACCTCGAGTGACTTACAGGCGAGAGGATGGAGCATCGAGCTCAGAGTGAGAGCTCCAACACATGAACTGCAGTAACACATATTTCTGTATCTGTGGAGACAGACTTTAAAACGGTGACGTTTGTGTTGCACACACCTGTTCACCTCGTTCCAGCTAACGTCCACTCGTGTCTTTGTACTTCAGGCTGTTCTGAACCAAAAGTTCACCGACTGCTTCGTTCTGGTATTTCTGGACAACCAAGCTGGAAAAACTGTGAGTTCTTATACACGTCTGACTTATTTTTTCTTATAATAAAGTCATGCAAAGTTCTCAGATTTCATCTTCCTCCCGCAGAGTTTAAAGGTCGTGTTTCGGGAGCCGCTGCCGTTGCAGCCGCAGGCCGGCAGCAGCCCCCCTCCTCAGCTGGTGTCCATGTATCATCACCTGGAGTCTGTAATTAACACCGCGTGCTACAATCTGTGGACCGGACTGCTATAGCACCCGGACCCGAGTCGTGTCTTTAACACGAGACAAATGGAAATGAGAAGAGAAGCTTTCTGCATAACGCTGAGCTCACTGAGTGGGAGCAGCGACATACTGGACTCATGTGCAAGAAACAGTTTTAAATGTTGAGGATCATAAAGTTGAGCAGACACTACGATGGGTTCCCTCGCAGTTACTGTACGAGCCTTCAAACAGCACCTTCCTTACCACTATTGTCAAGAGTCAGACGGGCGATCAACATCCAGATAAAGAGAACTGCAGGCTGTATGCACTTATGGGTTGGGACAGTCCCTTTAAATCACAACGTACAAAATCCTGTTTAAAAAGTGATGTTTTAGATCTTTGTAGCAGGTGAGACATGTCAGCAATATCTCACATCCTGGAACAGATTCAAAAAGGGGCTGAGGATGAAGATTTGGCCAAAGCAGCATCACTGGCTCCTGGTTCCTCGAGGAACTTGAGGTCATTTGCAGTTCTTGATAAGATAATATGTAGCATATATCAAACTGAGTCCTACTCAGTCCAAATACTTGGGGCGGTCTGAGCTGAGTAGGTGAGATGATCTACAGCTTTTCAGGGCTCATATCTTTAACCTTTAACCTCCACCAACGTCGTGCCAAATCCAGAACCAGTTTCACGTATTTCCACCTCCCTAAAAATGTACTGGTACTAGTAAGCATGGCACCACAAACTGATGATGCCTTGCTGCCTCCAGTTCTTCCAGGAAGTGAGGATGATGAGACGTTCCCGAACAGCTCAGCTGTGTCCCGGGTCTGCAACGGGGTCTCCTCCTGGTTGGACGTGCCCAGAAAACATCACCGAAGAGGAGACGACCTGAACCTCGTCATCACAGACGCAAGAGCTCTGCTGCTTTGATGGGATGCTTTTGGTCACCAACCAAAGCTGGTGTCATAGCTGAGAGTAAGGACATACCTTCACCACCACAAGCTGCTGCAGCTCCATCTGTCAATCTGGAAACAACTCGGAGCATTCGGTGCTCAAAGGCACAAAGGTAGAACGGGTGGACGACCTGGAAGGTGCTCTTTAACACATTCTGATGGATATGACACGGCGAGGACGCCGTCGATGTACGGACAGAAACATCGTGAGCGTGCAGCGGCTGTTTGACATCATTGAGCCTGAGTCAGTGGTCAGAAGGCAGCACTTACATGCATTCTGCACAAATTTGAAGCTCCACATCTTCACTAATGTCTCAGCGTCGGTTTGGATCTCGTGCCTTCTGACAGTATTTAGCTTCACGCCACATCAGTGTTAAAACAAGAAGAGACAGCCCAGATGCCGGTGCGCAGAGTGGGAAGGCTTTTATGTTCAAATGCGTCAAACCTGTTTCCACTTGAACCCCACTGCCATGTCTGTTGCCCTCAAGTGCCTTTCTCTGTTTATTATTTTCTCCCTTTTCCCTTTTTTCATTCCCAAACCTGTGAAGTGACGCCGTTGTCGCTCTGGCAGGAGATGTGTGGAAACACACTGCTGGTGTTATGCAGCGAAAGTGCCTGAGTCAGTTTGGAGAAATGTGACAAAAATTGCCTTTCATAAGCAGGAAAATTGGTCATATTAACTTTGGTGATTTGCGTAATAACATGCCACATGTCATCAGCGCCGGGTGGTGGTGTGTACTCTCACACAGTGTGGCTGGTAGTCATACCTCAGCCTGGCACAGGACTGTTACATCACAACAGGAAGGCTCCGTGTCCAGTGTGGCTCCTGTAGGAGTCGCACCCGTTCTGGGAGGGAACCAAACAGGTCTGAGCTTCACCAACTGAAGAGGACTGAATGTTAAACACTGGATTATTCATCATGCAAAATGTGAACTGTAAGCAGACAGCCCTGTAAAATAAAACCTGCACTACCTGTGTCGTGTATATTGTGTATATACAGAACACTTTATACAGTATGTAAAGTTAAATAAACAAGTTACAGAGTAAGAGTGTGCTGAACTGTTCTTCACTGTGCAGCTTCGTGTCGTGACAGAAGCTCCGGACAAAACTTTAGTGCCGGACTGTCCAACGCCAGGCCTCGAGGGCCGGAGTCCCGCAGGTCTCAGATGATCCAACACAGCTGATTCAAACGGCTGGATGACCTCCTCAACATGCCGTGAAGTTCTCCAGAAGCTGCTAATGAACTCATGTGATTCACGTGTGCTGACCCAGGGTGAGATCTAAAACCTGCAGGACACCGGCCCTCGAGGCCTGGAGTCGGACGCCCCTGTTTTAGCATCTTCAATCCTGCAGACGCCAGAATCATCGGCATAAAGCACAAAACGTTTGTTATTACAGTGTGTCAGAGCATTTATTATAGTTCGGGTGTTCAGTCAGTGGGAATAATTTTAAAAAGGCGCAGCTAGTTGGGAACACTGCAAGTAAAAGATTTAATGAAGGCGTTAGCATGAGTCAGTCAGGCGTGACAACAATTCAAATTCTGGCTCATGTCTATAAAACGTACTGATTTGTGGTCTCACTGAATGAATCCAGAGTGGTTTTGACACTCATGCCATCCATGTCACATTTTCATGTCTGTGTTATTTTTAAATGTGTTCACTAAGGGTGTGTATCAGAGGTCATTGGGTTAAAATGCAACAGCTGGGATGAAATAGAAAAAGCTTCTTTCAGGTTTCACACGCGCATCTCTGCAACCTTTAGAACAGGATCAAACAGATGTGTTTTTCACCACTATTAGTGTTTTTGTTTAGAGACTGCAATGAAGGGGAAAAAACGCAGATTTAAAAAATAATTTCTCTCGGACGTGACTCTGCAGTACATATTTGATCTCCTCCAGTGCGTCAAATTGATGATCCTCTGACTTCATTTCCATTTTTAAGATGAAGTCACGCTGAGGAAAGTCTGCTTGCACCCACCTCATTTATCAAAGCCTGTGTCAGTGCAAAAGCTGAGTATTTACCCTAGGATGTCTCCGTATTAGTCCACGTGCACAGTTTCACCCTGGGAATGACCTCGGTCACAGTCCCATTAATGTCACACACAATTATGAGCACAGTCCTGGTCTCAGTGCTCACCGCCCAGCATCCAACCAAAAAATAACCAGTCCACTGAAAACCGTGGAAGAGTTTTAAAGAGGATGCTTGCTCTCTGCACAATGAGCAGCATGTTCTGGCCAACAGTTTACGCCAGCTGCCCATCCTGATGCAACAGTTCCAGTATGCAAATGTCCTGTTTATAAGGGGAAACCTGCAGTCAGCTGGGGCTGCAGAAGCCACCTGGATGAGTGAGAAACGTTTCTCCCACTGAAAACGCCACATCCAGATAAACAGAATAACTTTATGGGAACCGCCTCGGATAAGATGCAGAACATCTTCAAGAACCTTCAACCAAGCTCTCAAATCTACTCGTGCAGCAGAACAACAGGAAAAAAGTCTCCAGAAAATCCTCAAAGATGAAAAAAAGAAACAAGCTCGTGGATTGTGTCACGTCCGTGTCACTCACACCTGAGGAAGAGGAAGAGCACCGTAGTAACGCCAGTAAATAAAGACTGGTGGGTGTCTCTGGTGATGCAATTGTCATAGCAACACAAATCGCTCACGCGGTCCTGGCTGAGCTTCAATTAGCACTTGGCACGAGCCGAGGTAGCTGCCTCTTACAGATTCAGCTCATGTACACAGCTGAGTGACTGCTCACTGCAACGATCAACTCTTCCTTCGTTTTGATGCTGAACTGCACAAGCAGCCAGTCAAAGCATCACCTGACTGCTCGACACGTGAAAAACATTTTCTCAACTTTGAGTGCAAAAGCAAAGCAGCAGGTTCACCGTTCAGTCGACAGGACGCCATCGCCATAAATACGTCGCGTAAGTTACGACGCGAAGAGGCTGAAATGCGTCCATGTGGAGGCATATCGATTATTAACATAACGTGTTAATAATCAATACATATCTGAAATGTGAGATGGACGGTTAAACCATTCATTTACCTGAGTGTTCATCAGTATGTGCACCAGTCCAGTGGCTCCGTGTGTGGAAATATTTCTTAAGTGTACAAAAGCTGCTGTGGACGCAATCATCTCAGTGTAAAGTCTACAGGCCACGAGGGTCAGGACGCTGAACACTAATGAGCTGCGCGCTGAAGCAAACCAGAAGACAGAATGGAAAATGATTTGGTGTCGTTTGTAATTAGGACTCCGAGCTGAAAGAAACCACGAAACATGAAACCCGTGGAGTCAGATCCACATTCTGCATCTCGGAGATGATCGACCACCGCGGACTCACCAGCCTCAAGCCACAGGAATGATTGTATGTTTCTATATTACAGCGTGGAGTGTATCAGCAAACCTCAGAGACTGAGCGTCTGTTCATACATTAAACCTCACAGCAGGACAAACAGTTGCCTTCTTTTATTCTTACGATCTCCTCAATGTAAACAAGTTCGCCCAAACTAACTGAAGGTAGCCAGGACAATAAACCTGATCAGACACTTCAAATGACTCACACAGCTGAACATTTTACAGGAGCTAACAATAGCAAAGTGGCTAGAGCCAAAGCCTCGGTATGAGCAACGCATCACAGCATAAACGCTCTGGTTCTGTTACATTAAGCAATAAACTTAATGAAAGTACCAGAAATTTGTTTTAATATATAAATCTGTCCCAACTCTGAGTTTGTCAAATTCATCAGCTAAATGTTCAGGAAATGGTTTACACTTCATTACTTGGACTTCTTCTAGTAGCAAAGCACTTAATCAGCTGTAAATATGAGAGGACCTTAATGCAGTTTGGGGCAAACTGGAAAGTTTATTCATTTCTGAAAATACTATTTTACATCGAAGGAAAGTTTATTTTTCTAATATCTCGGCTACACGTCTCGGAAAGAAAACCCACTTCAGCACTTTAACTTTTCAGCCCTGAAGGTCATTTTCTCAGACGCCAAAACTTCAAATATAACATTCATTAGTTCATTATTAAATGTCATTATGTTGCAGTTATTTGTTTGAAATGTCGTACCAGGAGTCAAAATATTTCATTCAAAAACGAATTCTTAATCATTTGCTCCATCAGGCTGCTACTCTAAGATTTTTTTCTTAAGAAACACCTTTGATGTCGAGCTTGCCTCTCACAGTCAGTATTTTCTACTTCTGAGCCTTCGGCAGCTCTGCCTGCTCCGTCCTACGTTCCTTCCACCTGATGCTACGAAGAAACTTATGGAAAAAATGATTTGAACTTTTAAAGAACAACATTGCCATCCTGAATCACTGCTGTGAATGAACTGAGTGCACCGATGAAGAAAGAAGCACAAACCCAGCAGCGATGAGGAGGAAGTCGTGTATTCACTTCTTTCTACAGTGTGGAAACAGATTCAGAGAGGAGGACACAGGAGTCTGTGCAAAGTCCGCGTGCTGCAGGTGGAGGTCCGTCGGGCTCTGGCAGCTTTATGCTCCGTCACCTCCTCTCAGCACTTTCTGTGAGCCCAGTACTCTTTGATCCAGCCGAGACCCTCGTCTGTGGAGCCTGCAGTGCAAAGAGAGAGTTAATTACGGCTGTTTTCTAAGTCTTTTTCATAATCATTCCTTAAATCACACGAACACTCACCTTGCGGCTTGTACTCACACCCGATATAACCCTGGTAGCCGATGTTTTCCAGTGTGTCGAACAGGTAGCTGTAACTGAGCTCTCCGGCGCTGTCGGGCTCATTTCTGCTGGGAACCTGAGCAATCTGGACGTGACCTGAGAAACGTGGCAACCTATCATCTTGTGATGTGTTCACACGAAACATAAAACCAGGTTTTATGTGTGAAACTGCCCAAATTTGTGTTGGGCAACATAAAGAGCAGAAGTCAGCACCTGACCAGATACCTACTGTGGATAGGATTACCTCCAGTAACACGGAGGACCTGGGAGTGCTTTTGTCCTTCAATACAGACACGAAAGAAACACGTAGGACTCTTTCATCTGTGCAATGATGTGTCAGAGTGATGCTGAAAATCAGCCCGTGCATTTGTTACTTCTACACTTCAGTCGCGCTGCACACAGAACTAGAAAGACTTCTGCCCAGTGCAGACACAGCCTCTCTGAGTGCAGCTGACAGAGGTCAGTGTCCATATCAAGATTATGAGGTCTGCAAGGTGATTTTAATTAACATCCTTAATGCCACTTGTGTGATAAGACACAGATACCTTTAGTCTGCCTCTGAGAAAGAAAAAAGCATGCTGCTCGATAACAAGGTTCAAGTTTTAAAATGTCATTTACGGCAGCCTACAGTCAGTATCTGATGCTGATGAAGCAAACGACCTGATGGACCTCGTTTCCTCTGTAGCTGCTGTTTAAAGGCAAAGCACATCCACAGCAGATTCATATCATCAGCAGGGTAAGTCAGTTCCCTCTGCACATCCAGTTTTTGTGCATTATGGCCATTTCCTGGCTCTAACTCAAGCCACCACGCCGTCACCCCCACGAGTTCGAGCACTTTCAGAATAGAAGAGACAGGAAGTGTGAGTGACGGCAGAAATTAATAAAGAAGAGAAGGAAAGACAGGCAGCCTCTGCAGATATTAACCCAGAAGGATTCGATTTGAGGTCTTGACTGCTATAACTGATTTGAGTTTTTAATACCAGATGAACATTTGCATACTCACCAATGACAGGAATATACTTTTGAATGTTTTGTGTGAGGTTTCCATCCATTATTTGCCAGTGAAAGATGTCCTGAAACAGTGTAGACGGCTGTTACGTTATTTGTCTCCACTTTAGACACATTTTGAAAGAACCCACCATCTGCAGTTTCATATTTGGCTTTCCAACCTTCTCCAGGATTGCAGATGCTGCAGACAGAAAAAAGAAGCATTTACATGTGCTGGAAATGAGACGACATACTGAACGTCATCATTACAACATCGCGCCGTTCATGGTTCAGGGTCACTGATGAATAAACATACCAGCTCACATTTAGGTTGGGATTTTACCGCTTTAGCGGTTGACTAATTTTAATGACACAGTCTGAAGGCCTTCACACACCAGATGCATAAAAACTGTGCAGTTTTTGGACCAATTGTTAATGCAGCAGCTGTAATTTCACTTTTTAACCAAGCTCGATTTTTCGGCTCGGAATAAACCGATCTGACCAATCAGACCACTGCATTTGGTTGGTCCAGCTCAGCGATGATGGAAGATTTCATTGCTGCTGTTGGAAACAGGCTTTTGCATCATTACGTTCACGAGTTAATTTGGAAAAAACAAACTGATGAAAGTCTTTAAAACTTTACCAAAGTCTACAGGTTGCACGTGCAACCACTGCCATTATTCATTTTGATGTCTGAGACTTTTATGACTCTTTGGAGAACAAAAGTAGTGAAACTGGTAACTAAGGTAACAGGAAAAGACGTAGGCAGACACAGCAAAGCAGCAGGAGCAAAATAGTGTTAGCATGTCTGCATGAAGGACATATAATACACTCGCATCTAACATGATATCCAGAGGGTCAAAGGTCACGAGTATGACACCTGGACTGAGCCCTGATATTATCATCATTCTAGTCAACCAGTCAACTCTTACTTGAAGCTCCAGCTGAACTCATAGTTTGGTCAGGTCAGCGGTTTTTGATCATTCATATGCAAAAGTAAACATAACGTGTTTCTTGATGTCAGTTCAAGGGTGTTTAGAGTGGGCGGGCTTACCCTGATGAGGAGAGTCCAGAAAATACCCGGGGTCTGTAATCCTGGTGTTGATCGGTTCAATCAGTCCAGTGATTCCTTCCTAAGAGCGATAGTGTGATTGGTGTAACTTGAATCATATTTTTCATTCATTATACACATTTTAGTACCTAACAGGGACTCAAACCAGCAACCTTCAGGTTACTAGTTGCCAGTTTCAAACTCTGGGCGTCTCATATTTTGCTGCCCAAGCTAACATCCCAGACCTGGCTCACCACAACGTACTACAGGTGTCCAAAGTAGTGACTGTTGACAAAAATAGTTACCGAGAAATCCAAACGTTTGGGGAAAAGCCTGCACACTGTCCACAGAAGAGTCGAGAATATCGCCCCCGAGCACAGACCCTGCTGTCCTGTCAGAGGCGCTTCTATCTTTGCTTTTACTCTGCTCAGTAAGTGCAGAGTGGAAAAGGTTTCAACAAAAACACATCATTTTGAGTCATTTTACACAAAACTATAGCAGCCGCCCCCCCAAAGGAACAAATACAATCACAGCTGTTGGCTTTCACGCTGATTTTACCAGATAATGCTGCAACTACTAGAATCAGGATTTCAGCAGAGAAACAGCAAGAATAAAACTGGAGTTTTAGTGTGTGCCAGCTTTGGTCTCTATTAAATTACAGTATACGAGCACATATACAGCCTCACATCATGGCCTTACTTTCAGCAAACAGTTGGTAAAAGCCAATGTGTCCCAGTGCCAGCCCTAGAATGGATTCAGTTATGTTTTATTGTAGGTCTATTTTGCAATGACTTCTAGAAGCTCCACACGAGTGCAACTGTATGTATTAAAGGGATAAATTGAGCATGAAATATTTGAAATATCAAGATATAAACTGTCTATTGTGGTATAGCCTAAAATCATTGTCCACAGGCCATTACACCCAGCTCCATCTCTGTTCATATCTGGCAACAGTGCAGCTAGAAACGATACAGAAGTGCTTCAAACGCTGTCGCAGGTCAGTGTCGGGGCTCGTCCACGTGGATGCACATGCGGTTTTCAGAGTATTTCGCTGAAAAGCAGCCGTGTCAGACACAGTGGAGGGCTGGGAAGCGGTGACAGGGACGCCAGCTGAGGTGGAAAGTCACTGACTGATGTCGCAGTGGGCGTGGCTCTCAAGCAGAAGTTTGTGGAGAAGCAAACGGCTACAGAGCACTGAGTGACTCTCACGTTAGCTCATCTCTATGCGACAGCTTCAACCACTGGAACAGATCCAGTTGTTAGCGTGGAGATCCTCTTTCTCAGCCACGACACCAAACCGCCTCCACGTAGGCTCAACCCACTCAATTAAACATATATTTACCTTTGCTGTGCTCATCACGTGCACTCTGAAACTCTGCCTTTACTCGAGTGCAGGGATTAAATCCTTTTTCATGCCCAAAGGGGAATGCATTCATGAAAGATTTATGACTGCACTGCCGTGACAGTAGTGGTATGTTGGACAGAGAAGGTCACTTACCTTTGAAAGGATATCAGCGGCATATTTCAGATTCTGCACAAAGACCGCCTCCATTTCCTTAGCAACCGTCGCTCTGTCAGAGTCCACGGGAACTCTCCCAGCCATCAGGTGAATCCTGGAAAGGAAATGTAGAAAAGATGGCACACAGGAACATCTATTACTCTATTCTAGCTTTTAAAACACATTTATAAAGACTGCTTTTGTGCCAGACTTATTAACTCATTCACTGCCAGCCATTGGCAGTGAATGAGTTAAACCCATTGACTCATTCACTGCAATTGACGGCTATAGATGTCAATGGCAGTGAATGAGTTAAGGGAGCTGAGCTTGTCCCAAATTGGTCTGAATCGACCTTTTTCGCAGCAGACACGTTGTCTGGTTAAAGCAGGTGTCATTAACAATGCCTGCGTTCTGCTGAAATGTGACAATGAGTCTGCACGAGCAACACCAGCAGCTAAATGGATTTGTATTTTTCACACACTGTGCCAAATCAACATGGCTTTGTTCAACTCTGTACCTGCAGGGCAGCTTTACACACCTGAGAACAAAAGTGACACACAAAGATCTCCAAAAGGTGCGTTTGTTTGGTTTATCAACCATCTAATCAAACTGGCTCAAATTATGAGATAACTCGGCGGCAATTACAAGAATTAAGAGACAAACAAGCTTTTCAAATTTACGTTGCCAGCTGCTCGGAAACAAAACAGAAAAATGAGCCGACAGATGTTGAAAAGAGACGTTTCCAGCACGTTCCAGGGAACAGCCGGGCGCTCGGACACAAGGGGCTGTTTTATGACTCGCATTTGGCAACATGTCTCCTTGTTTGCAACTGTGGTCAGTCTAACACGCAATGATGTCCAGTGAGGATCTGGAACCATAACGCCATGTCACAGGTCAGCCAGCATCCTCTACATGAACAAAGCAGTGGGGATGATGTACGCTTTAAGTCCAGATCAACACACAATGTCTTCACTTAACCTTTAGTGGAAACGCGACGCTCCCGTAACTGGATAAGACAAAAAGGAAACGCACACTGGTGGAGCCACAGTCATTCATCCAGCTGCTCGTTTATTTAACACACGCTGTCATTGCAAACGCGTAAAACACTAAAACTGGTAAAAACAAAACTTTGGAAACTGAACAGAGCACTGCAACATGAAGTAGAAATTTCTGCTTTACATCTATGGAGCATCAGCGAACCTCGGCGGACCTCTCTAAAATCTCGCACCATTAGACAGCACCATTAAGAGGCTTAGCCCGTCCCAGAGCGGTCATCAAGAACCTTACGCTGAAATTTCCTGTAAATTACTCCGATTGTATCAGGGCACAACGCCAACGGGCGGAGTTATTGATTGCTGTGACGTCACGCCTATTTACATGAACTGAATTGACTTTTCCTGGTGGTACTTTGGTCCCGACCACAGTGGACTCTGGTGTCTGCTGCACACAGCTGCTTCTGTTCGCTAAATCTCTGCAGCCTCTGAAGACAGCATATGTTGGCAAATCTGTAGCCTCAGATGCCAGAAGTGTGATTAACTTCATTATAACACATCCAAAAGATATCAGGCAGTTAATGCATTTTATGAAAAAGTCACAAAAACCAGCAAAGCTGTGACTGAAAGCTTCCAGTAACCAGAAAATCTTCAATGCAAATTTTGAAGATGAACCAGAAAATCAACAGGAAGTTACAAACCAACTGCTTTGACTGTGTCCAGAACATCTGTGCACGGTGCTGAAGAGATATCAAATGAAATTAAGTTCAACTATTGCTGAGCTTTACTTTCATTAAGTACCAGCTGGTGTGTCGTGACTTAATCAGACGATAACATAACGGAGCGACAAATGACAACAACTCTCGAGGAAATGAGGGCTGTGCAATAAAATGCAAAAACAATTCAACACATCCACCAGTAAATCACCTGCTGGCTGAACCTGCCAAAGCAACCGCAGCATGTACCAGTAATGCTGCGGTTGTGTCACTGCCAGCACAATGAAAATGACCTTTGATTTTCTTATACTTTGTATAACATTTGGCAGAATGAGTGGACACCATGTGGAGAAAGCAGTCTTTGTGTTTTAAAGTAAATGTGTTTCGGCTGCTGAGAGCACAATGTTTTACTTAGTGAAGGAGCACTTACATTTACAGAGTGGTATTACTAGGCCATAAACGTTGCCTGGTGTTCAGCAGACAGTGTTTGGGCTCTTGCTGGCAGCCATGCCTCTTACTAAAGTGCCTTTCTTCTAGCTGCTCTACTATCATCGCCCGAGAAACGTCTGAGCCTGGTTGACTTGCAACTGTAAGTAAGTTAATTTTATTTATGCCGCACTTTTCAAGAACAAAACACACAAAGTGCTTCACAATGTGTTATAAAGAAAGCGCACAGATACAACAATTTAAACCATGTAAATGGATCCAGCTAAATAAAGGCAAGCTTGTACACAAAGCTGAAGTCCACCGGGAGCGAGTTCAGCAATTTGTGTAAAACAGTCTGCTTTGGTGCTGAGCCTGGACTCACTGCTGGAACAACCAGCATCACTCAGTACAGCTCACTGAGAGAGACAGCTGACCCCAGAGAGCAGGGGGGGTGATAGTGTCCCATTTTTATATTTACAATATTTACAGTTGGACTGCAAACATTCAGCGAGTAATTTGAATAATTCCATCGTAAAAAATTCTCGACACAAATTCTTTGCTTCGTTTAACACACGGCTCTGGAAATGTGAGCCACTGAGAACAGAACTGCAATACAGGTAATACAACTTAGGAGCAGCAAGTAAACAAAAGGTTAAGTTAATTAAGTTTATTAAGCCCGCCAATACTGACAACACCACAGCAGCAGAGATGATGATGGTCTAACATGGAGTCAGAGTTTACACACTGCGAAGAACAAACCTCTGAGTCCAAAGACGAGGAGTATGTGGTCAATGTCCCCGCAATTAGCTGAGCTGACGACATGGAATATGTTGACGGGTTAACCAGAGATGAGCCGGAACCACGCAGGTGGCCAGCGCCCCCCAGGGAGACGAGGACGTGCTGGACGTGTGGTTTGTTGAGGGATGAGCAGGAGAGCCTATCGCAGTGCGCCGCTACTGCTGCGTCGGCCGGCCACAACGACGTGTCTCTTTTTCCCGTGCACGGACCCTCTCCTCTGCCAGCTCAGGACACGTTGTAATTCTTATCCTCCCACCGGAGCCCATGACGGCCAAAAACTGGCGTCCCATGTTCCCGACTTGGTCTCTGAGCTGACCGCATCATGCAGCAAAATACTGTCACCTGTGTCACTGTGGACCTGGATGGTGCTGAGGAGGCTGGCTTAGCTGGAGCTGTCCCTGGCTGCTTATCTGCCCCCGTCTCACAACCACGGTGACGGTTGCCCCACAACTCTGCCGTTCACGCACTGCAGCTTCAGCACGCGCAGCTGGACAAGATTTATCGGGCTCAGGCACTGCCGCTTCGTCACAGTGCTCCAGACGTACCAGGCGATGTCCCTGGTGGTGCTCGGGCTGCTGGTTCCTGCAGACAGCCCGCTGGCACTTCTCCTTAACAAGGTCATAATCGCCACTGATTAGATCCTTCGTGCGCCCCGCTATGCAGTAGTGGTATGGAGTGCTGCACCCTATGCAGCACTGCCTTGGCAGAGGGATGGTGTTGATGGGAGTGGCACAGAGGTACCTGTGGCTGACGCTCTTTGATTTCCCAGACAGGGACAAGGCTGTGTATTTGACGAACCAGTGTCTGCTGCTGGGCTATTCGGACCATCACTGGAAGCAATGCAGGCTGGATTTGATCTGAGGAAGAAGCAGCTCTAGCTCTCACAGCCCTGCCACTCCTCTGCCGACCTGCGAGAGAGCGGCGCCCACGGCTGCTGCGGGTGACCTTGCAGCGAGCGCACAGCCTCCGTATCGACTTCCACACCAGCAAACCCTCGGGCCCAACAAGCCTCAGCCCTCCTATCTCTGGGACCGAGTGGAGAATGGGTCCAGCGGCAGGGAAATGCTGCTTTTCCCTCTCTGTTGCTGTCCAAGAGGCACCACTTAAGTTGTGTTTAGGTTGTCGGCCCCAGACAACACTGCACTTTTCTACCACCGTCTACGAAGCACAAACCCCCTGCACACGAAATTTCTCAGGTTGTAACTCCAAGTTTGGGTATATTGAATTTTCAGGTGACCAAATCAAGTGTTCCTGCTGTGTTTCATTGCTGTGCCCCACCAAGGTGTCTCCAACAAACTGTATTAATGTACACGGTCCTGTGTTACAATCAATGAAAAATGCTTATTCAAATGCTCAGCCTGCAAGCGAGTGAGCCAGGCCAGGCAGGTGATGCATTTCCCCATGAACACACTGGCAGCGTTAGCACCCCTCAGAGAGATGGGTGTTTGCATCTTATCTGGACCACTGGGCTCTCGTAACTTGCTAAACAGAGGAGGTGACGACATAGCTTTTGCTGGAGGATGCTGACGGTAACCACAGCTTGCATGTTAGCTCTCTGTCCCTGGAGAGAGCCCTGGCTGCTGCACCAGGGCTCTCCGACTGGCAGTGTTGTTTCACAACGTGGTATCCACCACTGCTTCTCTGATGGGGTGGGGAGCTCTGTGTGATGGCGCATCAGTGAGAGGGATCTGGACCACAGCACAGGCTGCACATCGATCACTTACTAGCAGTGTTCTCAGCTCTCAAGCATTTTCGTCTGATTCTGAGGAGCCAGAATATCCAAGTCAGGATGGTCTCTTATATAAACAGGCAGGGAGGGGTATCTCCAGTTCTAGAGAGAGCACATCGGCCCCGCATGTCCTCAGTTCATCATGATGACAGGTTCAATTTGACAGCTAAGGGTCTGCCCCCAAGCATGGTAGCAGAAATCAGGAGCCTCATATGCTTACAAATGGGCAGCCTTTGAGGAATGGTGCCAGGACCATCCCAGTTATCCATTTCGACATTCCTGCAGGAGCTGCTGGATAAAAGCATTTTTTTTCTACAATTGAGGCTTATTAAGCAGCAGACAGGGTGAGAGCAAGTGCACCTCCCCTTGCTATGCGTTTCTTTGAAAGGGCTTCACGGGCTGAGACCCGTGGTTAGGGTCCGCGTCCCTGTATGGGACGTCTCTTTAGTGTTGGAGGCCCTCTGTGTATGCGAGTATGTGGATATGAAATGTCTTTCATATAAGACTGCATTACTTCTTGGTTTCCCTTTTGTAATTATTCTGATTACTTGAAGAATCAATGCAGCCCTATTACACAGCACAAGACAAATGCAAGCGTTCGTATGACTACACGCTTGTTAATAATATATGCAATTTCTTTGTTTCTCAGGTTGGAGGTTAGGGGATAAAAAATGGATTTCAATTTACCTCTTACAGTCCAAAGCTCTGGCATACTTCACACTTAGATCCAGTCCCTCTCTGAACTCTGCTTCTCTTCCAGGAACTGCTCCAAGACCGAGATCACCTGCCTTTATATCTCCTGCAACACACACACACACACACACACACACACACACACACACACACACACACACACACACACACACACACACACACACACACACACACACACACACACACACACACACACACCACTCTTAAGCTTAATTTCTGTGTGTTGAATGCCTGCTGTAGTGGGTGACATCATTGTTAGTGTTTATGATGCGTCTTCATTGCTCTGCCTCCGTAAGTGAAACTGATGATCTTGTTGCTCTGGGTGATTAATAATCTTGAATGACAGTTACTTTTAATAAAACCCTGAGGAAGAAATGAGGACTTCAAAACCAAAACTATTCACAAACTGTCAGAGCCGTGAAAATAGGGAAAACTGTTTGTCTATGCTGGCAGATTCCTACCCAACATATCCTTGTTCTAATCAATATACTGTGTTTACACTAGAGATGGACCGATCCGATATTACGTGTCGGTCCGATACTGACCTAAATTACTGGATCGGATATCGGAGAGAAATAAAAAATGTAATCCGATCCATTAAATATCACAAGAGCACCTCACAAAACTTGCCACATGGCATAACTCTGCTCATAACCGTAGCACGTCGGAGCAGTGTGGTCACGTGATAGAGCGGCTGTGGTGCGAGACCTGTCGGCGGTCTGGTTGAGTCTCGCTACCAAACCAGCATTTCATCTCCGAGGAAGTGATCCCAGAGAAGTAAAGCAAGTGTGTAAGTCCATCTCTGAGTGTTTGTAAAGCATTCCAGCGTTAAGCTTAACAACCGATATATGGAGCGACTGCCTCCCCCTCCCTCTCCTGCTGCTACTTCAATCATGAAACTGATCAATGATCAGCTGATCGGCTTTTCTCTCGTTTGTTTTTGGCCCACTTTGCTTTTCAAGAGACAGCAAAGGGCAGCTCAGAATTGAAATGCACACATGTTCATATCTCAGATTTGCTCTTTTGACCAAATTGGGACTATGCATAAAAAAAACAAGTTAATGCAATTGCATCCATCCATTATGTTCCCCTCATTCAAATTTGGACACCTCTGGCAGCAGGGTATTCCATACATCCTTCTCCCCAGTCACATTTTCCCTCCGGGGGGGGGGGGGGATTCCCAGACCTCCAAAGGGAGGTGCCTGGGAGACATCTTAACCAGTGCCCAAGTCACCTCAACTAGCTCCTTACAACATGCAGGAGAGTCAGCACCTCGGAGTCAGAGTCTGAGTCCTACAAGTCTGAGGCCACAAAAACAGGGGAAGTCTCCCACTGTGTTGGAGAAGAGACGCTGCCTCAAGCAAGAGAGTTCAAGCATTTTGAAATCTTATTGGACCAGCAGATTGGTGCAACATCAGCAGTATTGCAGGTATTGTATTGAATTGTCAAGGTGACGAGAGCACCAAGTTGAAAGACTGAGACAGTCCATCTACGTCCCAACTCTCATGGAATTTGGGTAATGACCAAAAGGTCGCAAACTCATGCAGTTGAAATGACAGTATGGTGGCTGGGTTCATTCTTAGAGAAAGGGTGAGAGCTCAGATGACTGGAGGCATAGTGTGGAGTAGAGCCGCTGCTCCAGCATATCGAAAGAAGACAATAAATGCAATACTTTTGTTAACCCCTTGAATTATAGCTTAAAGTCTACACTTCAATCAGATTTTATTTATTTATTTTAAATGATCAGTTTCTCCCTTTATTAACCACCTCTCAGTCAGCTGAGAGGAAACATTAACACGTTTCGCCAGAGAGCCACAACTATAAGGCCACCCTGCCTCCCCCTCAATGACATGTGGGACAGGCTCCAGCCCAACTGTGACCCTGAACTGGACAAGCAGATGATGCATGGATGCGGTAAGACTAGGGGTGGAACAATCCTCAAACAGACTGAAACTGTGACACAAACACAATGCAGCGCTATCGTCCTGTACTCACCCTGTACTGAAACTGCATTAGTTACATTAGAATAGCTCAAATGTAGTATTTTTGGCTTTGTAAAACATGCCAGTAGTAGTGGAGCAGTAGCACTACCTGACACAGGCCTGACTGGCTTTGTATTGGATTTAATTTGTATTTTTAATTTTCAAATTGGCTTATTTAAGAATATTTGTCATTAAAAGAAAAACAATTAATATTTATCGTTTTAAGAAGGTCGTGGGTTTTTTCTTTTATTGTTGTGCACTCCCACCCGGGAGGAAGTTGCTCTCCACGCCATTCTTCAGCATTGGTAGTTAACATGAACAGCTGCGTGTAACGGTGCGACCCCCTCTAGTGTCTACCTGGCGGGGTGTTGATAAGGACGACCTCCACCCCTGTGGCCTTTCTGACTCTCTGAAGCTCCTGTAGATCCGAATCGTACAGCCACGCTGCCTCCACAGCCTGAAATCCAGCCGCGGCTGCTGCTAATATTCTCTGGCTGAAGTCCGGAAGCTCTGTGAACAGCCACGAAATATTCGCACAAAACTTCAGTGGAGCCATTCTGTTAAACTTCCGAGGCCAACGACCGAGTTCAGCCGTCCAGCTGAACTTTCTACGTGCTAACAGACAGGGAGGAGCTACGCTAAGCTAGCTACATTTCCGTCGGTCTGGACCGGAAATGGAAAGCAAACCTTTCAAAATAAAATAAATATTATTTGAATTTTTATGTATATAGAACACAGTTCCTTGAAAATGTTCTGACGTAAAGCTAAAATATAATTAAAACAAATCACCATTGATATTCAATTGTTTTACACCACATAAAACCATTCGGGGCCGAACAAAATTCATGAAATAATTAGAGCCCTTTATTGTGAAAAATAAACCGGAAACGTTAATCTTAGAACGTCAGAGGAGACCGGTGTTATCGTCACGTGATTGGCAGCGTGCGTCCTTGCTTGTTTTTCTAAATCCAGTACGATTATAATTTTATTTAATCTTATTTTATTTTACTTTGTTCATTTTATTCTACTTTATTTTACTGTAAAATTATACCTTAAAGTATAAATAATACAAAAATAATAATAAAAATGTAATATAAAAAACTAAAGAAAAAGTACAGCAAAGAATGACTTTTAAATAAGATTGTAAGTATGCGGATAAATGTAATCTCAGGTAGGAAAATACTGTTTTCCCAAAGTTTTAAGTGTTTTAAAATACACTGTCTCCAAAACAATAATGAGTTAAAAACAGTGTTAATGTAATATGTTCAACTCCAGCATCTCAATGTTTATGTTTTCCTTGTTGCTTTCTTTTCTTTTCTTTGTTCGTTTTTTGCTTGTTTGTTTGTTCTTTTGTTTTATTTAAAGACAAATCACAAATGCAAAAAAACGTATTTCAGGACAATGTTTTTGAAATAAAACTCTATTACTGAACTGTACATTAATTTACTTACCACACACTTACAAAAAACTGATATCATACATTATTGCTCTGGTTCATTTGATTCTTTATTGTTTGACTTATTTCAGTCTTTTTTCTTTCCATTTAGCAGTTTTGGTTCGTTATAAAACATCTGTCATGTTTATCATTGGAAACCTTCAGATTGTGAGGTTTGGCAGCTCAGTTTATCCCCAGTTTGTGCTCTTACATGGGCTTCTAGCTAACAACAGCTATTCACATCATCCATATGTGACATTTTTCCATTGTGAAAAGGCTCTTTTAGTAAGTTCTCAGCTTACATCTGTGTTTCCCATCCTGGAGTCCAGCAGGCTGCTAGCTGTGGTTTGATTCTGAAGCAGAGGTGGACCTTGGGGTTACAAATATAGTTTTTGTTGTGCTCTGAGCTGAATGTTTTTTTCTCAATCCAGATATGATATCCAGCAACAATATCAACCTTCTGGGTTTTCCAAACCCTGCAGATCTGTATCTTTTAGAGGAATTGGTGCTTATCTGTGGCCTGTCACCTACTGATAGGCACAAACCAGGGTTATCTTAACTTGAATTCACAGTAGCTTACTTTCTCATTAAAAACATATTAATAGACTGTAAAGGCTCAGAAACAATCATGGTCTGCTATCTCAGTTGTAAATAACTGGATACAGATATTAACCTTATGTATAGTGTTTTGACTAGAACTGGTCCTTAAGTTGAACATAATATTAGTGTCTTCTTTCACCTGTGCGGTCCTGTCACCGCTTTGAAACATCGTGTGATGTTGCCCTGGCAATGAGTCTTTACAGCACCATGGAGGAATTTTGTCTAACTCATCTTTGCTTAACTCATTGTTGTAATTGAGCAACACTGGAGTGTTTTCAAGCATGGACTGCATTTCCAAGGCCATGCCCCAGCATCTCAGTCAGATTCAGGTCAGGGCTTTGACTACGTCACTCCACATACAAGTCGCACATACATGTTTCTGCTAAGCCATTCAGAGGTAGACTTGGTGTGTTTCGGATCATCGTCCTGCTGCAGAATCCAAGTGCGCTTCAGCTTGAGGTCACAAACAAACTGCCGGACAGTCAGCAGAATAACATGGTTCAGTTTAGCACAGGAAGTCTTCCAGGTCCTGAGGCAGCAAAACAGCTGCAGACCATCACACCACCGCCATATTTGACTATTGTTATGATATTCCTTTTGTGAAATGTTGTGTTAATTTTACGCCAGATGTAATGAGCCACACACCTTCCAAAAAATTTAACTTTTGTCTTGTCAGTCCTAAAGATTTTGGGGATCATCCAGATGTTTTTGGCAAATGTGAGATGAGGTCCTTTTTGGTCAGCAGTGATTTTCTCATTGAACTCTGCCATGCAGGCCATTTTTGCCAAGTCTCTTTTTTATTGGTAAATTATAAACTCTGACTGTGACTAAGACATGTAAAGCCTGTGGTTCTTTAATGTTGTTCTGGGTTCTTTTGTGACCATCTGAATTAGTTACCTTCTGGACTAAATTTGGAGTAATTGTGGTCGGCTGGTCACTCCTGGGAAGGTTCACCCCTGTTCAGTGTGGATAATGGCTCTCTCCATGATTAATTGGAGTCTCAAAGCCTTAAAATGGCTTCGTAACCCTTCCCAGGCCGATAGATGTCAGTGACTTTGGTCCTCAGGGGTTTCTTTAGATCGTGGTATGATGTGTTGCTTTCTGAGATCTGTTAGTCTGCTTCACTTTGTCGGACAGGCACCATTCAAGAGATTTCTTGATTCAAAAACTGCGTTTTGTGTTTACTTGAGTTATCTTTGTGTAATATTCAAATTTGTTTGATGATCTGAAATATGTAAGTGTGACAAATGCAAAAAACTAGAAAAGGGAACAAACACTTTTTCACACCACTGTATACCCCTCAGCTCCTAGTAGATGCTCCTATAGTATCAGTCCTGCGTCGCCTCATTCTTATCCCAACTTAAAAGTGTCCATGCCACCTCCCCGCCTGGCAGGTTGACAACAATACCCCATACCCTTTTGCAGCTGAGAATGACCCTTATCTCCATGCAGTCAAATGTGATGTGTTATTAGAGGAAAAGCAAAAGTCAGAAACGCTCTTACAACCAAAAATCTGGTCCATTTATTCATATCAAGATTTATAAAGATGAAAAATGATTTTATTGGCTTAATGCTGCTTTTCTGAAACTTACCAAACTTGTAAAATAGATTCTTAAAACAAAAAATAAGACAATTTTTTTTTATTTGGGACACAGAATACACCGTCCTAGTGAAAACACTACCCTGTGTCATTTTGGAAGAGCTGACCAAACAAAGCCTTTGGTATAATTTTAAAGGACTTCTCTTGGTGCTCGATCTGCTGAGCCTGCTGTTCAGTGCAGCCATATTTGGCTGTCATCAGAGGCCTGACCTGTTTTAGGCTTCCCGCTTACCTTTACAGGTATCCTTCATTCATTATCTCTGAGCAGACAGTCCTGCTGACTAAGGCTAATGCATGCAAAACCAATATTATTGCACCTCTGACAGCAGCTGATAATGGTGCTCTAGCTGCTGATGTGTTATTTATACTTTGGCATCCACCTAGGGTGGGAATTCCCTGTGAATTCAGAGCATTCTCAATAAAAACCCTTCAGGCTGACTTACAAACAGTGATCACTGTTTAATAAAGCCAACAGGAAAATATCTGCTGTGAGATTCAGAAACATGATTCTAGTTTATGTTATTGTCAGCAGTGCACACCAAGCTCTTACTGCTTGTGCATGACTAAACAGCTTATTCATACACATATTATATTATATATATCCTGTAATCTAAGAGAATATGGCACAAAGTAACAGCTATAGTTATACAGAAACATCCTTAAGATGTTAATGTTTCAGAGGAATGACGCACCTGTTTCAGAGCGCCAGATGTGACCAAACATCCTCTCAGTGCCGTGCTTCATCGGTGTATCCCTGAGAGCGCTGACACTCCTCCCTTTAATTTAACATGAATGCAGATATGAGTCACCTCCAAAATATTGTAAGGCAATGAATGAATGCATGCAGTACGAAGATTTTCACAGCAAATCATGTTAGTTAGATCAATAGTAATAAAGACTTTCTAAATATTTATAATTTTAGAACATTTTGTTCCCATATGGTTCAAATTGTGCTGCTGATTTTTTTCTCTATGGTAACCTGCTTTGATTTTAAGGACTCAACATCAAATGACAACTCCAGTAAACACTGCTGTCACCAGGGATCATTGTCCCCTCACACCAAACAAGTCATGAAATAAAGAAACCAAAGAGTGAAAGCACGCTGGTCTACACCATATACTCCATATTCTCTCAAATGTCAGCAATCCACACAAGTGAGGCAGCTGCTTTGAACTAACTTAAAAAATATTGTGAGTCCAAACGACTGCCAGACTGTTACACAGCTCCTGATGAGCTGTAGCTGCTTATTTTATCCATAGTTCCCCCCCATCACAGTCATGCCAAATCAAATCTTTTAAAACATCAACATGTCCTAGTTCATCAGAGCTAGTTTAGTCTCTGCCTGGTCCTCAGGGAAATATCTTTCTTGTTAGCTGCTAAATGCTCCCACTGTTCACCAGCAATTTATAAAATTGTAAACATTAAAGCAGCTGCTCATGTTAGCCAATATAAAAAAACAGAAGCAAAAAAAGTGAGTACAGAGCGATCACGCTATGGTGAGCCTGTGGGCGCTCTTTTATCCTTCAAGCTCAGGCCCTCTACCAGAGCGCCGGGAGCTTGAGGTTCTTCAGTATCGGGACAGAGGTCTCAGATGTTGTTGCAGGATCTGCTGGAGCCACTCCCATAACCTGGGGGGTCACTGCACCGAGTGCTCCGATTACCACTGGGACCACACTTACCTTCACTCTCTACAGCTTCTGCACCTCTTCTCTGAGCCCTTGGCACTTGTACAGCTTCTTGTATTCCTTCTTTCTCACGTTGCTAACACTTGGTATAGCTACATCTATCACTATGGCCGTCTTCCTCTGTTCCTGTGCTGCCATGATTAGTGCCTCTGTGCTGTCTTTCAGTCCACCTTTTCCAGCCACTGGTAGGATTTCTGGATGTCAGCCACTTCTTCTATCTGCGGGTGGTACATAGCATGCGGGGGCCTGTCCTTGCATGATGGTTCTTCCTCTTGCCTGAGGTATTCATGAATCACATGGTCGTCTGTGATCTTCCTGATGTCCTCGTGGAT